CTTGTCACTGACCCACAATGTCATGCACCCGCCGAGAAACTTGTGTTGCAATTTGCGTAACTGAAGCTCACAACGTTTTTTTTTCGTCTTTGGCACACCAAATTAGCTCTTTCTGTGTGTTTCGGTCGCTTTTAATTTTTTTGAGTGAGATGGGTGTCAGAAAACTAACACTTACACGGATAGGAAGAATGGGTCGAATTGGGTGGGAACTGATCCTTGATACTTTTGACGAGCAAAAAAACGGGAGAAGGAGGACAAACTTCACAAATGTCCATTTTTTACAAGGACCAGTTCCCAGGCAGATATCGTGTTACGAAAACCATTTCTTCACCATTATTTTTTCGAAACATCATTTATATTCTGCGTGGTTTGGAAATTTGAAAATATACTTTTGAATTGTTGAACACATCTTCCTTCAAGTTTGAAACTCTTAAGTACTATCCAAAAACAGCCGTAAAATCCTGATTCGATTTCAAAATTTTTCAAAATCCGTCAAAAGTTCAAATTCAACAAAACATTTCGCATTTCAAGCCTTTTAAGGAAATTCGTTCGAAATTGAATTGACTAGTTTCAGACTCATCATAAAATTCAACATTCCGGATAACAATTTTTTTTTCTGAAAACTTCATTTATTTCCTAATGTATGCATTATGCCGGTTTTCGGTTATTAAACATGTTACCATGCTTGTTAGATCGATATTTCTTTAGTTCGGGAAATTACAACGATCGAAAGAACTCGAAACTAATGTGCAAGTATTCTAAAACTACTAAATATGTCTTTTTTTTCTATTATGAATTTTTCACTTTGAAATCAAATAGGATTCATTCAAATTTCGCTTTGAAAGTGGTAACACGAATGAATTCACTTGAAAAACAGCAATGATAATTTTCAAAAATCGACCAAAATCAAAATCAATTTCACATTTCCCACAACCCCCATCATCCAAATAACAGTATTCTATGTTATTGTCATTGAACTGCTTTCGAATGGGTCCGCAGTTTTCTCGTTGCTTCCCCCTTCCAGCCTCTTCGCGTTCGGGATTAGGTTACTGAACACAGAGAAACGTTGAGATGGGATGGCGAGTGCTTTTCCCCAGACAACTATTTTTCTGGTTTCTTGCTCTCCACGACATTTTTGTCACTAACATGAGCACAGCGTTTTTTTCGCTCATCTGGTCAAGAAATCTGCTTGTCTGTTGTATTAGGAGCGTCCTCACAGGAGGAGACAAGTTTAGTAACACACAAGTAATTTGATCATCTTTGCGGCTACATGTACTTGATTCTCTGCACGAGATATGATGAAGCGAAATACCTATTTTTCGAGATTATTCCAAGGTTTTCTCACTTTTCTCACATAGTAGTAACGTCAAACGTGTTCTGCATAATCTTGATTATTATGCAGTGAATCTTCCATTTTCTCTTTTTATTTCAACTTTTATTGGAATCCATCCATCGCAGTATCTAGCAGCTAACTGATATCGTCATTTTTAGACATTCATGGAACAGGCAACCTATTTATATGAATTTTTCTTGTGTCAACTTCTTACAAACCACGAACAATAAAAAAAATCGTTCCATTTTCCCTAACTAAAAAAAAAAGAAAAACGGGGAATGACGAATGTCATTAAATGTAATCTGTGCTAAATGACTGGTAGGAAGTCTTAGATTCTTTTTCTTTCAGGCAGTTGATTGTCTTTAACTCACTCCCTTTTTTCAATTCGGTACTAGAACCTAGACTTGATGACGATTGATATTTGAGCTCTTAGATAATCAAGAAAAGAAAAGAGGATCGGCATAAATGGGCTTTTCTAAAAATCACATTTTTTACACTTCACAAAGTTTCGAGATTTTTAGCTACATTTTCCAGCTTCCAAATGAGTCCTCCAAGATGATCTATGTGGATTCTCAAATCCTGTACTTAGACTCACATACATTCTTGAAATATAAAAATGACCGACATTTGGGAGATACGACAAGATCATCAATTTAACTATGTACATTAATGCATTAGCCAACTTTTTCCGGTGCACTCAATGAGATTAAATTTTGTCTTTCTCATATCCTGCAGGTCTTATCCCAAGTTTTTCAGTTTTTATTATTCTACCAATTCTTCCCATTCACAGATTTTCTTTGTTATATATAAAAAATAAGAGGATAAATTTTTTTTGCAAAGAAAAAGTTCGTTCGGAAAATATCAAATAGTGAGAAGAGGTCTGTTCTCCTGCTTTCTTTCTCTACTTCATCAAAAACTTCGTTCTTTTCATCATGACAGATTTCTGCTCTTCTTCTTGTTTTTTTCTGGATTTTCCATGCCACCACTCCTCTTCACAATCTCACATCTTCCAAACTTCCGTTCATCCAGAAGCTCATCTGCTCTTTCTTTTTTGTCGTACTTGTTCTTATGAAGAACTGTTAGCCGGAAAAGAGGGCTCACATTCATCATTCGGCTGGTCACGCACTTTAGGAAGCAGTCACGGAATGTTCTTTTTCCTTGGTTCTAGATTTTGTACATTCCCGAAACGATTAGCAGTTTTTTCCAATTCGATGTCATCAGCCAGGAAACTGTGATCTAGAAGATAATGCTGAAAAAAGTGCGGAAATCTCTTAAATTCCTCTTTCGTTGATCGTCATTCATTCTTGCCGATTTTTTTTTGTGATTTTTATGAAACAAAATTGAGGAAAAGGTTTTGTTCTTTCTCCTCTGAGAAAAAAAACACGGTGACTCGTCATTCTTTTATTCTTACCCTGTTTTTTTGCTAGATTGTTCTATTGATTTTCATTTAATCCTCTCCACTTTTTTCCTGTTCAATTTTTCGTTTCATTATTTCTTTGAAGATTCACCTTGCTTATTATTTCCAATTTCAATACCATTTTATTTTTCATTCTATTTTCTTCAGAATTATCATCATAACGGCGACTGCAAATAGCAGCAGTATTCTGAGAAATCTACACGGCGACAACTTTCTTATGGTAAGTGGAATGGTTAGATTTTTAGCTCTGTTGAGACACTGAACACTTATTTTCTTTTAAAAGAAGAAAAGAAAAGGAAAACAAGAATTTAGATGCTCCTCTAATATCACAACACGCACTCTCTAGAAAAAACAACCTGCAGAGATTGTTGTTTAGTATAAAAGTATGACGAAACTTGTTTGTCTTTCAGAATCTTCTGGGTTTTTGAAACCATTTTGAGAACCCTTATAGTTTTTTCAATGTTAAAATGAGTTCCAGAAATGTTGCGGAACTCTCGAAGGTGTGAAGCCAATATTACAAATTATTGATTTGGTTGATCATAAAATCGTCAAGTCCCTGTTCTTGCTCATTTAAATAATTTGGATGCATTTGTTTAGAATACTGGGAAATATTCGAAAACACACTGAAATCAATAGCAATAGAGCTTCAACACTTTGTGAACCCAGATTTTGTTAAAAATTCCAGGATAAGTTAAAAATATCTTATCTAGACATTTCTAAACATTTAAAATTTCGTTGGTCAGTTTCAGCCTAGTTATATGACTTTCAGTACTAAAAACCGGGTTTTTACTGAAATTAAGCGATTTTCTGTTACAATTGTTCCAACATTTTTCAAAAGAAGACGTTTTAAAACATAACATGTTTGTGTTAGATGTATAATTTATAGAACTTTCTTACTTCAGTCATTTTCTAAAATTTTTTGATTTTTTTTCACCACTTGGTTGAAGGAATTCAAAAAATTATTTGTAACTTTGAAATTCTGAAGCCAGCGTGAAATTGAAATACCGTAGAAAATTCAACGCAATTTATGGTTTCATTCTCTATGACTTGAAATATTTCAAACTTGTCTGATCTATTTCAAAACACCTTCCAGATTTTTTGTTAAACCTTTGCACTTTCCTGTTTTCCGATTCCTTTGCAAACCAGTTCGTCAACAATTCTGAATAGCTCTTTGTAAAACATTCATTATACAGAAAAAGTTATTCAAGGACCAAACCACTCTTCCCCTCAAACTAACACCTCCGTATTTTCTTAGACAGCAGTAGTTTTTAAATTCCCAGAAGTTTCGTTTTTTTTTGGAAACTTAGACAGGTGAAACACTATTATAATTAGACATAACCTTGTCCCTTTTTTCTTCCGTTTTTTAGTTCCACAAATGCATACAAAAATAGAAAGAAAACTTATTTGCGACAAAATATATTTTCACAAGCGCGCCTAGATATTCTAGACAATCGCCGGAGGTAGATATGAGACTCAAAACCGGATGTGTTTTTGTCAGTCGGTGTGGATTCAAATGATAGTCGTTGTCGTCTGAATCAACATAGCGTCTCATCTCACATGATCCACTTTTTTCATCATCATCTTCTACTGCTCCTCCTTTTTTGCACTTTTTTCTCAATTTGCCCCACCACACCCGAAACAACTCGTCTATCTCTCTCTCTTACTCAGAGGAGGTTCCTCTTGTGGTTGGAGCTCCGCCTGAAAATGCGTGTTTTCCGTTTTTTCTCGCTTCATAAACACACACACACACACACACCATTCGGGAACCGTTTCCTCTTCATGACATTTCTTACACTTTTTAAAAAGGAAAAAAAGGATTGAGAAGGAGCATGAATATCGAAAATCCCTAAAAAACAATCAAAGAGTTGTTCAAAATGAAATGGGAAAAGAAAAAATTGGGTGAAAAAAAGCAATTTTTGACAACAGCCGGAAAAAAAAGAAGAGGGGGGACGCGCAGTTTATTTTGGAGTTTGCGTACATATATAAAATGTGTGATTGCAAGCGTAAAATATATTATAATGGGTTGAGCTGTGCTCTCTTTGCCTCTGAAAGCACATGCGGTGCCACGCCCACTTAGTCGCAGCTCTTCATATAGGGCTTACGAGAGCGAGAATCACTCGAAGAGGCAGAGTTGTGTGAGATTCTCTCCTCCTTCGCGCCTTCTATCCCTTCTTAGTGCCTTCTCAATTATTGCAACTTGATAATCTTACCGCTGATATTACTGATGACCACTTCCTGACAATTTGCCACATGGCTATTCGGTGGAAATCTGAAAGTTTGACTAGAGCAAAAGATTTTGAAAGTATCATGGCGTGGGGTGTTTTCATTTATATCCAGGTGAGATTTCAAATACAAAGAACTTTTACATTTTTCAAATTCTCAAAGTAAGTAGAAACATTTGATTTCCGACCAGTCTGGGCTTTCTTGGAGTTCCGGTTTAAAAGTTGCAAAAAAGTGATGTGGAAACTTCTGAAGTATACATAGCTTTTGAGCAAGCCGTGCATCCAGGAAATGTCTCCTTTTTCCTAATTAGGAAAATTAAGACATATTATCTGATCTGTTTTGATTCAGGTTTCCCATTTCCTAGATTCCTGAACTTTGATGATTCTATAACTTTTTAAATTTATTTTTCAAATCTATTCCGGAGTATGCTTATATTATCTTTCAATTTTAAGCAGGAAGGAAACCACATTCATTTTGACAAAACTAAATTTTCAATTTGGTTTTTCTTGTTTGGTGCATCTCGGAAACAATTAGTTTTTTTTTTCTGAAATGACTTCAAAGTTCCTTAAAGAACGCCCTCGGAAAACTTTCAAAAAGAAGATGAGGTGTGACGCTAGTCGCCACTTCCTGTGTGCCACTGGAAACAATTTCGATTTCTGAATTTGTGTTGTGTGTGCCCTCTCAGCTTCCTCTAACATAGCCGACACCTCTAGAACTTTGTGTAGATTTCATATTTAGAGTTCTAGTTCTTGGAGACATCCCGTCTTCCCAATTAAAAGTGGGACTTTTTCCTGTGCGCGTGGGATAATAAGAGAGAGAGAGAAAGGTCCAATTAGAATTAGTTTTTCACGTGTGCAGCCCATCTCACACGTACCAGCAATTTGAGCCGTCGCTGTCACCCCATTCCTTCTCTAAATTCTTCTCATTATTTCAGGCGGCGCTCAGCGGCTCGCTTTGGACGAGTATAGCATCGCCAGAAGGGTCGGTCAGCGTACCGACAAGTACAGTCGGCACGATAACGTCGACGACAGTCAAACCACAATGGGAGCCATCTCCGCCTGGCAACGTTTTTGTGGATACCTTAGGTCCAAACTCTCCTTTATCGGAATATCTACCCGTCAAATTGTGTCTGGGTATACATGACGTGTTTATTGCTTTGTTTTTAGTAAGTTTTGTTTCAATATGGCCCTCTTGAACGAATTGTTTCCAGGTAATGCTGATTCTACTAACCATTTTCGGTAATATTCTCGTGGTTCTCTCGGTGGTTGTTTACAAACGAATGCGAACTTTCACGAATATCCTGCTCACTTCACTTGCCACCGCAGACTTGCTTGTAGGGCTCATAGTGATGCCAATGTCTTTGCTGGACCTTTTGCATAATCATCGATGGCCATTGGGTATGTTTTTAATAGACAAGGAAAACAGGATTAGACCTTGAAAACGGAAATGATGTGTTTGACGTTTTTGGATGTGCTTTTCATGATATCAAGGAATAGAAGGTTGAATTAAAAAAGGACGTGTTTAGTAGACGGAAGGCCAAAATCAAAAGTTTCAGGAGAAAATTTCCGCTTAAATTGGAACAGAAACCTAGGGAAATCAGAAAGTCCATAGATTTTTTTCCAATTTCAATTTTGAATGCCTTTTTTCAGGTCGTTTCCTCTGCCGAATGTGGGCCACATCAGATGTTCTACTATGTACCGCTAGCATTCTAAACCTTTGCGTTATCAGCCTCGATCGCTATTTCGCCATTACATCACCCCTCAAATACCCAAGAACAAGGTAATCTTTTGTTTTTTTCTTTTTCTGTTTTTTTAATTCTTCTTCCTTCTGTTTCTTCTCCATCAAGCCCATCTTCTACTTCAGCTTCATCTTCTTTTTTTTCTGCTTTTAAAAGCTCGGGTAAAAAAAATAGAAGACGAAGAAGGGGCGTGGAGACAAAGAAAACCGGGGGGAAATCAGAGAAAAAACAGATGGGGCGGACAGAGCCTCAATATCACGCTTCAGTGGTCCTGCCAATCTAAAATTAACTCGATAAACGGACTCTTTTTTTTCTTCTGCCCGGCTCCCCTTATCCACTCGGCAACACTGAGAAAATACTCGAGTAGTAGTGGATCTTTTGTTGTTTCAGATTAACTTTAGGGAAGAAAAAGAAGAGGAAGAAGAAGAGAATGAGGAAGACAAAAACAGGAAGTAAATCATTTTTCTCTATTTTTCAGGTCTCGGAAAATGGCAGCGGGTCTCCTAACAGGTGTGTGGACGATATCGTTCGTCGTGTGTAGTCCTCCGTGGGTAGTTCCAAGCTGGAATCTCTTCACCGACAATAATAATAACACGGGATCAAGTGAAGATTTCAAATGTGCCTATTCTCCATCAGTAGCATATCGAATCTACAGTGCACTAGGGAGTTTCTATTTGCCACTTTTGGTCATGCTCTTTGTCTATTTCAAAATCTTCCGTGTCGCTTCTGAACGTGAAGCTCTCATGAGACAATCAGTTGGAACCTGTCGACTCAGCAACCGACTCACCAAGACTCAGCAGAAAAACCAGAGGAACAATCTGAGGTGAGCTAGATATCGATTTTAAATGCATGACTCTTTTTTTCCCAACTTTGATTTCCGTTTTTTGCAGAACAGCTAGCGCACCTCACTCACGTACGCGAGTTCAAGTCAATCACAACTGCGGTCGAGTGAATTACTCAGTACGACCGATGGAATATGCAAAGTGAGATATTAGATCAGAATCGCACTAATAATGATATGTTCCAAAATTTAAACTTTTGTTTTCAGTCGATTGGAAAATTCTCTGAAGCCAAATCACGAGAGGTTCGACTCAACCGACTGCGAAGATTCTCCACCTAACGGTGATAGTCTGGAAGCGGGAACTACGTGCAATGTAAGAAAATTTTCTCGATGACTCAGGTTTCATTTCCTTATGTACTTTTCCAGATCTCGATGTCATTGGTAACCAACTCTCCGCCGAATGGGTCCCAAAAAGAGGCCAAGAACTCGATGGAGCGAGAGTGTCACTCTCTGGCTGACATCGTTAACAGCGCCGATACTCCAGTTAGGAAGAACACTGAAGTTGGAATTGCTCCATCTCTGAGCAAGAGAGCCAGGCAATGCAACGCTAGACTGCAGCCTAATAACTTACTTCAGAAGGTTGGTTAGCCAAATAGGTTCAAACAAGCCAAGAAAAGAGACCCTCAAAACACAATGCTCAATTTTTCGAAACCTTTTTTGAACTTTACCTGAACATTTTCAGGCCCATGAGCATTATCAAATCAATGGTCCAGGAAAAACTGTCCGTGGATCCAAAGAAAAAATGGTGTACCTCAGAGAGCGAAAAGCATTGAAAACCATTGGAATCGTGGTTCTAGGTAACACTTGCCGATCCAGCCACAAGTCAAAAAAATAGATAAATTACAGGATTCATCATCTGCTGGATGCCATTTTTTATTATGTACCTAGTAGAAGTATTCATCTCAGACCCTGTTGCCGAGTCTGCTGTTTACAGAATCACGTCTGAATTCTTCCTCTGGTTGGGTTACTCGAACTCGGTAATTCGTCCAGAACTTTCTGAAATATATTACTCTTTTTTAGGTTCTAAACCCAATTATTTACACAATGTACAATGGAGATTTCCGTCGATGCTTCCGTGATTTGCTCTCATTTGGATGCGTGCAACATCATCGAAGAACCATGAGTGTTAAGAAACTCCATCAGCAATCAACCATCTTCTAAAATATCATGTATCAATTTTCTAGTTTCCAAAAATACCGAGTAGTGGGTTTCCGCTGTTGATCTCATTGTTTTACTTATTTTCCCCACAAAACCCTTTTCCTACTTGAACGGTCCAAATTGAACTTTACATGTTCCCCCACTTTTTTCTTTCTCTTCATCTTTTCATCCCGACAACTTTACCAAAATCCGATTGCGAGTTGATTCCCATTTTTCCCGTATTTTCTTTTTCTCCCCGTTTTCTTTCCACTAACAAAAAAATGTTTCCACCCAACAATAATATCAAAAATCCCTATTTTTTGAAAAATTCAACCTGCCAGCTTCTGTTTTCTTCTCCCCGATAAATCGTTGCTTTTTTTGAAGCCTATTGTCTGTGAGTAAATGTTGAGACACTCATTTTCAGATTAATAGGCCAACCTAGGCAAAAACAAGAAAATGTTGCATATGACTGGGATTATTGTCTCGAGAAACTTCTGTTTTTTCTTCGGAAAAAGAAACAAATAACAAATTGTGGCTGAAAACTTTTGTGACAAAAAAAACAATGCAGATTTGCTAGCTTAAGGATTATCCCAACATAACCTTGACTCAAGTCATAAAATATGAATTGGGTCAATTCAAAATATCGCTTTGCGATACTTGGTTTTCAAGCAAACTTTCAAAGTTGAAAATGTCAAAAAATCATAGCCATGTTTTGAAATTCATAAAAAACCTAACAAATGTATGATGACGCGTGGGAAATGCATTTCAATAAACCGTCGCAAGCTTCATGTTTTGTTGGCGGTTTCCTGGAAAAAACTTTTCGCCGAACTTTTTTTCAGGTTGTGTTCTTACTTTGTTTTTCCCACGGGTCATCATCACAATTCAATACTATGTAAAGTTGACGTTCTTCAGAAAAAATGTCCCAAACAGTCCACTTGGAGCCGACCCAAGCAGTCCACTTTGAACTCAATTAATAGAAATTGATCAACTTATAAAACATTAGTGATACTATGATTAAAATGTATCAGTTGACTATTTGTTCATATGTTTTACAGCAACGTAGATAATTTAGCTTGAAGTGCTCGTTTAGGCTTTCATGAAAACATATATGTATTAGGTTGGCGGGAAAGTCTTTGTCACTTTTTCAATAGTTTATTTCTCAAAGAAAAAATAACCGAATAATTAATTATATTGTCCATCATTATCAACAACATGTCTCCAACGTTCCCTCAATTTATGGATTCCATTGCGGTAGAATCCAGCCGGGCGTGAGGCAAAGTATTGTTTGAGTGCCGCTTCGACCGCTCCACGGGAATTGAAGCTTCTTCCTTCGAAGGCACGTGTCATATCGCCAAATAACCAATAGTCGGAAGGAGCAAGATCAGGAGAATACGGGGGGTGAGGGAGAACATTCCATCCATATCCCATCAGCTCCTGCTTCACTTGTTTCGAAACATGTGGGCGAGCGTTATCATGTTGATAGTACACTTTCTTGTCTTTCAGGGCCGAACGGTCGACTGCTTTCTTGAGGTTTCGTAGTTGAGTAGTGTAGAGGTCTCCAGTTATTGTTTTGCCCTCGGGCAGAAGTTCCCAGTAGATGGGGCCGTCCACTCCCCACCACACAGAGAGCATAACTTTTTTCGGATGAAGGTCGGGTTTTGGGACATCCTGTGGGCTCTCTCCTTCTCCAACCCACTGGGATTTCCTGTGGTGATTATCGTAGAAGACCCACTTCTCATCTCCGGTTATTAGCCGGTCCAGCCATCGATCGCCCGCGTGGAGAGTGAGAAGAGTAATCGAATCGTCGACTGGCGGTCAAGGTTGGCTTGAGTCAGGTGATGAGGTATGAATCGACCAAAAAGTTTTCTCATTCCAAGAGACTTCAAACCTTCAAGGACTGTGCTATGGTGAACTCCGAATGTGACAGCTAGTTCACGGCTAGATTGAAATGGATCCGATTGCAATGCGTGCTTCAGCTTGTCCAAATCCAACTCACGGGGTCTCCCAGAGCGATCCTTTTCATCGAGCGAGAAGTCATCTTTTTCGAAACGATGGAACCAATTGCGAATAGTATTGTAGTGAGGGGCATGTGTGTTGTACACATTCTTCAAGAAAGTTTCCGAATCCTTCATCGTGGTGTGAGATAGGAAGAGGTAAATCAAAACATGTCTGATGTGAATAGCAGTGGGAACAAACATATCGTTTCAATTACAGATGAGGAGCAGGGAAGGAAATGGGGACTTGTTTATATGGAAGGTTCTTATCACCTTGTTATTCACTAGAGTCGATATCATACACAGCCTCCATATACGAGAACAGTGATTAAACAAACAGAGTGACAAAGACTTTCCCGCCAACCTAATACAGTATTCCGTAGAAACTGTTTCCAATACTATATTCAAAAGTTATGAAAAATGTTATCAATACTGAGCGACATTTCTTGCGAAATAGTGCTAACTAAAACAATTCTCGGTGTTTCCCAAAAATTTATATGATGTACTGAAAAAAATTACATCGCTGAGCACCAACTTTTTTATCAGATATATAATTTCACCTTTTCCAGATTTTTCTAATCAGAAGTTCCAGAATCACCTTCCCTTTCCCATCAACCCCTTTTGGAATTTTCAAAGCCTCCAGAAATTGCCAATTTGCCAAACACCATTTTGTTTATTCCCTCGAAAACAGTCGTCATAAATGTGGCATTTCAAGCATCTGCATGATGGATCAATTGGAGAAAGAGAATGAGGGAGATGGCTGATTGTTTGATCGTTTCCAGGTGACAGCGTCCATGATAAACCTTCTCCCGATGTGCCAATTGCTCCTTCTGCTGATACAATCGGATGATTTTTCAAAAAAGAGACACATCTTGGACCCTCCGAAACTCATTCATTCCCTCGATTTCTTTCTCCGAAGCGTTTACAACACCCACCACCGGCATCACTCTCCTATTTACTACCGTGGCCCCAGTGAAAAAGCAGGGAGATGTAATAAGGAAGCGAGTGTTAAAAGAGGAGCAGGCGATCCGTGGAGACGACGAAACATTCGTGGTGGCACAGTAAGAGAGATAGAGAGAGAGAAAATAGGCCGGCAGCAATGCGACAAGAGCATTACACATTGGTAAATAGGCACAAAATTCCGCGGGTTCTGAGGAGAAGATCGGAGAGGAGAGATAGATGTTGCTGCTACTGATCGGAGACGATTTCTTGGAATCCCCCCTCCTCCCGCTTGAGAAGATGAAAAGAGAGATACTTTGTGATAGTGGATGGTGGCCAGACGGCAAAAGACATACAATAGATCAAAAAAGAAGAGCGAGAGCAGCTCTCCGACCAAGACCACCCTCCCGATTTTTCAAGTAACCCCTCGTTTCGAATCACATTTGAAGAAAAAGAAAAGAAGGAACACCAGGAGCAAAATCGAATGAGTTCCAGAAACACCACATGGAAACGATCCCCAGAGCACATCAAAGAAGCTATTCTCCGGATCACCAAGTAATTTTGCAGGAATCGGAAGGCTAACGTCCTTGACCGTCTCGCTATCTTTGGTCTTTCTCGAAGTTGCGTGGGTTGAATAGATCGGAAACCTGTAATTATGGTGTCAATTGCCGGTGCATCTTAGGGAATGACTGTTTTTTATCTATCTGTGGGAATCAAGTCAACCGGGGAATGTAACCCCTTTCGTTCGATCGCACTTGTATGTCCCTCTCTTATTTCCTGGTCTCATTCTTTTTCTTATGCCAGCCAGAGAAGTGCTTCGGATCAGTTACATATCTCTTCTCCGCTTTTCCTGATCAGAAAACTAGGGGAACACACAGCAACAATCACATCAAAAATCATCAGGAATCAGTGGCACCTGATATATCAATTCCCAGTGTAAAATTATCATTGAAATTTTTCTCTATTGCGTTGTGCAATCCTAAGTGGTGGAAGCTTTGTTAACACAAAAAAATCGTTGCGTAAAAAAACTAAGGTGGTCTCTAAACCGATACACAAATACAAAAAGGACATTATTACTGTAGTTAAGCTACAAAGTCAAACTCGGAAGGAGGGGGGAGCAAAACTATTTGGGGTTAAAGGACAAAGTGGACCTTCACTTCTCCAGATAATAAATTCTCTACTTGACCTTGTTTCCGCCTAATGAATCTTCCAGGAAAAAAGAATAGAAAAGACAAAAAAGCGTGCACTCTTTAATGTCTCAGAAACATCTGGAATCTTGCACTTCTCCGCGCGGATTGGTTAAAAATGAACTGTCAAAGAAAAAAAGCAAAGTGTGTCCACATGGTATTCGCAGAGACAACATATAGTGCAATGTGCTTTCTGATGGACATGAAGTGATGTCATCCGATCCTCAGGTCGCCCCCCATCCGAAAAAAAAAGCTAGGAAGACAAAATATTCGTAAACAGCACCCCTTGCGGCCCCTCACGTTCTGAATCATCATCAACATTTTGGTTCATTTCAAAACATTCATTTCTCTATTCCCCTTTTTCTTTTTTTTGGTTACCATCACCGTCATTGTTTCTGATATTTTTCTATACAGCGATTAGTCATCAAACAGTCGAACGCTTCATCCTATATTGAAAAACAATAAACATTCTTTTTTGATGCCTTTTTTCAAACGGAAGGAGAAACATGGGGACGGGCAGAATATTCCAATAAAATACAAACAATGCTTCTGGGTCGTAAATGGAAACAATCGAAAAAAGATTGATTCCCAAGGAACCAACATCTTCCCACAAACTAAAGAAAATGAAAGTCCTAGCAGGGCACAGAAGATTCTAATTAAATCGCGAACTCATTTAATCAAGTCCCCCTTGGATTTTTTTCCCTCGGTCCCTCGGCTCGCGCGCGTTTCCTCAGCTCCTCGCTCCTATAGAATTTCCAAGAGGTAACATCGTGTTGTTGATGGTTCCTGGTGATGATGATGATGATGATGATGCTACTCTTTTTCTCAGAGGGACCGCCGTCTCCCCCGCACTGCCGTTGAGCAGTTGGAAGCTCAGTGTAACAGCAAAAGAAAGCCAGGCACTGCTAATTCACTGGAAACAATTCGAACTTTTGAAGAAGAAAAACAAAGAGCTCAAAGATTGGGAGAGAGATTTTCCGGGAACGAGAAATTCTGGGGAATCTGAAAACAAGGAAATGGGAAAACTTTTTTCAGGTTTAGAACATCTTCCAATTTCAGAGTCATCTTACTGTAGCTACGTCATATCTCAAGAAGCTTCTCAGTCAAAAGTCGTCCAACAAAGGAGAGAAAGCCAACACTTTCCCATGCATCTTTTCTGAGAAAGACCGAAATTGTTCATACCCACCGTATATTTCAACAATGATCAGCAACCACAAACCCGCTATGCACATAAACACAGTTTCGCAATTCCTACTTTTTCCAAATTCGTTTCAATTTCGCCCCATCGCGCCTTGATTATTAAAGCGTAAACTTGAAGCGGTCCCCCATATTCCATTTCCTTCATTCCACTCAAAAAAAATCTTTCGGGACGTCTCATCACACTGTTTTTTTTTCCGCGCTGGCCCCTCCTCCTGAGGAGTGTATGACGGATGGCACTCTCCGTTTTTCCCTCAATCCCTCGTTCGGTGGGCGGAGTCAGCCGGCCAATGGCAGTATCGCAACGCGGACGCGTCGCGTGCTGCAGTATAAAAGGCCCGAGAGAGCGAGCCGTGCACCGCTTTACGGCGCTCGATTCAGTGATCCTACAAAAATGTGTGACGACGAGGTTGCAGCTCTCGTAGTGGACAATGGCTCCGGAATGTGCAAGGTTAGTATTGGGCATTGATAAGAAGGGATAAGGGACATAGGGCAGAGGGATAAGTTTAGGATTAGGAAAATTTCATAATACTTCGGCTTCATTGGGCCTAAAAAATTTCGAAATGCACTTTTAAAATAGGAATGAATAAAAAATTCCTAAGCATCCTGGGACAAAAATAGAAATAGTTCACATAGGAAATTCCGATCGTTTCACTTTTGCAAACTTGCAACAACAAGCCAAACCAAACATGATTCCATCTCCGTCTCACTTGTTTCAAAATACTTCTCTCGCTCTCTTTTTGAATTTCGGGAATATTCTAAATTCCAAATTCCATTCTTCTTTCTCTCCAACCTTCCGATTTGCATTGTTTTGCAAATAATTATGGCAACGGTAGTAGTAGTGATTCATATTGTCCTTTCAACACCTGCCCCCCCCCCCCCCCCATCGGTCACTCTTAGATTCTGCCCCCGCTCCCCGGTTTTCGAAAATCTGGCGCCCATTATCTGACGCTCCATTCATACCACACCATCCCAGTGGGAGGCAAAAAACGAAGGGCAGTATCGCCGCAAGGATATATGTGAGTGGAGTGCTGAGGGAACAAAAAAAGGAGTATTGTTGAGAGTGTTGGGGGCCAACCGGCCCCTCGATGACTGCGCATTTGCAATGGTGTGTGTAAGAGGGAAAGAGAGGCCGAATTGAAGAAGGGAACGTTTTCTGCGGAGATCTTTCTACAATGGGATATATCAAGACCAGCCGGGGTGGAGGGGCCAACAGTGTAATGCACATTAAATGCGATGAGAGCGGTCGTACGGCATTGTGGATCCCAGATTGTGAACGCAGATTAGAGAAGCAGTCCGTGGAAACATGTCACGCATCCAGTGCAACCCGAACACAAGTGGTTTTCACTTCTTTGGAGAACAAAAATCCACATTAAGTATAATTTGGGAACGAACTGAAACAACTGCGAACATCCAATTATCCGCTCCCCTCTAGGACTACTTGGCTAATTTGCGGCCCCCTTCTAGGAACAAGACAGTCGCTTCTAAGAGGTGTGAGTGCGTGCGAGTGAGGTTCCGATGGAACCCATCTTCATCCCGGATTTATTTATATATGTCAGTAAAAGAGAGGCAGCCGCTAATCGCTAATCTTGACAGTGTTGGTCAAGTGTGCCCTTGTATCCCCCCGGCGTCCTCCTATTCCTCGCATCACTGTATATATGCAAGGCGCGGTTTTTGCCTCCTTCGGTCCCTTCTTTTCTTTTCTGTTGAATGACCGGCCCGAACGGATGGATGGATAGTACGCACATAAAGAGACGGACGTACGGAGGCGCAACGGACTGTCAAGGCCAAGAAATGCCACCTTTTGTCAACCCACACTGTATTGATTGATAGGAATGCATATGCGCAATCGAGACATTCGGAAGAGTTCTCTATTGAGGCCAAGTAGTATAGGAGTGCGATTAGGATGAGAAGATGAAGGATATGAAACGACGGGGGGATAAGAGAGAGAGAAAGGGACCGATGGTGGTGGTGGGTCGCCAGCACTAATTTCGAATCCTCATTCAAATTCAATTCCCATTCAAATCTTTTCCCCTTCCATTTCCCATTGGAATCAAAAACTGACACTCTCACATCTGGTGCTCGTGATGTGATGACGATGACTCAATGCATTTCGAAATCTGTCCTAGTGTCCGAAGAAGTGTCTGCTTCTTCTGATGGCCTTTTCCTCCCTCTGTTTCGTATCTCATTATTCAACAATGCAATTGGATTGCGAAATGGGTCGGAGTGGTTTAAAAAAACGCGGGGCCCCAGAGTGGCAGCTGCAGACCCGAGAAACCATAGAGGGAATTGGGACAGCAGTGGGGCACACTCAGACACACAAAGCCCCACACAGAGTGTCGCCGCTCACCACGCACACACACATACACCAAAGCGTTCTCGGAAAAAGTACTTCATTCGATATCAACCGTGAACTAGAGAAGTAGGAAAAGAAGGCATCTAGAGAATAGGCGAATGGGTCTATTGTGTTTGCACTGCTCTCGCTCGCTTGCTGCGCTCTGCCAAATCTCAACCCTGAGGTTTCTTCTTCTCACCGCAACTTTCTCCTCTCTTTGCAATGTAAATATATTAGACATTCTTGCTCCCACCCGACTAAAGAAAATAACGAACTCTTGAGCAACACTGTTGGGGTCATCATGAGAAACAATGCAATAATTTTCAGGCCGGATTTGCCGGAGACGATGCTCCACGCGCCGTCTTCCCATCCATCGTTGGACGCCCAAGACATCAAGGAGTCATGGTCGGTATGGGACAGAAGGACTCGTACGTCGGAGACGAGGCTCAATCCAAGAGAGGTATCTTGACCCTCAAGTACCCAATCGAACACGGAATCGTCACCAACTGGGATGATATGGAGAAGATCTGGCACCACACCTTCTACAACGAGCTCCGCGTCGCCCCAGAAGAGCATCCAGTCCTCCTCACTGAAGCTCCACTCAATCCAAAGGCCAACAGAGAAAAGATGACCCAGATCATGTTCGAGACCTTCAACACCCCAGCCATGTACGTCGCCATCCAGGCTGTCCTCTCCCTCTACGCCTCCGGACGTACCACCGGAGTCGTTCTTGACTCTGGAGATGGTGTCACCCACACCGTTCCAATTTACGAAGGATATGCCCTCCCACACGCCATCCTCCGTCTCGACTTGGCCGGACGTGACTTGACTGACTACCTCATGAAGATCCTTACCGAGCGTGGTTACTCTTTCACCACCACCGCTGAGCGTGAGATCGTCCGTGACATCAAGGAGAAGCTCTGCTACGTCGCCCTCGACTTCGAGCAGGAGATGGCCACCGCCGCCTCTTCCTCTTCCCTCGAGAAGTCCTACGAACTTCCTGACGGACAAGTCATCACCGTCGGAAACGAGCGCTTCCGTTGCCCAGAGGCTCTCTTCCAGGTAAGATGACACCAAGACTCTGGACTATTGTACTTATTTAAAATTTCTTTCAGCCATCCTTCTTGGGTATGGAGTCTGCCGGAATCCACGAGACTTCTTACAACTCCATCATGAAGTGCGACATTGATATCCGTAAGGACTTGTACGCCAACACCGTCCTTTCCGGAGGAACCACCATGTACCCAGGAATTGCTGATCGTATGCAGAAGGAGATCACCGCCCTTGCCCCATCGTGAGTTTTAGACGAATCGAACACTGATTCTAATTTGTTCTCTTCTTTCAGCACCATGAAGATCAAGATCATCGCCCCACCAGAGCGCAAGTACTCCGTCTGGATCGGAGGATCCATCCTTGCTTCCCTCTCCACCTTCCAACAGATGTGGATCTCCAAGCAAGAGTACGACGAGTCCGGCCCATCCATTGTCCACCGCAAGTGCTTCTAAATTACTCTCATTCTCCATCTCCAAGCTCAACAGAAAAAATGTTTCGTATTATCCTGCAAACCATCAAGCCCCCCACCACCGTTTTTTTTTTGTCTTTTTTATTTTCTCTTTTTTATATTTTCTTTTTTCACCGTGTACATTGTTAGTGATAGACATCTTCTCAAAACGTTTGCATTATCCCTCTGACCCTCTCCAGAATTTTCTATGTTAACTTTTATTGTATTTGTTCAATACTACTCCGGTAGTAAGCTAGGCATCTATAATTAGGTTCTCATTGTATCTTTTTGCTGAAGTTTATGTATAATGCGATCATTTCTGAATGTTGACTTCTATCGCTGCCAATGACTCCAAACCCACCTGTCTCCCCCAAACACAAAAATTGACACTTTACAAAATTTTCTCTCTGAATTATGCTCATTTACTGAGATATATTCTTAATAAAGCTTTTAATAAGACAAATCTCGACTTTTATTTTTTTGAAACTAAATAATGAAAACAAAAGTTAAGGAAAGAGTTAAAAGAAAACATAAATTCAACCCGGAGAAGAGATGAAGACAAAATGAGTGGCATTATTTGAAAAACAGGTTTATTTCCCTCGTTTATTTCCAAAAATGTCTCCGACGCGGTCGAGAATTGAGCCAATGCTAAGCGGATCATCTGGATTCGAGCAACGGACGCCGAGTAGTTGATCCTGTAAGATTTTGGAAATGTTGGAAGTTTTTGTAATAGATTAGTACACAGGGAAAACTATAAGGAAGAAAAGAATTGAAAGCTGAGGAAACGATTTGATGAAATTCGCTTCGATTAGGAGGATGAGTCGTTTGTTATTATACGAAAATCACAACGTATTAGTCATGATCCAAATTGACAGTTCTTTTTCTAAGGCTAGTTTATTGGAAATGAGGAATTAGACGATTTTCATTGAGGGGATCAGTGCCAAAAAAGGAAAAGGATCGACAAAAAGATCCGGGTAAGTAACATTGACGAATCCTCACTCAAAAAGTTGAAACTTGATATTTATTTTGAAAAAATCATCATAGGATAGAAGGGGACTGTGATAGAAGGGACCACTAATTGTCAACTTCAACCGTTCTTAATTCCGTTTATGGGGGATATATCGAAAAATGCTCGGCATGCGAAATGTTTACGATGTTATAATAAAAATTGATATAAGTTGTCCCTTCTTGAAATCTTTCAGAGAAAATTAGAAAAACAGGTTCAAAGTTGACAGTTAGAGGGTCAATTAATTACGGGCTTTACGGTATTGTCCAATAATTCAAAAGTTTCGGCTTGAGAACAAAGCTAACATTTCAAGTTGACACTAGGATTTTGTTTAAATACTTTAAATACTGGTCCATACCCTATTTATTGAAATCTGAAGCTCAATTTGTTTGCTGTTTTCAAAATGATGGAATACAAGAAATGAAGATGTGTATTTTTTTTCATACACCTGAAATTTTTGCAGAAACACAAAGTTGACATAAACTAATCGAGTGCCATCGAAACTATCCACTTTAAGCTGATATATTTATATATCTGTGAAAGATATTTCAAAGTGGCCAACAGACAAAATGTTAATCATAAAATCAAAAATATGTGAATAGTTAACCACTATTTGATATCTTTTGCAAGGAATGAAATGTATGGGATTAAGCTTGAAAGTCTGGAAGTTTGCTTTCTGATTTCATTCAGTGTGAATTTTTGAAAAATTGAAGTTTCTCCTCCTTGCCTTCTCACAGTCAAACTCATGAAAGCACCGAGGCATATTTTCGGCCAAATTTGATTGAATTACTGTAGGAGTTATCGAGAACTGTTAAACAGACAAACAGTTATTTACATTATGGTGAACACTTTGCCAGTCAACCACTTTTCAATATTTCTCACAGGAACCGAGATATTTTCGACCAAAGTTGGTAATGAGAAAATAATTTCATTACAGGTTCATGTAGATATCGAAATACGGTCAACTAGCAGCTTCCATCAATATACCACTCTTCGGCATTTTTCACGATACCTATGAAAAGATTGGCTCAAAGTTTACGATGATAGAAACAATTTGAGGGCTTATTTTAAAGTTTTTCATTTGTTCTTGTCTTAGTTTTTTCTGCTACCAAAACTGTCCCATTGTTCCACCCTATGCATCATTTAATTGGATTTTGTGTGTCAGACATGATGTGTCACTATCAATATTAAAACATAATCCGCTTCCGATTGAACTTATGAAAAAGTCCAATCTGTTCCCCGTCTTGGCCTAGCTTGCTATTGTTTCTTGTTCGCTCTGATTCATCAACTATTCATAAATCTTTTCTTTCTGCCAGAAACCTTTTTTCCTCTTTGCTCCCGTCCTCGTCGAGCTCTTATTGTTGGCAGGAATCAATCATATCCTCATACCGCTTGCGGCTATTTCTATTGAAATGCATCAAAACGAGCGTCGAATGATTGATGATTCGAGAATTTTCGAGAAATTGTTTGACAGAAGGTGATGCTTGATTGTTTCAAACACGATTGGAATCAGGGAAAACGACAATAAAATTTAGGGGTGTTTTGAGGATTGGTTAATTTTTATAGGCATTGATCTCACCTTGACTTGCTTGTAGCCACATCTGCACTGACAGGTTCCAAATCGACACTCCGCTGATGGAATGCACTGGTTATTCGAGTAGCAACGACTTCCCAGTTGTACCTGTAGAAATATCAATTTACGGAAATGAAAAGCATTGAAAGTTTTACTTTTGCTAAACATCTATCATTGCTGGCAACTTCTTCAAGTGTACAATCTTTCGTGCATGTTGGGAATCTTTCGTCGTTGTTCTGAAAATTCAAAAAATCAACTGGATTTGTTGAAATACAATTTGGTACCTCATGATATCCTAGCTTACATTGACAGCTTCCCAATGTGCAAGACATCGTAATTCCGCCTTCACACTGAAATATATTAAGATTTAGTCAATTTTTTGCTTTTCGATAACAGAAATCTAATACCTGTTGATCAATTTGGCATGGATCTCCACGATGAGCAATTGATAGGCACTGTCCGTTAACATAAAGTGGTGTCGGATCCCGACACGGTCTTGGACAGCACAACGATGATTTCCATCTAAAAAATATTAATGATTCATTGCACACAACAACATTATACATACCCTGGCTCACTGACAGTGAAGCAGAAATGAGTGAGTGGTCGACATTTGGAATCAGGTGAAGCACCGGCATCACAAGACTGACTCAAGTCTGGCTCTCCATATGGACACCGTAGCCGACAACAATGACCAACATATGGACTACCATACGTGACACATCGATAGCCCAACGGACAGCTATCAGTGTTGGCGGCGTTTTCAAGCATGTCAATGTCGTTGATGAAGAGCCGACGACACGTTTGACGAGGATGCATCCCGTCGGGACAGACTGAAAAAAGATTAAGTGAGTTGATAAGGAGCGATAGAAATTACCGGCATAGCAAAATCCGCGGACGGTGTCTCGTGTGGTGCCAGGGGCACATTGGCAAGTTCCAGCAATGCAAGAGTTGAAGGGGTCCACACATCTGGAGAATCATATATTTTATAAGTCAAAATTTGTTTGGAACAGATAACGTAAATGCTCTAAAGCACAGTCACGTGCAATTGGATTCAATTACCTCGGTTCCTTTGCGAGAATTCATGAATCTGTAAACTAATGAAATGTTCATTACCAGCAAGCTGGTGCGCCTTCGGCGCATTTTGACCAAGTTTTTTACTGGTTGGTCACTCCTTCTTTTTCGCGTAAATCTATATTTATTTTTCAAGCTTTTCAAAAGTCAAAAGACTGACACCAGGACCAACAGACGCGTGTAGCGTTTCATATATAAGGAAGATAATTTTACCAAAATTTCATTAGTTGAAAAAATTTTGAAATCCTTCAGAGAGTCCGCGATAATTGAGTTTTCATGAGCCTGCAGAGTATTACACCACTTAATTTCTAAGTATGGAAATGATAATAATATGTCTAACTCCAATTTATCAAAAGTTATTTTCATTTTCAAAAACTTTAATTTTTTAAAATTTCGTAACTGCTCCACAGGAAGCCAACCAAATATGTGCACTTTGAGCTTAATTGGGTCCATTCATAGGCGAGACATCAGAAATTTGTCACCAACACTTTATTAGTTGATAAAAATTCAATATTCAAACCGGAATAATTAAGTTCAAATTTAACGTATTCTATTAGAGCATTGAAGTATATCTAGAAATTTCAAAAATCGAAAATAGATCTCTATGAATCGGAGTGAGATTTATTGAAATTGTTTCCATACTATCGGAAAAAGAAGGTTCCTGGTTTTTTCAGGCATATTTTTTCAGGTTTTTTCAGGTTCCTGGTTTTTTTCAGTTGAATTACCTAATGTTCTCAATAATCGAAACAATATAATTTTCGAAATTTGTTTTATTCTAAGCGGAATTCCAAGTCTTGAGTACCTCCATTGTAAATTGTTCTCTTTTTAATACAATAACTATCAAGCTTTCTTTGATTTTCCTGAAGCAGAACGTTAAAATTCTGAATTTATCCAAACTCAGGCCATACAATTTTCTTCTCTTCGCTTCCGATGAGTCTTCTCAAAGTCTTCTTTTTTTAAGCGAAAACTCACTGGCTGTCCTTTTCACACGGTTGCATATAATGAGCGACACGCGTACATTCGACACCATACAATTGTTGACCAGCCGGACACGCTGGAAAAAATCCATTCATCAAACTCAGTTTTCTTCCTAAACCATCCACTTACGAACGACACACTTCCCATCGACAATACTTCCACCCCAACACTCGCATTTACCATCCCGGCACAACAAGGGTGGCTTACAATCGCGTTGACAGGAATCGCCGATTTTGGCGGGTGCTGAAAGCGAAATGCTAATTTAGTGTATTATTGGTGGGGGACCGGTTTGATGAATCATTCAGAACTGTAAGAGGGTTCTTCTAGGAGAAGCAACAAAAAAACGAGAATACAAAAAATTATAATGATGGTGTCACCTAATCGGCATATTGTCGTTCGCTCGTCAATGTCGAATTCCTCGAAATTGGTTGGGCAAGTGCATCGGGAATTTCGGCATACTGAGTTCATTCCATAGCATTCTTCGTCGAATAGGCAGTCACTACCAATAAGTTTCTCTGGAAGAAGTAAAAATAAGATTTTGGTTTCTGAATACCAGTTTTAGGAAAAAAAATGGGAAAAAATGTTTTTTTTTTAATTCACCACTTCTAGTTTGGTTTTACAGTATTTTTTTTCTTTCCAGTACTTTCGTTCTATTCCTTCATAAAGCTCAATTTTCATCCCAGACTATCATGTGCCTACTTACGTGCGCATGGGACATCGAACGCTTCTGCTAATCGATCAATAATCAAGAACAAGAATAACAGTCGTCGGATGAATGGTCGATGCATCACTATGGCGTTGGAGAAATTGGGGCAGAGACTACTTCGAAGAAAATCCGGCGTCGCGCAGCAGAGAAATGAGACTATGAAAGGAAAATTATCGCCTCGGGGTCACCACTACCGCCGTCATCATCGTTCATCGCCACGTCCCGATGTGAAGACGCAAGATGTACAAACATTAGATCATTTCATTATGAAATCATCTGAAATATTTAAAATAGTTTCGATTGCGTGGTTTTAATGAGCTCAGACAATTTATTGTTGACAAAAAAAGAAACCAGTTTAAGGAAAATCAGTAAAAATGCAGTTTGGAACTCTCGTGAAAGAGAAAAAAAATCAAATAAGGCAAAACATGGTGAATACGCAAATTTGAAAAATAATTTTTGAAAATTATAACATAAAGAGTTAAGTATGAATGAATGCAAACGACCAGTGACACATATAATTATTATAATTATTAACACATCTCTGAGAGGAGAAATTGTAATACTGCTGTCATAAAACATAATCAACAATTTAGAGCTCGGCTGGGTCGTGCTTCTGGAGTTGCTCTCCGTAGTCGGTGGCCTGGGATCCGACGAAGGTGTCGTAGTGGGCGACGATCTCGTCAAGAGTCAGCTTTCCGTCTTTGTTGTCGTCGGCGATTCCAACCAAATGGCGAGCCTCAGCCTCGGCGTGATCAAATCCAACTGGCATGATCCAGTCGCGCATCTCCTCCTGAAATTGGTGAAATTTAATCTACAAAATTTAACAAATTTCACCTGGTTGAGTTTTCCATCTCCATCCTTGTCTCTGTGCTCCTTGAACATTTCGCGCTCAGATTGAACCCAGTCTGGTTCTTTTCCGGCCAACTCTGGATAATCTTCTGGCCTGTACATATCTCCAATGTACTCCTCAAGATCGACAGATCCGTCCTTGTTCTTGTCAATATCGTCGACAGTCTCGGCGACAACGATGTCTCTCATGTGATCGCAGTCCTCTGGATGCATGAAACATCCGTACTCGGTTCTGTCAAGAGCTCCGTTAGAATCGTAGTCAGCGACAGCCCATCTCTTCTCGTCACGAGCGATCATCTTGGCGTATTCTGGAGAAAGCTCTTGTCCGGCTCCGTCGGCGGATCCGTAGACCATCTCTCTGTAGTCTTCCCACTTGATCTTTCCATCGACGATCTTCTCGGCCTTGTAGTTCTTCCAGGTACGGTCAACGTCGTTGTTCACGTATCTCTTTTGCATGAAGTTGATGTGATCCTTGAGTTCGTTCTCCTCAATGAATCCATCGCTGTCGGCATCCATCTTTGGCACAAGCTTGCTGAAATTCAACTTTTCTTATGAGAATATAGCAGCTAACATTCTTACGCAAGTTTCTCCTTGGACTTCTCTGGGGTCAACTCGTCGAACTCGGCAGCGGTGTCCTTTCCGAGGAACTGTTCGTGATCGTACTTCTTGTCATGTTCCTTTCCCTGCAATTCGATTCATTATGCATAACGTTTGAATAGGTTCTGACAGTTACCTTGAAGTGTTCTCCGTCCTTCGTTGGATCCGAAGAGTGATGAGATGCAAGCGTGGAAACGGCAAGGAGGCCGACGATGAGAAGGACCTTCATTCTGTGTTAGATTACACTACCTGAAAACTTTATTGATGAGAAGAAAGATGATTAAGAGGAGAGGAAAAACAAAATGCGACGAAGCAAATTGACAAATTACTTAATGCGCAGCTCGCTTAAAAGGATATACATAACTAGGTCAAGCAATCGGGGACACTTTTTATGCACCGTCCTTAACGAGAAGGAGGTGTATATAACAGAAAAACCGGGGAAGAAGGAAGAAGAAGAAGACAGGATAGCAGTCCAAAATTTACGCCCCGATTGGAAGTGGTGAGTTGGCCTGCTTGCGAACTGTCAACCTCAAAACCCCGCCAGTGTTGACAGTTCCTCGATAACTCTTACCCAGCTCACACTCACGCAAATAAATTCCCATATTCTTAGCTACTAATGAAGATAGGTCTGAATAACTTGGGCGTTTTTTTTTCAAATAGCCTTGGGTTTTCTTATAAAGAATTAGTACACGTGGACATAGGACATACGCATCAATCTCTCTTGATTCTGACTTCTGAACATCTAGAAGAACAGGGAAGTCGTTCAGAACAGAGAAAAAAAGAAATGGATAGGATAAACCCGTTACTTCTTCTCCGTTACTTATGCTGTGGGGCGTCTACAGGTTCAATATAAAATGAGCGGGACACGTCAGATACTCTCTTGCGTTGAAGAAAAAGAAAGAGACAAGATGGTCATCGGGGTCAGTGCCTGCCAATTTCTTTATGCGAGCAAAAAAGAGTGTGGAGTACTTGGAGACGCAGCCAGAGGTTAAGTTAAAACATTGAGACACACTGTCGAGCGGGGAGAGTGCACCGACACTGGGGGTTAGAAGAATACTACGGAAGAGAACAGCCCCGCCAAACCGACGAGAGAAGACACATTCATCCTCAACTGTGAGTGTATCTTAGAGAGAGGATGAGGAGAAAAGACTACACACACAAACTGTGAGAGCCACGTGTACCAAAATCGACGACTCGAGGAAGGATAGGATAAGAGATAGGAAGGTCTCTTGTTTCGAAAATTTTCTCGTACAATCGAAATAAAAGTTTTTTTGAAGCAACTGCCAAGTACCTTCAGTTACACCTGCGAATATATACCTGAGAAAACTGGATACTAATTGAAAATTAGGAGTGCAAATTCGAATTCGAATTCTAATGGACGCTTTCGAATCGGATAAGAAAAGTCTGCAAAAGTGTGCAACCACACAGACTCTCTCAAATTTCTGAAAGGTCAAGATCCAAACAAACGATCTTCATTATAAACAATTATACTTCGTTTACTTCAAGCCTCCTACTTCACGTATAAACAAATGAGAAGAAGAAGTAATAGGTCACTCGGCGACGCGCGTCCACAACGCTTTTTATATAGGTGCAAGCCAGAGGCGACAGCTGAGGACCGTTTCGAGAACCTTCTTTCCGTCGTTGTCTGCTTCACAGATGTCGTCTCCGCCTGGAACACGTCACCTAAATCTTCTTTCACATCTCATCCTCACCCGACGACCCTGGAGTCGTGCTGGGCTGTGACCCGAAATCACTCCACCACAATACAACAACTTATCTGTTTAACCATATCTCGCATAAATCCCGTACGCGCGCGGCAATTCTCTGATTATCACTCAAGGGTACCCGTCTTCGTATCTTCTATCGTTTTTTTTCTTTCTACGACGGCCCAGTTACCTAGTTAGAAGGAACGAAAACAAAGAAAGAGATAAAGGCTGAATGGATATATCGAACAGATATATAATTCGAATGGAACAACCGAAATGGATTGTTTGATCATGAGAAAATCGAAGAAAAAGAGAAAAAAAAGAGTTTTCGTTGTAGAATCATTTCATTTACAAATGAGGGATCTGATGGAAAGGATTGGATAGTCACAACACAAATTTAATACAAACCTTGTTAGAAGAGATAACAGTCCAGGAAAAAAGAGCTAGATAGGATAGGAAAATAATAAATAAAGCTCAGCAGTTACTTGATATACGCAATGACAATGTGTGACAATAACCGAGTTCAAAAATAGCAGATCAACTACTTGTAGTGAAATTGAGGGAAGGGAAAGAGGAATCAAATTTTAGGAATTCTTTTTGATTGAGGGATTTTTTGTCAGAAAGAAATGTTAGAGAAAGAAGTTTGCAAAAAGAAACAAAATGATAGATGTGAGAAGATGTGTATACATTGTAGATGGTAAGGGGATTTACCACCAACGGAAGAATGGGGTCTTCGTCTGCACTTTTTGCTCATAGGTCTCCTGCCACGACTTGGAGCCAACACTCGATGCGCCGCCTGCCTCAGACGAAGTCGATGGCCCAGTACCACTAGCAGCTGCAGCAGTCGACGTGGAAGGTCCAGGCTGCTCAGTTTCCACATGGCCAGATGTGCTGTGCACACCAGAGACGTCCGCTGTAAACGTGAGAAGAGTTGACGGATGGTTTTTACACAGCGGAGTAGGGAAGAAAGAGTGTTCTTTCTGAAGTAAATGAAAAAAAAAACTTACAATCATAGTTGGGGGCCTCTTCGTACTCAGCGTTGCGGGATCTTCTGGATTTCTTCTTCTTTTGTTTGACTTCAACCATCAGTTGCGGTGGCATCAGGATAAGTTGGTATGGGCTCTTCTTCTTCATCAGAGCTTCGCGCAAGTTGAAGATTTGTCCACGCATCACCGACATTTGCTTCTCAAAGATTTTCTTGTCGAATCCTTTGTCGTTCTGGAAATTTGAAGAGAATTGTATTTTTGTAAAACTTAGGAAATTGAGCACACATGAGAATTTTTAGAAATTTGAGCGGTATTTCGAACTGCAAAAAAATTTTCAGCTCAATTTCGAAATATTCCAATTTCCCAAAAAATGACTTATGTGTAAAACTGAGTTCTTGGTGCTGGTTTCTCTTAAGCCGTGGCAATTTCCGAGGCTCAAAGTTTAATACCTATTATAAAAGTAGTTTTTGAGAGATTCAAAAACGTTCATAATCCGTCCTTATCTTTTGATAAAGTCTTCTTAATCAGGTTTTTCTGATAAGTTCATACTCTATTTTTAAATATGTATCTTTTCTATGATTGTGAATGAAGATTTACGATGTTTTTGACCAACCGACCACATACGGTAAAACCTGTAGCAGGAAATTTCAATTTTGAACCAATTTTCTATGTTGAAAAATAAGAAAGTGTTAACTGATTATTAATCATACTATAAAAAGTGTTTTGTCGTTTGAGACATTTTGATATGTTGCATAGGAATGAAGATAGTTGAGCACAAACTTTAGAGTGTGGGCCCCTTCTATTACTGAATTTTACGGTAATCAATTTTTAGGCAAAGTCTAAAGCTATAAATTTTTATTTCTCACCTTGAAGACACGTCGAAGATCCTCACAAAGCTCCCTGACCCATTTCGTATCATCCAATTTTGGCAGAAGCAAGTCGACAATCTCATCAGAAAATGGAATACGAGCCTGTGGGAGAAGTGCCCATCCAAATGGATCTGGAAGAGAAATTGTTTTTGTGCGGTTTCCGCTTTCAGTTTTCCTTTCTGTTGAAATTCCAAAACAAAATTTTAGCGTTTTTCTGTTTACAATGAAGTTCTAATCAGAAAAATGATAATAAATCACTTTCACACATTTTGATATCACAGAAAAACACACGGTCAATTTATACCTGGAAACAAGTTCTGTTCTATTGTTTTCCTGCAAAAATTGAGAATCGTAAACAAATCATTTGAATTTTAAATTTTCCGCAATCACTTGTTCAAACTGTTCCAACTTGGAAGTTTCACTCTCATGCTCTCTAGCGCTCAGTTCAAAAGACGAATTTCGTTGTCATTGTCTTGTCAGACCGCCTAAAATGATCATCAAAAAGCCACAAAGTGGCGACCCATAAAAAATTGGCTGATGGATCGAACAATGATCAAAACAGCATGCCAAACAAATTCTGCGCGTATTTTTCTCCACACAAAAACATCCAAAAAACTATTTTGAGAGTTCGACGGTCAAAAATATGTCTGTGCGTGTGTATGTTGCCAAATAAATTTGAAAAAACATCCTGAAAAGGTCATTGTATACTTTCTCGCTTTGTTCAAAATCCTGTGGTAAACAACTAGTGTTGGAACAGCTGTCGCCTGCCATAAAATAATCTAAAAGACATAAAATCAGTGGAAATCGTTAAATGAGTAAAACTTTGGAAATATTTGGAATGCTGAAGGATAGTTGAATGATAAAATTCAGACCTGTTTCAAAACATGTTGATTTCAATAGAGCGTTTTGGTTTGAAAATTAAACTTTGTACTCTGTTCTGTGAATAATCGAAGCTAACTTCAAAAACAAGACTATCAACATTCAAATTTTGTAATTGAAATTTCAAGATCGTGGGAAAAACTCATTTACCAAGAACTCCCAATTTGAACATTTTTCTGAAACAGAAGCCGTCACCAAGAGTGCATCAGAAGAAGGTACATCGAGTTTTTCATGTATAGAAAAATCGAATATGTAAAAACTAAGTGGTTTTCTTTCATTCTCCAATGTGTAAGAATAAACCAAAGTACCCTTGGACCCCATATACCTAAGAACTAAACCATTTCTTGATATACCCTTGGAATCTGGACCCGAAACAAATCATAATCAACTGTTGATCTTTCAACCTCATTTTAACCACAATTAGGAGTTGCCACTCATATTTTCAGATGTTATGATTGACATTTACAGACCCCACAGGTGACCGTCTCCCCTCCCCAAAATTTGACTGCCCAAGTTCCTCCTTGTCTCATCTCATCACAAAAAAAAACAACAACTTACACGCTCTCCACTCATCCGGATGTTTGAACGGGAACGCCAATCCGTTATCAATGGCAGCAACGTCGACAGTTGGAATCGAAACGTCGGCCCACTCAATCTCAGCGGGTGCTGGATCATGAAGATTGGGCGATCCGAATTGTGCTGAAATTGAGAAATATAGTGGGATTTGGGGGCGAAATCGATAGAAGCAAGGCTATCAATTAATTGAGAACGGCTGTTAGATCTAGCTTTCTTTCTGCTTGCTGCATTGGTTTCGCTAAAAACAAGAACTATATTGTTGGATGGGGATTCCATGGTACTATAAATATTAGTGATTTGTGGTACTTTTATGAAAACAGAACCATCATCAGAACACGATTATTCAGTTGATCGACTGATCAAAATTCTCAAGAATTCCAACTGGCATGGGCCTACCTGATCACAGAAATCATAACAAATTAATTGAACAAATTTGAAAAATATTGATATTATTTTAGTTTTTGAGGTTCCAGAATTTGTCCTTTTGGAACATCACTTGTTGTACAAGAGAAACAAAAACCTATACAAAATCGTATTAAAGAAAATTATCTTTGAGAATTATGAATATTCGGATCGATGACATCAAGTTTTGCTATTACTGTGGAAATAAAAACACCTTTTTCAAGAAATCGAAAAATCGCAACAGTCTCGAAAGTTTAGAATTATTATGTATTTATTAAAACATCGTTCCTCTCAATTTTGATATCCTAGTACCAACATTCCATCTTGTTTATGTTGATCGTATTTCCCTTTCCCCGTTTGGCAACAGTTTTACGACTTCTGAAGGAAGTATCAGAAGACAAAACTTAATTATCTAACTACTTTTCACCACCCAGTCAACTACTGTACCATTTCTCTCTTTCCTATTTTTTGAATTCTCAAATCAACAATCACATTCCGTTCTCTCGCTCTTTCAATCCGATCAAAAACAATGAGGCGTGGTTTTCAAGTTCGTTTCGAAAAACAGCCAACTCGCAGACCAAAACACCCTTCAACCCAGATGTTGGAAAAGTGGGCGTGTCCAATAACAAGAAATTTTTTTTTCCAGAGAGCGAAAACAACTGAAAACAGATACTGTAGCATTGATAGAGAGAGAGTGAGAAGTGGGAGGTGCTTCGGAGAGAGTCGGTGGTGGCAGACGTCGCAAAAACAACCTCAGAGGGAACGCTAGAAAGTAGAATCTGTAGAGAAACAGAATTGAGTTGTTTACTTTCTCCCTTTGTAGAAGGTCGGTTGGTGTTGCCGCCAAAACTCTCTCCGCCTTTCGAGCCAGTCAGTTCTGCCAGATGTTCACCATTTCAGATTATTTTTTTCCTCTTCCCAACTTTCATCGTTGTCTAATTTCAACGTTTTTCAATTTCAGAGATTTTCTCAAATTACTACAACAGTCTCAGCTGATTGCGCAACTATGAGCGATCCTCAAGCTGAGCAGGATGAGCGTGACCGTGCATTTTCGTTTATGAGCAGCGACTCGGGAGTGGACACGACAACTCATGGACGTCGTATCGAGAAGCCGCTCAAGTCTGTATCTACATACGATAAATACCCACCGTCTGGAATTGTTTCCGAGTCGACCAAATCGATGAGCTTCTCGTCGCCAGGTACCTGAAAATTAGAATAGGATGAGCAAAATGTTTTGATTGATATAGTTCATAGGATTTCGTTTGTGTCTAGTGTAACTTAAAACTCATAGTGTGCCAAGTTGCAATCCTACGCTAAGCTTCGATAGAACCCAGTCCTATACTACAGTTATGAGTTTAAATATCTCGGTTTCTATGAGATATCTCAAAAATCTGTGAACCGATGATATTGGTTATATCACGATAAGTGATTTATCATCGACCATTTTTTATATCTATATCTTTTAAAGAAGATGAGAGTGGGCTTTCATTAGAGCATTTACGGTATTTGAGTTCTACAGTTTTTATAAGTGTTTGGAAACATTCATTCGGATTATTTGTTTATTCAAAAGTAATGTGTTTGGAATTTGGGAAATTCAAAACTAATCGAATTGGAAAATTTTTGATCGTTGAAATAATTTTAAAAAAGACATATCCGAAAGCTTTCAAAATCCTGAAATTGATCAGATACACTTGGGAATATACGGTATCTACAGTATCTAATTTTCAACTTTCTGAAGAAAATTTCTTGTAAAATACCTTCATAACTAAAATTTCCGAAATATATTTCATTACAATATTTCTAGCTGGCTGTTGTTCTTTCCAAAATCAACTATGTGCAGTCTGTTCAAACATAAGAGTAACTAGTCTCCAATTTTTTTTATCCTTTCGGAAAATCTGATTTCAATCGTTTCTAGATTCAAACTTCAATCCTCTCTAATCCATCTAGTTAACATACGCTACAACGATAACATTAGCTTTGTGATTTAAAATAACATTGCAACAATCAAATCAGACGATACTCTAATGTCCTTCACTAATCGCTTTCAGAACGTCACTTTCGATTTCAATCTCTTCTTTCTTAGAAATGTAAACAATCACGGTATCATCAAAAAGAAACTGCTATAAGTAACCGCTCAAGTTTGCCATTTACTTCCAAAACCAATTAGAAAAATTATCTTACACCCCCGATCTTTCCACCTAGAAAAACAACTACTTTCACTCATTCTACCAACATTTCATTGACTGTTCTAAAGTTCATCGAGTTCTTCGTCTGCATTTTTGAAGGTAAAGTGAAGTTTTTAAGTTATACCTGAGGCTTAGCATTGGCGGGGTCGCATGGAACCTCGTTGTTATGAACCGGTGCGCGATCAATCACATCGGCAAGGACATACTTGATAAGCCAGTTGTCACTTCCACGATCTGAACATTTTGTTTGGTTTATGAACTCTTTCTTTTTTCTCACCAGTGTTGCGAATGATATAATCCAATGCGACGAGTTTCTCGAACAAGAACTGAAATTCTCTCTGAGTGATCGGCGGTGGCGCGGTCTCTGGCTGATTGACCCAGGTTCTCAGCCAATGTGCAGCATCTTGATATCCTTTGACAAACAATTGGAAGCTGCCAGTCTGTAAAAATACATTAGATAAGTGTAATTACTCAGTGTGGGAATAATCTTGTTCCACTGAACCCATAGTTCTCCCTAATGGCTATTCCAATTAGCTATTCCACTTGTCTCTGTCCTCCTAAGATGGGTACATTGACCGAGTGCTTCCCGCATTCTTCCCCCTTTTTCCATCATCAATGCACAATGAATTGGCTCCAGTTGTGAAATTCTATGAAAATTCTACTGGAGGGCTCCGTATCTCACAAATTTATCTTTTCGTGCATGACACTCGTTTTCGCGCAGATGGTGGTGGTCGCCTTCCCCTGATGTCTTGGTTTCCTAAATCTATCTCGCCTTCTCCTCCCATCAAATCCCCATTTCCATGCTTGTCAATCCATGAGGATTAGCATTTTCTCCATTTTCTCTCTATCCATATGTTTTCATTTCCTCCGGAATAACTGAATATATAGAGTGTGTGCTCTTTTTCCTCTCATTGTTCCATGTTTAGTGTTTTTTTACAATGAAACAATAGGAACTTGTTTACACCAAAAACTCGAGTAGTTTAATGTTTTTGTCTTGCGAGAAGATGTTTTCTTTATATAAAGGAACACTAAAAAACAAGTTCTGACCTTCTCTACCAAAAACACAAACAACGAAAATCCCGCGAAAAATTGGAAGCTGAATATTTTAAGATGAAAAAAATGTGTTTATGAAAATAATACCATTTTCGCATGATAACTTCAAGAGACAAAAACAGAGGTTGCTCCAGGCACGGTGGAGAATTGAGCAAACAACAATTTCCTCTCTATACTGGAAACTAATAAAATTGGTTTTCTTATTTTGACCACTCTCCATCCCTTAAATAGAAAAATATATCCCTTTAACGAAACAAAAAGTGTTCCTTGTTTATCTCTCTGACCAGTCAGTGTGTTGATGATTGCAGCAAAATGATCGGTTCATAAATCTTGTCTTAGATTTTTCGCGTCTATTCTGGCATCTGTGAACCATCGTTATCTTTTGTTGTGTGCCGAAAGTGTTCGGTTAAATCGTCTGCGGCAAGAACAAAAATGGCAAGTGTAATGAAAAAATCACACACGCAAACATTACAGTTTAAGGAATTTGATTAAAATGCGCGTGACTAATGTGGCAACAATTTTCCGAAAAAGAAAATTTCGAAAAAAAGTTTTCTCGAACGGTTCAATGACACCAACCTGACAAGCGGTAGATAAGGGCAAAAGAAAGGGAATCAAAACCTCATTTTGTTTGTTTGTTTCGAAACATGACTCTTTTTTCCCTAGCACCCATACGGAATTTACTTTTAAAAAATTTATTTATACTATTAAACCCTCTTACCTTCTCTGGTAATCCGATACGATGGAATCGGCGTCCAATATTCGGGTATCTTGACTGAATCCGTTCCTTGGTTCTAGCCTTGGCGCGGTCGATGCGATCGTAGTAGAATGTTGGCGCCGCCAATTCCACGACCCCAGTAGGTGGGACGATTCCCAGTTTGAGTTTCTCATCCACCAACGACGCTCCGACTTCGGACAAGTATCCCTGAAAAAAATACACATAGGTACTCGGTTATTCATTGGTTGTAAAGGACACACATAAACACACATTATTCGGGAAAAACCACCCGATGCTGTCAATCCAGAAATACGAATTTGCGCGAAATGAACTAGGATGACACATAATTATTTCAGTAGTCGTAGTCCTAGTACGCTAAGCACTCATGCGGTCTCTAGGAGGGTTGGAATATTATTTCGTCTTTTTCTATATACCTCCCCTTGAAATCGTTGTGTTGTTCTTTCAAAGTTCATTGACCCGCAGAAAACCGGTAACAACGGCAACATAAATACATATACATGTATACCAATAGTGCCAAGAGGAGAGTGAAAACCATTACACTATTTCACCATTTTTTTTTGTAAATCTCGGAAGTTTTCTTTTTTTTTGTCGCCCCTCCGTTCTTTGTTTCCGCTAAACCCCCATTAAGCACTGGGAGATAAATGTGCATCGTTACAAAAATTTTGAAACAACGAGAAGCATCTTGCATTCTAATTCCATTTCCCCCATTCTCATTCTCGAGCTCAAAAAACACTTCTTCATCAACAACATTTGGCTCTATTCTCCTTTTCACTTCATTTTTCCATTTTCCTCATCTCTTTTCCTTCTCAACACCGATTGGCTGCCATTTGAGAATGAGATGAGGAGAAAAAAAGAAGACGGAGAAGAAGTCATCTTTTCTGGAAAGAATTGAAAATGAAATGTGCTGGACGACAAGACAGCACCAGCGGTCAAAACCGGCCACACAATTGTAGCTCTTGCCACAAAGAGAATGGCAATTATATGAGGCGTTAGGAAATGGTTGGGAAGACCGAAAGGCAAGGGTGAGGAATGTATTGAGCAATTCTATTAAAGTCATTGCTACTAACTACGTTCAGTCTTGACTCGTAGAACAAGAAGAATTCTTCTCGTTTTTCGTAAAGATATTCGTTGTGAATGTGTGTAGGTGTTGAAAATTCAAAAAACAATTTTCAAACAAATTTTTGTTTCTGAATGAGTCCAGATGTGTTTGTACAATTTATGCGTTGTCATAAACAATTCAAAATCTAGTTTTGATTTTTACGACTTCCACAAGAAAATTTCAACCCCATCCACAAATATCGAAATCAGATGGTTTTTTGGTCTTTGTGTGTGTGTGTGCCTTGTCAATTTCTGGGACATGTCGGCTTTTCTTCTTTAGGACACAACGTGCCCATCAAACTTTCGCCCCGTCCTTTTTTGTCCCTTCTATCTTTTTTGCAACTATCCTCTCTCCCACCAAACAAACCAACAAACACCAACTAGCACTTCTTTTCTCCAGAAATCAATAGGTGCACACACCCGAACTCTTTTTGCTCCTGTCAGCTAAAAAACGGCTGGAGGACAGAATTGGAGAGGTGGAAGAGAATAAAAAACACTTGCACACATACACTAACACGTGAATAATTTCAAGAAGAAGCAAACGAGAAGAAGAACAACATCCCGTTTACCAGAATTCTCCTCTTCCTGTGATTTTTTCTATCTACCTTCCCTTCTGAGCACAAAACTCGAATTCGAATCCAAATCCGGTAAGGTTTTGATCCATGGGCCCCCTTCTCCCTAGGAAATGACATATTCATATATCATGCGGACTACTTGGCAGCAGCTTATTTATGTAGAAACCGAAGGTCGTCGGTGCATTTTCTCTTCGTTCTCCACATATCAAGCAATTGGGTTCCCTTCGCTCCCCTTGTTTTTGGGGTGACATTCATAGTCCCTTGGGTCCAACCAATAATTCGTTTTTTTCCTTGGGACGACAACTAGTATTCCCTATTTAGAACTAAAAATGGGTGGAGAGAGACAATGATAACAAAAGTGTTTTATAACCTTCAATCTTATCAACATGAATAGCTTGTTGCGGAATGAGGAGGTTAGAATAACAGTTCGGCGCCTATCACCTTATTTTCTCTGTGTTTTTTTCTTGTGTGTTTCGAAAGTGTGAAGACAGAGCGGATTATGTCTGTGATATACACTCGTTATCAAGACTGCCTTGAACAAAAAAAGTAGAGTTTTTATTCTTGAGAAAACCTACAACTCAAGAACTAGTACTATTTCCCAAGCCTCTTTTGCACATATACATATATTCTAATTCCAAAGTAGGTTTTCCACCATTTTTTTGGCGACATTTCAAAGAGTCATCATAGGGCCCAGAGTTTCCAAGAAGCGAGCCCAGAGAGCAACCCTTTGCTCGTTCTTGGAGCGCAAGACTTCCCTTTTTCCTTCCCCGTTTGTTGTTGTCGTCGTCAACAACACAGAGCAAGGGGCGCGCCTCCCAGATCGATGGCTCACACCAACCACTCCAAAAGAAGGCGTGGCTCTGATGTCGTCGTCCGTGCTCCGAAAACCCTCGTTGCTCTTTTTTTCATCATCTCTTCTCTCATCGGCTCACACTATGTTTACTTGTTTACCTCGATGGCCTAGTAAGGAGTGAAAAAAAGAGCAACTAGGAGAAGAGGAAAAAGAGCCGCTGCGTGTGTGCGCGCCAAAGTCACAATTGTCCACCATCCGCAGTTTCCTTTTTTGCGCTTCAAAATTGGTGACTCTCTTGTGCTCTTTGTGTATGTTCATGTGTATTTCATATTATTGGTAAATAGCCAAAATCATAAAAACTGAAGAATGCCTTGTTTTCTCAATGTCAAAAACAAAAACAAATGAGACACACAATTTGAGGTGCTGATTGAGAAAAGAAGAATAGTATTATAACTATATAAGTGGGCGTGGGAGGAACAAAAATGACCAACGACATCCTTTTTTCTAGCTAAAAACTCTAGTAGCCCCCTTGAGCAACATGGACACATGACCTGCTCTCCAGCATACCTATGCTCTTTTTGGTTGCCAAGCAATCCTCTTCCTCCTCTTTTTCCCATCCGCTCAGTTTGCTCTGCACGCATTTCAGTTTTATTATTATGAATCTATGCGAATATACATGTATATTTGGGAAAAATGAATTACAAAAGAACAGACAACAGGCAAATAAACATGCCGACTTCCGACCTCCCCTGTCACCATTGAATGCTCAGTCTTCTTCGCGACTTTTTTGAAATTCGATCTACATCACAACAGCGCATCTTTCCTTCTTGCTCTTTCTCTTCCTCTCTCTTTAGACCAAAACATGCAATCTCACTAGAGAAAAAAGATTTAAACCGAGATTTACTACTCTGATTTTGATTTTGATTCTGACTCTGATTCTAAATTCAAATTGGCCCAAATCGGGAAATAGTAAGTTCGGAGAAAAAGTGAAAATTTTTTGAGTGCCCACACCACCACTTAAAATACTTTGTTTTCTAAACATTGTCTCATCTCAAGGTTTTTCCAGCCATCATAGAACATATTTCAATGAGGTGGAATGAAAACAGACTAGTTTTGCGCTTCGGGCCCCCCAATTGTTGCCATACTTCTACGGAAAACTGAGAAAAAGACGACCTCCGCCTAGTAAACAATTTCCAAAGCTGCCGCCAAGCATTCGCCCCTTATTTTCTACTTTCTAAAACTCTTCCACTACTCGCTCCCCCATTAATTGCCGGAGATAACTATTGCAGCATGCTGATGTGCTCCATTGGATGTTCTTCAGCTGTGGCGTAAATAGCAGCACCCCAGGTCGTCAGCTAGTTGTGAGCGAAGCATTACCGGAAAGTGCCCTACACGATCCACCATCTCAAGCGCTCAGAACTCTCTCACCGGTTTCACCGCCGACCGCTAATTCTAGTAGTTCAACTAGCAGATCTTGTTCACCAGTTGTACGGGCCGAAGCTATCGTTCCTGGCAAGTGGACGCACATTTCGGGAAAAGTCTCCGTTCGGCCTTTGACGCCTTCTGAAACCGAATCGGTCCTTGATCGGCAACGACAGAAAGTTCAACGATCTTCTAGAAAAGGTTTCTGTGTGTGTGTGTGCTATTTTTTTTCAAATTTTTGTTTGATTTGCAATTCGAAGTTTGAATCAGAAAATTTCGTTTCTAGGTAATGTGACTCCAAAAATGCACGCTAGTTGTTTCAATCCTTTTGCTCATCATTTCTTTTTCACCAATAGAAAATTAGACATCTCAAGTTTTCATCTCTATCCTGTTTTAGACAAGCTCAAAATGTCGAGCCACGACGATACTCGAAGCTCTGGAGGAGGAGGTGATGGAACCATCCATATCCCGTCTGCAGACTCGAAGGAGCCAACTCCGGAGAGCCCAGGCTCTCGTTCCAACTACGGAGAGTTCTACTGGTATGTGAAAGTTTGTCAAACGCTTCATGCATGCGCTTTCTCGGCTTGGTGCAAAATCTCTCACTCTCGAGATTTTCCACCAATGTCTTCTTTTTTGAGTATCTCTCCCTCTCTCTACCCCCCAATTTACACGCCGCACATCTTCTCCCCGTTGTCTGTCTCCAAAAATTTGTGTTTTTCCCTAAAAAACCTAAAAAACAAAACTCCCGAAAATTCCTATGTCTCATAGAGAGCCTCGCTAGCTGGCTTAGTATACTTTTGGATTCACAAAAAATCTAATTTCTAATTTCTTAAGTCCAACAACGGACAGTTTGAAAACGTACTCGTACACTATTCATATGAAGAAAACGGAGGAGGAAACTCATGAGTATGACAGTGACACGTGGTAAGTTGAATCAGGTCTAAAATCGAAGGTTAGATTATTCTAGTTGAGGTTAAAAATAATAGTCCAAAACCTCATAATATTGTCTTCATCTTTTTGCCTTATAACTCGCTTGGTGTTAAAACCAAACTCTAACATCACGCGTTGACGAAAAAGCTGGAAAAAAACAACTACAACATCCAACTCAAATAAATAAGTTGCCGTGTTGCATGCAATTAGTCACGTGTTTTCTTGTTAAGGGATGAGTACTCCAGGGATACATCTGGTGAGAACAACTATCACAACACATCTTCTTTCGATGATGATCTTCTTCTCGAGATTGATAGCTCTCGTGGAGCCGCCGTTGCTCGTCTTGACCGTACTCAGGTATTTGACTAATTGGCAAAGACTAAAATCAGTAGAGAGACAAAAATTTCAGGACGACTTGAACAAATTCCGCCAACGTATTGACAACAACGTTGAGCAACAAAGAGAGTACAGCGAAATGATGGCTTCTCTCCAAAACAAGGTAACTATTATAAGACAATTCGAGATATAAATAATTCTCATTTTCAGGTGCATGAGTACCGCAAACACATTGCTGAACTTGAAGGAAGAATGGTGGGAGCTCGTAACCGTATGCTTGATGACCCAAGTTCCAACGTCATGATTTTTGACAACTACGATCCAGGAAACACCTACATGTAACACCCAATTTTAACTTCAGGCAGATAACAACATATTTTCAGCACCAACCACAACGTGGAGCTCTGGAGTCCAGCTCGCGGAAAGCGTGAGACCATTCTTGGTGGAGGTGGAGCCGGAGGGCTCACCACTGTCAATGTTCATACTGGAGCTGGACTCGGAGGATTCGGGTCAAGTGGAGTTGCTGGATATGGAGGAGGTCAAGCTGGAGACCCAAATGCCAACTATGAGATGATCGCAAGATTGGATGAGGAGAGAAGACGTTCCGATGAGTATAGAATGCAATGGGAGAATGAGCGTCAGAAATCGTTGGCCCTGGAGGATGAGAATGATCGTTTGAGACGCGAGTTCGAACGTTATGCTAATGATAGCAAAGATAAGGAGAAGACTTTCGTCAATCGTGAGAGAGTAAGAACTTGGAAACGATTTTAAGGGAATAATACGTGGTGATTTCAGAATTTGGCCCAATATCTGAGCGATGAGCAACGCAAGATGTTGGACTTGTGGACTGAACTTCAACGTGTTCGCAAGCAATTCTCTGATCTCAAGGTCCAGACCGAGGAGGACCTCGACAAGCAGAAGACTGAGTTCACTCGTGCTCTTCGCAACGTCAGCAGCATTTCTCGCAATGCTACTTTCACCGGAGGAGCAGGAGATTCGCTTGGTCTATTCGGATTGGATGATGGAATTGATGTGAACAGAACCACCAACAACTACGAGAAGGTTCTGATTGAGACTGTCAAAAGAATTAATACCGGAAAGGCTGGTGGAGCATCGAGTGCTGAACTTCTTGAGGAATTGAGAAAGATTCGAGGAGGAGGCAGCTCGGAAGGAGATGCTGAATTGCACAAGGAGTTGATGACCAAGTACGAGGAGTCCATTGAGAGAAACATCGAGTTGGAGTCTAAAGGAGATGATGCTCAGAGAAAGATTGCTGAGCTCGAGGCTGAACTTCGTCGCAACCGCGAGAAACTCAATGAGCACCAGAGTGCACTCAAGAAGCTTCATGAAATGGCTCAGGACAGTGAAAAGAATGTTGATGGAACTGTCTCGATCAAGAGAACCAGATCCTTGTCTCCAGGAAAGACTCCACTTCCACCATCGGAGGCTCTTCGTGCCGTTCGTAACACCTTCCGCAACAAGGACAACGACATTCAACAGTTGGAGAGGAAACTCAAGATTGCTGAGAGTCAAGCCAAGGAGTTCTTGAACAAGTTCGAGAATGCTGATGAGGCTCGCCGTCGTCTCGACAAACAATTGGCTGATGCCAAACGAGAGATTAGCAATCTCCAGAAGAGTTTCGACGAAACTGAACGCACTTCTCGTCGCACGGAAGACAAGCTTAGAGCATCTGAAGCTGAACGTGTTGCTGCTGAAAAAGCCAGAAAGTTCTTGGAGGATGAGCTCGCCAAGTTGCAAGCATCCTTCCAAAAGAGCACCACTGACGACGCTCGCAAGCTTCGTGATGAGATGGATGAGCACACCAATTCTATCCAGGAGGAGTTCAAGACTCGTATCGATGAGCTCAATCGTCGCATCGAAAACCTTCTACGCGAGAACAACAGATTGAAGTCTGAAGTCAATCCATTGAAGGACAAGTATCGTGATCTCGAAAACGAGTACAACAGCACCCAACGTCGTATCGAGGAGCGTGAAACTCAACTCCGTTACGCTGATGATATTCGCAAGAATATTCAGAAAGACTTGGATGATTTGCGTGAGAAGTACGATCGTGTCTATAGTGACAACGAGAAGATTCTTGGAGAGTTGGAGCACGCCCAGAAGGCTGCTCACCTTGCTGAGCAACAGTTGAAGGAAATCAAGATTCAACGTGATGACTACCAGAAGCAGAAGGATGAGCATGCTCGTCATCTTTTCGACATCCGTCACAAGTTGGAGACTGAAATCAAGGGACGTCAGGACTTGCAGAAGAATGGAGCTCGCAGCAATGATGAGTTGGATAAACTTCGCCAAACGATCAGCGACTATGAGAGTCAAATCAATCTTCTCCGTCGCCACAATGACGAATTGGATACCACCATCAAGGGACATCAAGGAAAACTCACTCAATTGGAGAATGAGCTGCATTCTCGTTCCGGAGAAATTGAGAAGTTGAATGATTTGAACCAACGTCTTCAAAAGGAGAAGCAAGAGGTTCTTAACCAAAAGCTCAAGCTGGATGGAGATGTTCAAGCTCTCAAGGAGACCATCAGAAAATTGGAGAACGAGTTGGAGAAACTTAGAACCGAGAACAAGGAACTTGTTGGAAAGGAAGCTCGAGCCAGAGATGCCGCTAACCAACACTTGTCTCGTGCCAATCTTCTCAACAAAGAATTGGATGATACCAAGCAAGACCTCAAGCATTCTTCTGAAGTCAACAAGCAATTGGAGCAAGACATTCGTGACTTGAAGGAACGCTTGGCTAATATGGGAAGAGGAGGACGTGTCTCTCGCGATAGCACCACCACTGGAACTGATGGAGGAGCTTTCGGAGATCGTAGCAGTGTTGCTGACGCCAACAGAAGCCGTGGAGCTGCTGGAACTGATGTCTATATTCCAGCTGCTGAGGATATTGAGAGCCGTGGAAGTGGTGAAATCAACATTCCATCATCTACTGGAGATGTTATTCATGGTCGTGATGGACGTGATGGAAGAGATGCTACTGGACAACGTGGAACTCACACTATCACCAACACCAAGGAAAGAATCGAGAGAATTGAAAAGAACATTCTCGATCGTTATCATGATGATGAGCTCGCGGAGCACAAGATTCGTGAGATCAATGATCGTTGGAAGAGAGAGTTGGAGCGTCTCGAGAACGACAAAGACGATTTGGAGCGCAGAATCCGCGAGCTTGAAGATGAGCTTTCTCAGATTGGTCGCGGAAACGACAAGACTGAGAATGACATCACTGAGCTGAAGAGAAAACATGCTGCTGAAATAGACAAGCTCAAGAGTGACATCAGTGCTCTTCACGATAAGCATCTCAGTGATTTGGATGATGAGAAGGAGCAGTATGGAAAGGCTGTTGAGAATTTGAAGTCGGTCGAAGATGATCTCCGTGACAAGCTTAACAATTTGGAGAAGCAGTTGGCTGACTCTCTCAACCGTGAAAATGTGCTTGAAAGAGAGAAGAGAGACTATGACGAGAAGGTCAACAGTCTCTACACTCAGAACCAGAAGATCAAGGATGAGTGGGATGATTTCCGCAATGATGCTGATAAGGAAATCCAGAAATGGAAGACTGATGCATACACCGTCCGTTCTGAAGCCAAGGCTCTTGAGACCACTAACACTGCTTTGAAGGCGCAACTGCAAGCTGCTCAAGACAGAATTGATCATTTGACTAAGACAGTCAATGATCACACCGCTAAAGTCCGCGACTGTAAGTTTTTTGTTTTTCAAATTGTATGATCATCGTTTAAAAAATTCTTTCAGTGACTTCACAAATTCGCCGCTTGGAGGACGAACTCTCCGATAGCAAGGGCAACCTTGTCCAAAAGGAGATGGACCTTGAGAGTGCCCAAAATCGTCTTCGTTCTTTGGAGGATCAATACAGCACTCTCCAGAGTGATTCCAACAAATGGAGAGGAGACTTGGATGCTGCACTTCGTGAAAATGACGTTCTTAAGAGCAACAACACCAACATGGAAGCCGATTTGACCCGTCTTAAGAACCGTCTCAAGTCTGCTGAAGATGCACTAAAGGAGTTGAAGAGCAGCTTGAGCCATGCCAAGACTGAAAAGGAACGCCTTCAGAATGCCTTCCGCGAGAAGACCAAACAAGCTGATCATCTCAACCAGTTGGCTTCTCAATTCGACACCAAGTTGACTAAACTTCGCAATGAGCTCCAAGACACCAACGACAAACTCATCACTTCTGATACTGAGAGAACCGCTCTTCGTAATGAACTTCAGAAACTCAGCCAAGAGCTCAAATTTGGAAATGAGCAAATTCAGCGCAAATCCGATGAGTACCAAACTACCATTGATGATTTGGCTCATTCTCATCGTGTTTCTGAGGACAGCCGTCTCAATGCGCTTCAGGAACTTGGTATTCTATTTTGACTTTCTTAAATCTTTCGAAAATATTATTTTTCAGAGGCCAGAAAGTATGAGATCAATGATTTGACCTCTCGTCTTGACAGCACCGAACAACGCTTGGCTACTCTCCAGCAAGACTACATCAAGGCCGATTCGGAGAGAGACATTCTCTCGGATGCGCTTCGTCGTTTCCAATCATCCGCCAACCGTGTCATCAACTTCCACACTTTCGTCGATGGAGGAACCGGATATGTTGATGGAGGAGCCAGTGTCATTGGTGGAGGACCATCCGCTCAACGCTCGGGAGCCTACGATCCAGTCAGTGGAGGTGGTGCTGAAACCGGAATCAGTGGAGGACCAGGCGGATCTGATTTCGGTCGTGAAATCGAAATAGGTCGCGGTGACTCGGACTTGTCCGATGTTGCTTATCCTCGTTCGGTTCCGTTCCCACCATCTGCTGATTATAGCAGTGGACGTCCAGGCGCAACATCTGGTAAGCTATACAAAAAATCGATGCTAATTATAAAAACTGTTTTTCAGCCGGTGGACGTGTGATCAACAACATCGATGGAACCACTACTGTCAACATGAACGGTGGATTCGACATTGCTAACCTTGAAGGAACTCTCCAATCGTTGCTCAACAAGATTGAGAAGCTAGAAATGGAACGCAACGAGCTCCGTGACACTTTGGCTAGAATGAAGAAGAAGACTACCGAGACTCATACCACCATCAACCAGAAGGAGACTCGCTACAGAAACATTGAGGATAACCTCCAAGATGCTGAGGAAGGTATGAATCTAAACAATTAAGATCGAAATTTATTCACAATTTTTATAATTTTCAGAGAGACGTGCTCTTGAATCTCGCCTTGCTTCTGCCAAGACTCTGCTCCGCTCCCAAGAGGAAGCTCTAAAGCAGAGAGATGAGGAGCGTCGCCAGATGAAGTCCAAGATGGTTGCTGCTGAGCTTCAAGCTCGCGGAAAGGAAGCTCAACTCCGTCACTTGAATGTAAGTCGTCACGTCTTGAGGGAATATTCTTAACATTGTTTTTAGGAGCAACTCAAAAACTTGAGAACCGATTTGGACAACGCTCACACTGACATTCGTTCTCTCCGTGACAAGGAAGAGCAATGGGATTCTAGCCGCTTCCAATTGGAGACCAAGATGCGTGAGAGTGACTCGGACTCCAACAAACTCCAACTCCAAATTGCTTCGTTCGAAAGTGAACGCCAAATTCTTACCGAAAAGATCAAGGAATTGGATGGAGCGCTTCGTTTGAGTGACTCCAAGGTCCAAGACATGAAGGATGATACCGACAAACTCCGTCGTGATCTCACCAAGGCCGAAAGTGTTGAAAACGAGCTTCGCAAAACCATTGATATTCAAAGCAAAACTTCACATGAATACCAACTTCTCAAAGACCAACTGGTCAATACCCAAAATGAATTGAATGGTGCCAACACTCGGAAGCAGCAGTTGGAGAACGAGCTTCTCAATGCTCGTAGCGAAGTCCGCGACTACAAACAACGTGTCCATGACGTGAACAACCGTGTTGCCGAGCTTCAACGTCAACTCCAAGACGCCAACTCGGAGAAGAACCGTGTCGAGGACAGATTCCTTTCCGTCGAAAAGGTTGTCAACACGATGAGAACCACCGAAACCGATCTCCGCCAACAGCTCGAAACCGCTAAGAACGAGAAACGTGTCGCTCTCAAAGAACTCGAAGACATCAAGAGACGTCTTTCTCAATTGGAGAACGAGAGACGCAACTCTTCTCAACTTGCTGATGGATGGAAAAAGGAGAAGGCCACTCTCATGAAGAAGATTGAACTTGTAAGTCTGAAGAATTGCAGGAATAGTTTTTTTTATCAAAATTGTTTCAGCTCGAAAATGAAAAACGCCGCACTGACGCCGCCATCCGTGAGACAGCACTCCAACGTGAAGCTATCGAAAAGTCGTTGAACGCTATGGAGCGTGAGAATAAGGAGCTCTACAAGAACTGTGCCCAACTCCAGCAACAGATTGCTCAACTCGAGATGGAGAATGGTAACAGAATTTTGGAGCTTACCAACAAGCAGCGTGAGGAGCAAGAGAGACAACTCATCAGAATGCGTCAGGAGAAGGGACAGGTTCTTGATCAGGTGTAGGGCATGTGTGATATTGAGGATTTACAGATCGAAAAAGTCATTGAGAACCGTGAGCGTACTCATCGCAATCGCATCAAGCAACTCGAAGACCAGATTGCTATTCTCCGTGACCAACTCGATGGTGAACGCCGTCGTAGACGTGAATATGTTGATCGCTCTATGGTCAACGATATCGGACGTCTTGGATCCAATGTTCTTGGAATTCGCAATAGCTATGGAGACAACAACATTGATGCCATCATCAATGGAGGAAGCCGGTCCGTTGGGTGAGTGGGATAGATTTTGGATAATGTGTTTTTTTGTCTTGCATTAAATTCTAACATTTCATTATGACTTTTAAAACCTAGAAAATAGAATTTCAGAAAATAGAATTTCAGATTCTATCCACGCTCGACATTCGCTTCGAACCCATTGACTCCACCATTTGGAACATCCACACCAACTCACCGTCCACACATCACCGACTTCAGAAGCGCCGTTGATGCCGGAAGCAGCTATCGCCGTCCAATCTCGACAATTGAGGATTCCGGTATGGAAGTGACATTCAACACTTATCCACCACAAGAAGTTTCTTTCTCACATCAACAAAACACACCGGTTATTCGTGTACATAGAAGTAAAAGCCGTGAGGTGATGCATCAAGAGGTGTTTGAAACTCGTGAGATGCATCACCGTGAGACCAGAGAAGAGGGTCAACAAATTCATATTCCATCGAGTGCAGAAAACCAATAAATTCTAGAAATTTACACTTTCACAAAACGTCTACCCTCTGTGTGAACGTCCATTTTTGAATCCAATTTGTCTTTCTTTTTTCACTCACACTCGCGTGATTAACCGAAAACTTCTCGACTTTTTTTTTCGTTAAAGAAACTTCTCAGAATCCATTAACATTTGGAAAATAGAGACGGAGCATGATGAATAATTCATTTCTCGTAGCACGAGAAACTAGTGTGTACACATTTTTCCACTCCCTAATGTTTTTTTCCTGATACACCGATTTCTTAGTGTACAGATGTACAGTAATTCTTATCCGTTTTTCATGTCCGTCTCTATTTTCCTACAAAAAAACACAATACGACCCTAATGTGCCGATATACCCCTATGTCTCCTGAAACCAATCAAAACCCTTTTCTAGGATCGGTGTACGGCGGCTCGATTAGAGATCGCGACTCGGTCTACGGTGGCGGCGGCGGACGCGACTCGTCGTTCGGTCAACGTGCCGGAGACTCGATCTCTCGCACTGGCGTCGAACCACGTGATCCGTCCATCGTAGAGATTCCATCCAACGAACCGATAATGACGTCGTCCACCCATTCTCAAGGAGGATCTCGCTATGACACTTTGGCACCTAACCGCGACGACTTGTAGACGCAAAAAACCACCGCTTGACCATCAAATAAACGCTTGATCGCCATCTAACCAAGAGCAACTTCACACATTTAACCCCCTTCGAAACGCTTTTCTTATTGCTTCCATTGCTTCATTTCCTTCTCGAATTCGTCTCCGTTTCCATTGTTCATTAAAACACAATTCCCCGATTTTTTCCTTTTTCACGAACAAAAGTTCCAATAATTTCCCCTGTCTCTGTCTCTTCTTTTTCTCATTTCCACGTGACTCCACTTCTCTACTTTCTTTTCTATCGTTTGACTACTGCCCGATCCGTTTGACACTAAGTCAAACGCTGAATTTTTTCTTTAATTGTAAAATTGCCACCCATATTAGTTAGCAACAACCCACTCCATGGATGTAATAAAGTATGTATTTACCCCGGCAAAAAAGTTCAAGCTGAAAATTCTAAAAGAGTCCAATTAGAGATTAGAGTCCAGGAGGCAACAGACAAAAAATGGAAAAAAAGCAAACTACTCACTTGGTTTGGTGGCAGACAGCTACGCCCAAAGCAGCACGGCAGGAATACACGGTGAATCCATTTCAGCCATTTTGGATTCAACGATCCGTATGGCTCCTCGTTTTTCGGTTTGAAGACTGCGATGATTTCCTGGAAAAAAAGTATCAAGTTTCAGAAAGAGAGAAGTATCTTCCTGGTTTTCTTAATGCGCTCCCTCATTTGGTAAGAGTCGTCTTGATGAGAAAATTTTGAGAGACACATTTTGAGAAGCTATGTTGTTTTTCAATGAGTCATCATGTCTAGATATGAAATTATCAAAGAAATACGCCAGCAAAACAACAAAACAACGTGTTTTGTGCTATGCCTTGTGAGTTTTGATCCGATGGATGGAAATACGTCATAAAGCGAGTAACTAACAAATACGGAATAGTCATGGGACATTTTTTGTGAAAAAATTCAACTTTTGGTTGAAATTTGTTTTGTTCTTTCTTGAACTGCGAGCAGGATAACCTTTCATAACAATTGATGTTCGAGAATCTCGGTTTGAAGGTCCAAAGGTGAAATTGGCTACTCACATCTGCCGTATTCTTGACAAAATAGCTTCCACTGGATCCCTGAGCAATTCTCTGCGGGTAGTGTCCGTTGTGAATCGCACGGCACGCCTCGTTGAACTTCAATGAAATGGTAGCACCAACAGTCGACCCGTATGCATCGCTTCCTGGAATAATGACCGGGTTGGATGCTGTTCTTGTTCTCGAGACTACAACAAACCTGTGTGCAAAAGGTCATCGTCAGAAGTGTACGGGTCTTGGTAGTCGCTGCATCCTCCAAACTCCACAGTTGCGTCGTCAGTGTTGTTTCCGAATGGTCTGGAAAAACGAAAAGATTTTGAAAAGAAAATGGAAATGTCAAAAATTCACCTATGAAGTGGTGCAGTTTGTTCGGATCTTGTGGATCTCTCGTGTCTCGTCTTCTTGCCTCTTGATCCCAACAATCCAACATTCTCATCACAAGTCTCCACCTCTGATTCGGACGCTCCGGAGGATGACATTCTGACGGTACGACGGTTTGGAGAAATGACCGACGTATCTGGAAAAATTGCATAGTTATGGGACTAGAACGTTAGTGATAAGATTGTATGAAGTGTTACATTGTGGCCTAACGAAAGAATCTAACAGAAATATTGACAAAAACTTGTTATACGCTTTTTTTCTATCATATAATGTGGGAGGTTTCTAAAAGCTGTTCATCTGAGGGTCACAGTTTAATCGACATCTTTATGCAGATGTTACACATTTTTTGTCGAAATGGAAGCGAAAATCGAAATTTCTTGAATTCGACATGAGATTTGAAAAGAGAGATAGGTATCTCCCTCTCTCAGTCGTTGGATCGTTTGCGGCGTGTTTTTTCTCCTTTAAGTTGAACTAATCTGTCATAAGGAATATCGGGAGTGCTTTTTCATTTTGATAAGTAGATTTGGTGTCTCAAATAAGATTTGGTGTCTCAATGAAGAAAGGCGTTCAAAAAGTGATAACCGTCAAGTTTTTCTATGAATATCGAAAGATTTCGAAAAACACAGGTAAGAAAAAACTCACGAAAATGTCAATTTTGGTTGTTTCAGCAGAAAAACAGTTTTTCTTTCTCAAAATTTGTGTTTTTCGAGTGCGTTTAAAACTAATCTTGTGAAAAAAATCCAAAATTTCAAAGCTTCTGTCAAGCAGAATTTTGGCATTTTGCTGAAGTTTGAGATATTGCCATGGGCACCGAAACCAGCAATCCTCTGCTCGCTAGCCACATATCGATTTTGCACACCGCCGACCGTTCCTCAGTTGTTTTTGTGTGTTCGCCTTGCGGAAATCAAATAAATAATACTCACCGGTCTCGTTTTGTCTGTGGTTCATGACGTGAAGCTCAATCTTGCTAAAAAAATAAACAAATGAGCATTAAAACACTTGGATTCAAAACAAAAAAAAAAATAATCGTTATAATTCAATTTTTCCTATGAAGAATGCCCTAGAAGGCCTAAAAAGGTCTTGTTTGGCATGAAAAGTCACTCAAATGAAGAAGAAAAAATTTAGAAACAATAATTAACTTTAGAAACCTCTAAAATCTCAAGAAAATGAATGGCAAATTGCAAAAAAATGACTGCGATTGCATTAAAAACACATATCAAGAGGGGGAGTCCAATGGGGCGCGTTTGCACCAGCCGGGTCACCCGGCGGGCAAGGAGTCCGTTTTAGTGCGTCTGTGAGCGCGCGGTGTGGTGTGGGGTGATGGTGTGTCTTCTTGTTGTTCTCACCTGGGACCATCTGTCATGAGACCAAATTAACATTGTTGTAAAATATGACAGCAGGGGCGATTTGAAAATGCTACGGGCTAACGGTTTAAATCTGAATTTGAATATAACTGTATTGTCTACACATGGGAATTTGAAATTTACAAAAAAGTAGATTCAAAAAAGGAAATTATTTGTTTCAGATATTTTTTGCAATGATGAATCACCTTCAGAAATCGTATGTGTGTTTGTATACTCTCGTTCTCTTCTCTCCGTACAGCAGCAACAGACCTCATTTGGTTACACAGTCACACTCCCAGGGTCTTCCATCTTCATTCGTCGTTTCATAATAGTTCGTCTTCTTGCAATTGTGTCGACAAAAGATCTTCCTCCCCCTAGAAACTTCACTTCGAATAAATCCGGACCCCGTCTATCTGTCTAGGCACCGCCACATCCATCCAACCGATCGTACGCCATTCGTCCCAAGCATTACACTGTTGGAAGGAAGGGCAAATACACACACAGACTCTCACATACACTCTCGGGAGCCCGTCCAATCGCCCCACTCTCATTTGTAGTCTCTGCCTTCTCTTTTTTCCTGCCCCTACACAAACAGCACCTACCTCCGCATATCCACTAAGATCCTCTTTGCATTTTCACTACTGAATCTTTTTTCTTTTCTAGAAATCACATTTGTCACGCCGCCGTAGAATGTCGTCTGGAGATGCTCCGTTAGACGTCGTGGGTGTGGAGAAGATTGGGTCTAAACCAAAAAGTAAAGAATTCTACCCGTTCGCCTATTCCTTGTTAGACTCGACCAAAAACCATTACTGTTGGACTTGTTTAGGAGAAACTGTAGATTTGTGAGTTTCCTCCAAATGATCTCAAATTATATGAAGTGATAATGTTCAGAACATGCGACAAGTGTAAAGTGGCAAAATTTTGTTCCAAGCAGTGTCAAACTTCGGGAGCCTTTGACCACAAGGTATCTTTGATCTTTGGCGTTTGAAATCCAACGGATAGTTTACAGTACGAATGTGGACCTTTACACAACTGCAAAGATCTCAATACAGACGAACGGATGCTTCTTAGAATTATTGGCAGATACAAGGTCTCAAAATTTCTTCTGATTTTTTTGCAACAAAAAGTATCTGTTCAGGACATTCTCGATGGGAATGACAAAAAAATTGATGGGTTCTATACCAATCGAGAGAGTGGCCGAAGTGTCATGCAAATTTGGGAACATTGTGCTGATATGAAAAAGGACGAAAATGCAATGAATGTTTTTAAGAGTGAGTCTACTAGAGCTACGAAACTTTGGCGACGAAATGGAGAAAAAAAACTTCTTATCACAAAAGTTTTTCAGAAATTTATGACCGTGTGAAACAATACGGGGACAAAACGCACTTGGTTGACAAAGACACCGCTTTCCAACTTCATTCCAGAAACTTTATCAATCGACACAGCATTTCGAATGTAGACTATTTGAGAGAAATTGGAAAAGGGTTATATTTGGACCTCTGTCGTTATGATCACTCGTGCAGACCCAATGCGGTACGATTAAAATTTTAAAGAAAAGATGGAAATCGATTTTTTTTTTCAGATCTACAGTTGCAATGGCACCGTAGCTAAACTTCGAGCTCTACACGACAACGTGGATTTGGAAAATGTGGAAACCACTCACTATACATATATCGAACTTCCTCCGTTAGTTTGAAGCTGAAAATAGAAACGAAAAATTGGGAAAATTGCAGGTGTAAAATCCAGCGGCGCCACATGCTCAAAGAAACGTGGTACTTCGAATGTCACTGTGAGCGATGTGATGATCCGGAGGATAACTGGCTTACAGCTGTTATTTGTCCGGTTTGTATTGCGAAGGTAAAAAGAAAAATTAAAGAAAAAAGACAAATTGCAACTTTTTTAGACCGAATTTCGTAAAACGATCAAACTGCATGGCCAGGAAGCGTATTTCAATTCAGAAACGTTGGAAATTGTCTGCGATAGATGTCACACCACACTAGACAGGGTTAGAATTTGAAAATTCCTTACTATAATATTATTTAAAATCGTAGGAGTACATTTTCATGGCACTGGATGGGATGAGAACAATTCGAAGAACAATCGAAGGAGCTGAAGATGTCTCGGTAAGCCATAATCTCTCAATGCTTCATAAGTTACACGTTCAATTTTATGTTTTAGCAAGACCCGGTAGAGCTCCTGAAAATCTTCCAAGGAGCACTTCTGAGCTACGAGCGTATTCTTCCAATGTCAAATGCCTATTTTTGTCAACTGATTGCCGCTATGATTCCATTGATTGCTCGAGTTCAGATGACTAAAAGAGAAAGACTGGTGGCTTCACTGGATTTGCATTTCAAATGTGAACCGTTTGTGAGATACGTCTATCGTTATGCTCATCCTTCAAAGGCAATGCACTTTTTGTAAGTTTTAACTTGTTATACTTTGACAATTTATAATAAATACAGGCAAATGGGACAACTCCACTTGGAACTGCACAACGACAAAGACGCGGCAAGATATCTTATCGAAGCGCATCGCATCATGGATTATCTCTTTGGATCCGACCATTTCCTGTCAAAACAAACCAAGGGATTTATGGATCACGCACTCTCGTCACTCATGCAATTCCAGAGAAGTTTTGTGAATGTTCTTGAAAAAGCACCGGAAGCTAAAAAAGCGTTGGAAGAGAAATTGATGACCAAGGACGAGAAGAAAGCGTTGAAGGATGCAGAGAAGAATAAAAAGAAGAGGAATAATAAGAAGAATAAGAAAAATGCTTCGAATGGAGCATCAACCAAACAATCCGTCGATGATGATCTTGGAGACCTTCCAGAACTTATTGCAGATATGTAGATCCTGAATGCTAGCCTGTTTTAATTCAGTTGAATATTTTTAATTTATCCTATTTTTTTCAGTCCTACTAAATTTCAAATTTTTACTTTATTGTTTGAAATTAAAATTTCCATTTCAAATGTGAATCTTCGGAATGTTTCTAATTCAATTTCAAAAACTGTCAAAAATCTCCAGACAGCGAAAAATGACTGTACGTCTGGTCCATTGTGCATCGATCAAGAATTGCATAGGCTATTGGTTAATTGTATTGTTGCCTTTCCTTTGACACAAAATGATTCAGCTCCCATCAAAAACCAAGAAGAGTGTGGCAAGGATGCGCAATAGAATAAAAACTAAAGGTCGTAAAATATATTTTTTTGAAAAAGATCCTAATACTCTGATACAACGACGTCTTGTATTGGAGTTTGAGTTGAATTATCTCGATCCCTGTAAAAAAAATCGGTGAACTGTAAAAGTGTTGGTGATAGATATCATGACAAAAATTCATCAATTTTACCATTCTGGATATCTTTCATAGGCACCCAGATAATTGAGCTTAAATGCAAGCTCAGGTGACATTCTATTAGAGTATTCTAGGTACTTTTGTTCTAAAAAAGTACCAGAACATCGAAAATGATCAGTTTATCAAAAAATACAGAATAGTAAACTTTGTATTGGTATGCGTCCAATGTCTGAATTGTGAGTACCTTTCACAAACAACGTTTTTCGTATCGCTAATTTTTTACAGGTCCAGTGTCAGTGTCAATGTCATATCAAAATAATCATCGTAACCTTATGTCCGTCCACCAAAAAAAAATTGCTAACTGGACCAAAAAACCATGGACTTCGCCTTTCCTATCACTAAAAACTACTCGGAAAAAAACGCTATTTTGTCTGGTGAGTCGTTGAAACGAAGCCATATAAGTTCTCATCACGCATGTGCCGTATACGCGTTTAGCAAACGAAAGCACCCCCCCCCCCCCCAAAACGGAAATTAGCCTTCGAAACGAGGATTTTCCGTTAGCAACCGAATTTTCATAAAAGTTTCGGCTATTCTTCTTTTTATTTTCTTTTTTAGTCTTAGCTTCTTTTTCCGCCGATTTTTTCTTCCATTGTTTTTTTTTCGAGAAATTGTATAGAATGAACTGGCCCGAAGGCGTGTCATTCGCCGTTCTGATTTGAACACAGAAAGAAAACTTTTTATTTTCAGAGAAACGGTTCTGAGAAACTTTCTCCGGAAATCGAATGGGACACTACGTGATCATTGGCGGCGGTGGATACCTCGGAGCAAATGTCATCCGAGCTCTTCAAAAGAATGGCTACCAAGAACGGATAATTGTTGTAGATCCAACTCCGATGGAGTTCCCAACTGTGCAATTCAGCAGGCAACTTGTAGACGTTGTCGAGGTTTGTGAAATATTCTTAAATTAAGAAATACGATTTTCAGAAGTCATTTCTCGATCCTCAAGTTCTACAAGAAGTTTTGCAAGGAGCAGAAACTGTGATTCATTTGGCAGCCGTCGGACACATGGGAATGGTTGCTGTAAGTTTTTAGAAGTTTCTCATCAAATCAAACAAATGAAGATTTTCAGTGTGACCGAAAATTTGTGTTCGAGTTCAATGTTAATGGAACCATAAAGCTGGTAGAAGCATGCAAGAGACATGGAGTCTCTCGTTTTCTCTATGCTTCAAGTGTTGCCGTGGCGTTCGTTGGCGTGCCACTTCTCAACGCTTCCGAAGATGACCCACTTCCAAATCCAAAGTTGGTGAGTTGCTAGTTTAGTAAACGACCAGAATTCTGATTCAATTTGCAGTACCTCGATTACTATTCCGCATCAAAAGCTGAAGCGGAAAAATATGTTCTATCCCAATCGACGCCTACCTTCAAAACTGTTGCCCTCCGTTTTCGTGGGATTTATGGAGCGGAGGATCCCAACGTAACGAGAAAAGTTGCGGTGAGTAGTATTTGACTTAGAATGAAAATATGTATCCGTTTTACAGGACCTCATCAGAAAGAGACTATTCCTTGCGAGAGTCTCGATTCATGATAGAGAGTCTAACTCGATGGCTAGCAGTGCTGCAAACTGTGCTAAAGCTTTTGCTCTAGCTGACCACATGCTGAAGAAAACGGATGGCATCCACGCACAGGTAATTCACATTTTGAAATTTTATCAACATTTCAATTACCAACATTTTAAAGTCGTATTACATTATGGACCAAGAAATCACTGGTCAATATGAGTTTTGGACTCCACTTGTCCATGCTCTTGGACGCACACCGCCTTCCATATTCTTAAAAAACTACAAAGTTGCCAAAGCTGTAGTTTATGTCCAACAACTATTCTGCTATCACGTGCTCGGATTCGCACCAATACTCACGATGTTTGAATTGGCTATTCTTGCCATGGATAATACTTATTCCATTGAAAAAGCTCGCCGTGAGCTTGGATATGAACCGGAACCAAACTCTATGGCAGAAGTACACGATTTTATTGAAATAAAATTTCAGTGAAAACAATGATATTAATTTAGGTAGCTGCACATTACCGAATGTTGGCGACGAGAGAAATGTCAAAGTGGAATTGGATAATTGGGACCATATCAATTGCCGCGTTTGCAATGATTGTCATTTCCCTAATGTCTTTCTTTTGAAAACCTGTTGAATAATGTTTTCTTTTTGATCCATTGGACTTGCTTTTTTTGGTGTACAAAGCGTGAAGCTGATGATTCCGTAAATAAATTCTATTGAAATTCATTCTCATTTTTTCGAATTTTCAGATTTTTGAGAGCTGGAACAAATTCGATCAAATGTATCAAATACGTTGAAAAAAAGAGAAGAGTCAACAAAATCTGTTTACTTGGAAAACGGTTCCTACCAAAATAAAAAGTTGTGAAAAAACTTTAAAATGTGGCGTGCAAGCGTTCTAGATAAAAAAATCATTGCATCTTACCCTGAAATCTGATTGCCAGCAACATTTTTTGAAACTTTAAATTTCGCAAGTGAATTACTTTGTCAAAAAATAGAAATATTTGTTTGAGTGATAATGATAATATACTATCACCCATGAAAAAATTCGGAACTGAAAATATTCCTATGGAGATCAATTGTATTTTTCCTTAGGTCATCTCAAATTCGCTGTGTTGAACTGGTAACAGAAACAACTATAACGAGTTTCTCTGATGCGGATGAGTTAACCGGACGTTTGATTTGGTAAAAAGTTTCCTCAGTTTTCTATTCAGTTTGATCAGTCATTGATAATTTTTGCTCAGAAAATATAAAGGCGAAATCTACCAATCGGTTCAAACGGTGTACTGAGTTTGCTAGAATGAAAGTAGACGGTACAAAAAATAACCAGGGAGTTTTTTCATTATGAGTTTTTGTCATTTCCTCCGGTGTTAAATTATACAATTTCCAGAATTTGGCATGATTCAACAAGCAGTTTTATCAAAGTTCTTTAATGTTTTTTTTCTTTAGAAAATCTGCTGTGAAAATATGGACCACGTAGATGAATGAGTTGTATTTTTCTCACCATGTTCGATAAATGTATATTTTTCGAAAAGTTTTTGAAAATTGCAGTCGAACATGATTTCGAAAAAATCACATTCCAAACAATTCATCAAATGTCTCCAAAATGCTCTTATCTCAGATGAATTTTAGGTTTATAGAACCACAAGACACATTTTTATGTGAAAAAAAAACTTCCATTTTTCATGAAACCAATCTTAATCGCGTGTACCACTTTTAAAACCTTTACTCTCGACTTTCGCTATCTATTTCATCAAAAAAGACCGCCACTAGATCAATTGCAACATTGTCTATCATGGTCATTCGAAAGATCACAGCAAGAAGATAAGACTTTGCACTTGGTGACCGCATTTTTGCAGTAGGAGGTTAAATGTGTTCCGAAAGCTAAGAAGTCAAGAAATTCTTTTCACCAGGGCTGAGTGGACTTTTTTTTCTTCAGTTGTCTACAATTGTATTTTAAAAACTTATTCAGAATATGACTTCTAGAAATTTCGATTCATCTCCAGACAGATCTGATTAGTGCGACCTTGAAAAAACGCCTGTATGGAAAGAATTTTCTAAAGTCAACTGAATTTCATTTGTTTCTTTTTCCCGTTTGAGTTTTCGAATTTTGGTTGGCACTGGTCAAGGCAAGAAAATGGTTCCAAATTTTTTTCGCATTATTTTCTTTCAAAACTCAGGTCATAAAAATTTCCTTTCTTTCATTTGGCTTCGTGTTAATAAAAATTTTAGAATTTCAACTATGATCTATGATCATTGCAACCAACATGGTCATTATGTGATCACCGGAGGTGCTGGCTTCCTTGGCAGTCAACTCATCGCTGCTCTACAAAAAAACGGTGATATGACACAGTGCATTGTCGTAGATCCCAGCCCACCTCATCCCTATGATACCATCCAGTTTGATCGAGCATTTGTCACATATAAACAGGTGAGATTTTCGGTTTTTTTTTTCATTTGAAAACTCACCGTCTGGTTACAGGAGAAATTCCAAGAAGATCGCGTGCTTGATTCTGTTCTTCCCAACGCCTCTACAGTATTTCATCTCTGCTCGATCGGACACACCGGAAAATATGGAGTGAGTTGTTATAAACTAAACAGTGGAATGTGAAAATAATAACATTCAGGCTCGTTGTTATCAAGATGAAGTGTATAAAATAAATGTTGAAGGAACCAAAAATCTCATATACAAATGTCGAAAATACAAGGTTGCCAGGTTTGTCTACTCGTCGTCTGTTGCAGTAGTTTTTGTCGGGAAACCTCTGCACAACGTGACAGAAGAGATGCCCTACCCCGAAGATCATGAGGTAATACTTCTGTGACTTTTTGTAAATGATTGTAATTTTAGTTTCTGGATATTTACTCTAAAACAAAAGCAGAAGCAGAAAAATTCATCATCTCCCAGTCTTGCCCGGAGTTCAAGACCACTTGCTTGAGATTCCGGGCTATATATGGCCCACAGGACTTCGTTGTTGCTGAAAAAGTGGTGGTATGCAATTTGTAAGTGACTACATAAAAGTATTTTTTTAAGAATATGGTTGGTATGAATTTTTTTCGAATCAAAATCTTGCGCAAATCGGACGAGACAAGATCAAACATGAGCAGTGGCAGGAACTGTGGTCTTGCTCTCCACCTTGCAAACCAAGCTCTGATGGAAGAGGAAAAACCCCACGGAAAAGTGAACCATTCTGCCAAAATCAACAAATGCTAACATTTATTCCAGGCCTATTTCATCCATGATGGAGAAGAAATTCAACAATATGCCGTGTGGACACCTCTTATAAAAGCATTGGGAAAGCAACCACCAACATTCAGATGCCCCTATTTTCTGGTTTCCCCCTTCATCACACTGATCTCTTTTTTCTGTCATGAAATCTTGAAGGTCAGTCCCCCAATGACTCGATTCGAACTCGAAGTACTCGTCACCACGAACACCTATTCCATCGAAGCAGCAAAACAAGATCTGGGCTATCGACCAACAGGAAATCATTTCCAACAGGTACTTTTTATTTTCAGATTAAAAATTATGCATATTTTTACAGGTGGTTGATTACTATCGGGTCGATACCAAAGAAAAAATTGAGGCACATCGGCCAACAGCGTATTTGGATTACGATGATTTAATCTTCATTCTGGTATTAATTTTTTGGACAATTTCCCTCTTGTGGAGCTCTCATTGACGTTGATCGGATTAAACTCTCAGAAACGTTGATGTGTTGAAAAATAAAAATATGTATATTTTTTAAAAACACACAGTGACTCGTTTAAAGTGGTGGGCATGAAAAGATTCAATTTTTCAAAATTCTGTTCATAAAAGCCCCTTGAAGACTTGAACTTGTGAAGCCAACGTTGGAGGTCCCGTGCTGCTACCAGCAGAGCTACGGAGATGAAAGCTGGAATGTCCAAACGATGAGAGATACCGTGAGAAATGTGCCTTGGCGTTCTATTCCTCGGTAGGGTACTTTGGGATAATGAATGGTAACAACATTAGGGATTCTACTCGATTAACAGTCTAGCAAAATGAGAAAGTGGTGCTAAATTTTTAGGTTCGATTTCTACTCCACGAATCAAGCAAATAACTTTGTTTGGCTGCTTCCAGTCACCTCATACAAATTGGTTGTATTAATGGATGTGTTCTACTGTAAACGTGATTTCCCAGTTTTTGCGGTACGTAAAAAACGGCGCAATGGCAACGCGCTGTGTGAACACTAAACCAGAAAAATTGCGGAAAATAGCCTATCTTCCACCCTTCATGTGTTCAACGTACATTGATCAATTCAAAAAGATACAATCCCTGTGATATCCACGAAACAAATCCATTCATCAGAGAGCAACTTCCAAATGACCATCCTCTCTCACTTCCAATCAAAATCTCTACTCTCTCCTTGAATCACATTTCCTTTCTTGCACAGACATTGGTATCTCTCGACTCTCTGCATCGGCACGTGATATTTTTGTACTGAGAGCGCTTCGAATCTGACAGATGTTGACCCGTCCCCTGTGTTCTTCATTCGCACTCATTTCAACTTTGCCATCGTCCCGAATTCTCTCCCCAGCTCTTTGCCATTGAAAAATGCCTCACCGGAGAGGATTGCTCCTTTATCTACTGATTTGTATCCTGGCTATTATATTCCTCCAGCTACCGAGTAAGTCGGATATACCGTAAGAATCATGAAAATATTAATATTCAGTTTTGGCTCGTTACATTGGATTCCATACTTCGGCCTATAAGGAGTGCACCGATCTTTGCTTCATTGCTGTAAGTTTCAGAAAAATTCTTTATCTTTCAATAAACTGTGTTTCAGAATGTTGTTGTTGTCTGGGCTCATATCGTTTTCGTTACTGTCAATGCTGCGGGGATCGTTGGCTGGCACCAAATCCTCAACAAGGACCGAAAGCAAAAATCTCCCGTTTTCACCAGAATCTTGGCAATCAAACTCACGTCTGTGGTGGTTTGTTTCGCGCTCAACATCACTGTGGAGTCAGGTAAACTTCAATATTTAATTTTCTTTTTTATTTTTGCATTTTACAGAATTCCTCCTCAGTCCGTACAAGTTTTGGGTCGCCAGCGTGCTTTTGAGTCGTGTGCATTTCGGAGTCGAGATTTTGGCGACCTTGTATTTCCTTGGAGTCCTTTTCATTGCCCACAAAAAAGATATGCAAAACTTGTATCGCCATAGAATCACTGTAGGAGCATCCGTCGATATGGGATCTATGTTGGATCGTTTTGAGTTTCACGCACCACCGAGAGGTCAAGAAATCGCCCGCATTGGTCCATTGATTCCAACTGGAAGAGAACGCTTCGGAGACGGAATGGATGAAATTTTGGACTACCTGTACTATCTACAAACGGCCACCGAGGAGCATCACAAGAGATATCCACTGATCACCTTCCGACCACCACTGACTCTTCTTCCGTTCCCGTTGCCTAAATAATCGGTTTTTTATTTCCCCGCATTAATTTTTCCGGTCCCATGACTTGTATCGTTCTCCCACTTAAATTTCGAGTTGTTGCCTTCCTGCCTTCTGCCAACTCGCCTTTTTTCAAATTTCATAATTGAACCAACTACCAGTCTCAACATCTCACAAATTTGGCTCCTTCGTTTTGTTTTCACTTCTCTCTCGTATTAATTGCCATTTTCCCCAAATATTAAACTGTAAGGTAAGTTTCTTGAGAATAAAATAAGGTGACTCTCCTCATAGATCACACATCATTCCTAAAGAAATCTTGGCGCCTCGAATACTCGGCAGATGTTCGTACAAATCCTACATAACCGTTAGACTTTTTTTCCATCGAGATCCGGGTGCCTCTAAAAAGAGGAAAAAGAACACCTGTTCCGTACATGGCCTCTCTCCACCCGCCCACCTGGTACCCACAAGTGTTTCTATTCGCTCTTCATTCGTCTTTTTCGTGTATTTATTATTTTTCTTTTTTCTTCAGTTCAACATGTTTACAGCTCCGATACTCGTGAACGATTTCACAGTTCTCTAAATGTTGTTCGGTGCTGGGTAGTGATGATACTCAACAGACAAAAAAGATTGGAAAGGGCATTGGCTCGCTCGATCAAAATTTGGGGATGAGAGAAAAGACTATTGGCTAAATATACAGGGTAGAGAAAGAGGGGTCGTAATGAATTAGGCATTTTACCTGCTCCGGGTTTCATTGCCTTTCGCATATTCGTCTCTTTGAGAATTTGCTATCTCGCCCATTGAGAACTTTCTGGCTATTGTCAGTTCTTGTCTCGTTTCTATCATTTCTGGATACTTTCGAAAATACCTGTTCAATTCCGCCTGACCAGGGTAGTTCAATTTTAGAAATTCGCCATGTCAAATTCAGATAATTAGCAGTCGAGTTCCCACCTATAGACAACTTTCGGCTGTTTATGACTTTTATGGTCCCACGATAATTCAAAAGTCCCATAAAAAATTCAGGTCCGCAGAGAATTTGACCGTCCATTGAAAATGGTCCCATTTTACGATACCCCCAAAAGTTCCACAATTTGATGGGAAATTTTTGAGTTCTGCGCTACAACGGCTGCCTTTGACTGATACATTTCCGTTTTCGATTGATGAAAACGCTAATTTTGTCATTTTATTTTCATGGGACTGATAAATTATTGGGGAACCGTATTGATCCAAACTCAGGATCTAAGCTTTCTAAGATTTTCCGCTGTCGTGATAGTTTTTAAATTCAAATTTCTGGGTACAGTTTGCATTTCTTTTGTGGAAAAGGACAAGAAAGATTTTTACAATTCGTCAAGTTTCTGGAACTACCTCTGTTTCTTTTTACGAAATGAGCAAGTGCGTGTCAAATCAAAATAGGTTTTTTTTAAAAACTAGCCACCAACTTCAAAATTTTCACCTCCCGGCAGGAGAACGAATTTGTTTGGTGCTCGTCAAGATTGTATTCTTTGTGACCTCGTTGCTCGTACTCAACTTGTACAGCTACAAAATGTATAATATGATTATAATTTTGGACGTAATACCAGAATCGGAAAAGGATATTAGCTTTTTTTTAGTGTTGATAGTGCGTGTGTCGCCTTGTCTACCCTGGAGAGCGCTACCTATACATGTCCCCAGTTTCATTTCCTTTTTACACTTCTTTTTCGGTTCCAGTGATTTTGTTTTCCATCCAGATTGACGATCCCATGGATTAATTACAGAAATGTGGATAATTGGACGGTCCGGTAAGGCTCTCCTATGCTACTACAATTGTTTCTACTACTTGCTAATGACAATTCACACATCTTATGAGCATATGTGGACACTAGCCCTCATCCTCGCAAAATGTATTTTTCTTGACAAAGAATGGGATGATGAGTTGGTCATGAGAATGGTGAGTGATAAAATTTTTACGAGAAACAATTTAGTTGAATTTCAGATCAAAGTTCTCACTCTCATCTTCCGCTACGCATTTCTATCGGCGGCAATTCCAAAGGTTCTTGAAGATCTGGATAACTGGTTCAAAAAGTTAGACTACATTTGAAACCAAAAACTTTAGTATAACTTTTAAATTTCAGATTGACGCATCTTGATATGTTGGCTCTCTTCATTGCCTACTCCACACAAAAAAGACGATTGGGCGATCTGGTTGAATTTTTCGGAAAGTTCCCGCATTGGCAAGGTGATTACAAAAGATATTCTATGATAAAACACAGAGATTGAATGGATAAATCTTAGAACAGCAGAATTCCAAGACGGACAACTTCAGAATCTCACTGTCTCGAAATCAAAAACTCAAAATCGTAGTCGAAAGCTTTAATTCTATTCTCATGATCCGGAAACTATGATATGCCGAGTTTTGAAGATGCATTTTTGGGATATTGAGGTGCTGAGATTCTGAGAATGTAGCGACTGGTTTTAAATATTGCGATTTCTGAGACATGATATTCCAAAATTCTAATTTTTTGTTATTTTGCAAATCAGTGAACTCGGATATGTTGGATCTTTTGATTTCTAAATTCAGAGGTTTTGGGTATTCAGGTTTAAGATTAGGAAGTCAGTTTTTGAAATAAACAGCAGTGTGTGGAACGGGATTCGGAGTAAAAGTTTGAAAGGTCTGACCGGAATATGTTCTCCGAGTTTTTTTTTTCAGAATCCAATAGATTCTTTAAGAGCGGAATTGCTTTCAATTTTTTTGCGTTTTCGAAATCTGTTTCTGAATTTTTCTTCTTTTTTTCGTTTTCTGTGATATCTTATTTTCCGAGAAAAGTGAAGAAGTTCAGAAAATTCCGAAATTGGAATATTCCAGAATTTCAAAATTCTGAGGTTTGAAAGTCGGACATTATGACATTTGGGAAGTTCTCGGAAAGACCCATATAAACTCTTGTGAAAATTAGGGAACTGCGGTTTTTAAAAATTCTTTCAATATTTTAGATTCTGAACAACTAAACGTTTTAGATTTGAAGATGTTAATCATCCAGCATAATGAATGTTGCATTTTCAACAAATGTGATCCCCAATCCCAAATTTAACAGTCTCTCAAATCTATATGATTTCCTTTTCTCTCACAAAACTGTATGACTTCCAGCAAACTACGCATTCCGAGCAGCTACCGAAGGCAATGTTGACATGCACATTGGCGCTTGCATCTGCGTTCTCTACTTTCTGATCGGTTGCTTCATTTTCCTTCGCTACTCCAACGACTACTTGAACCACAGATTATCTTATCTTGGCTTCATTTTCCTCGGATGCAACTGGCACGACACATTCGTCTTCTATCAACTCTTCTACATTAATGAACCGGAAACTGTCATGGAGATTGACAGAATCCGGACTGTTATGAGAAAACTCCGTGATCGTATCTAAGGCTGTTTTATTGTTTTTCTAATCATTTTTTGTATTCTCAAACAATTCTTTTTCTTCCGTCGGTGCAAATTGTTTTTTTCATGCATATTTTTTTCTCTCCCCCTTCAATCGTTTTTGTTCCAAAAATCTCAAAATATGTTTTCAGTTACTTCTCTCAAAGTGCAATAAAATTCTTTTGGCTCGTTTTTCTTCTCCTATTTTTTCGTTTCCAAAAAAACCAGGGGAGTAAGAAACCATTTTCAACTATTAAATGGTACAACGTCCCAAGAACAATTATCCAATTTTGCCTTCAAACCTCGCCCACTCCACTTTTTTGACTTCATCCAATCCATCAGTGTTTTAATTTGCTGTACACACCCCTTCTCTCCCTTTCTTTATGTTCAAAGTCTTTTTTCTTCCGAAAGTGCCGCCCTTTCTGACTTTCATCATGACTCTGAAATGCCCCGAGCACGAGTGTTGAATAATTTGTTATATATTGTGGTGTTGGCATGGAGAGGCCAAATGAGTTTGCCTTCCTCAGCTTAAAAATTCATGCGCCGAAAAATGACTGCATTCTAAGTTCATTTCTTCCGAATAGATTGGGAACCATGTGTCACCAGAAGTGTTTTCTCTAGATTTATTTTTCATTGTTCTGATCTAATTCAAACAAGACAGTTTTTTCGTGAAATTTTAAAACAATTTTATTATTCAATTGTTTTCCTGCAGCCGTCACAGCTCCGATGATTTTAATAAAGAATATTATAAAGCAAAAGCGAATTTGTTACTGATAAATTTTGAAGACTCATAAGTAATAGGTTATATAATACAGTTTCTACCAGTTTTAGTACTAAAACTTCCCACAGCCGGGTTTTTGTAGTCCACTAAACTTTGAAGATTCTAAAGTATTTTTCACATATTATTTTACTCTTTTTTCCATTTATTTTAAAGCACTCAATCAAGAAATATAAGGGATAGAAATAAAAAACCTAATGTGTCATGGGTATCCAATTTCCTGTCATAGAGTCTAAAGGCGGAGATTCTTGTCCTCTAATGAAAATATTAGATTCCTTTTTTCAGCATAATTTTTTTTCTCGAGCATGATAACAGTTTTCATAGTTTTTTTTCTCAAAAACTGATGAAAAATACCTAGTCATTTATAAAGGTAATTAGGTAATTTTTTATTGGCGTACCAGATCTTTCGATGTTGTCATGACGTTAAAAAATTTTCGATTTTTTTCCTTCTTTGTTTTTTTTGCATTTCCCGAAAAAAAAGCTTGATTACTTTTTCTCAATCCCAGCTTAAAGTCATTCCAACGAAATTGGTTTCAAAAGTTCCAGTTTATTTTGAGCACGGAATCCGAATAAATCTTAAAGACTCTTGCCGTAGTTGTACATAATCGTGGGTTCCATTAGAATGCAATAAACTCCAAACCACTCTGACGCCATAAATTATAGGTTCGCGATCTACATTCACCTACTCTTATTATGTTGGGGGCCCCATTACCGACATATGCTCCGAGAGTTAATTATTCTTCCGATGGCTCATTCCTCCTGCTAAGAGGCACACGAGCGGATCATTCTGGTTTTCTCGGTTCACAGTTTTATGACTTTTTTGATTTTTTTTTGCATTATTTGACCATATCCTCGAGTTGTACAGTACTGAACAAAACATTTTAATGATAATTACAAAAAATTTCAAGTTACATTACCGGTTTTGCTTTAATGCAACATTTCTCTAGGCATGAAACTTGAACTCGATTATCTCGGTTCCTATGTTAGACATGAAAATCTGTCAACTGATAAAATATCAGTGATATTATGATAAACAATTTATCAGTTACAAATTTTCAATATCTTTCGAGGGAACCGAGAACTGAGCTTGGAGTGTGTTTCTATTGAAGAAAAAAATACTGTAGTCCAGCTAGGAGTTTTGGCATAGTATTCCAGAGATTTTCCACCGCTCCTTCAAAAGTTCCGATTCTACCAAAAACGAAAACATATTTTTTTGTAATCATCACATTTTCCCTAATTTCTACTCTCATGAGACTTGCAACTGAAAAAAGTGACAAAAATGCCAAAATTATCATTAAATTAATAATTGTGCCATTTAGAACCGCTCATTTTGCATTGGATTTCTACAAAAAATGACAAATTACAAAATTGAAGCTTGAGTTTTGTTTAGTATATTCTGGAATTTTCAGACAAATAAAAATATCCGGAATTGTTTTTTTCTGGACTTCAAATCGACTTTCTTCTTTTACATAAGCAAAAAATAATGAAATCTTGTCAAGTACTGTGTCTATACCAAACATTGTTTAAGGTGAACAAAAGTGATTATAAAGTAACTATCACTATCGTTTTCACTTTTTTCATTCCACAAACTTTAGTTCAAATCTTTGATACTAATTTGATAGAAGCGTTTGGTTGCCTTTTGTCTGTTCAAATCGTTTCTTATTTCTCTTTCTTCGGGTCACTCTCTTTTTATCTGTGTGACAGTTTTTATCACTTCATCCCTAAATGTGTCTCCATTGACAGTCCGGCCTACTCATATCAGATTTTCATTTTCCACAGTTTTTGTGTCCTGGTTTTTCATTTCCATTCAGGGATGTCTGTGTGTATGTAGTGAAAATGATTCTTCTTCCTTGCCGATGATTCCCGAAAATTAAGAATGACTGGGGCTTTAATGACTGCAAACGAAAATGTTCATGGAAGAGTGTACAACGCCACACGCACACCCATAACAATATTAGATTCAGTTTCCTTTTGCCTCGTGGAAAATTATCAGCATTTGAAACCAGTTTCCTCGACTGTCACGAACATGTTAACTACATGTATGTACCGCTTCGTTTCTCTTTTTTACTAAGTCAAAAGTACTTCTTACAATTTTTTTTTCAAAAGACGCATCATGGCACCAACTTTTTTTGTCATAAAACTTTGTTGGATCAAAAAATCCAGGGAGGCCATTTCATGAAATTTATGCTCTGCACGATTTTCGTTATTTTTTATGTTCAATTTTATACCTATTCAACTTCCCTTGTGGTTTTTTTCAAACGAACCAATAAAACTACAAAAAAATTATTTTCAATTGTTCATGGTTAAATGAAAACCTATTCAATGTTTTTATCTCTTTCTCATTCTTGTGGATGATTAAGCCAGGAAAAGAAAGAAAAGTTAGAAAAATCGATTTTTGATGAATATTTGCCATATTTGTGGTTGTCAAAAAAGAAAGTTTGTCAACTATTGTCTTCTGCCACATTCTCAGTTTCGGAGCAGACCAAGTCAACACATGAACTTTTTATCAGCCCTTTTCGCTTTCTATCTACCTCACATAGTTGATAGCATTGTTGACATTTTTCGTTATATATTCATTTTTTGAAGAATTTTTGGTTTCAGTTAACTCAAAACACTTGGTAAAACTTGCAGGAAATGCAAAGCCTTTCTTCAATGCTCTCACCGGTAAGTTGAAAAGCGACTCTGGGATTATTAAACAATTTTCAATTCATTCAGCTCAACGGAAACGATGCCAACAACGGCCAACAAGGAGAATCTGCAAACTTGCAAACGCCACTTAGCATCTCGATTCCACTTAATGAGTATGAGGTTCCAGGACTTCAGGTAGCAAAATTTTACAAAACTTTTACTTTTTTTATTCTATTGAACACAAGACCAAACCTCGTTTTCAGCACGCTGCCGAAGATTCATTTCTTGGAAATCAGGTCAATCCAATCTGGCCAATTACTGTAAAAAATTGGAAATACTACATAAGTTTACTAAAACTAATGCATGATTTCAGTACCAACAACAACCACTTCTTCGTTCCAAGAGTCCAGAGATGGACGCATTGGCAGAATTAAACGCCGAAGTTGGAAATCAGTATACGTATCAAATGTTCGACTCGGAAGGAGCCAGCAACAGCGGCTATCATTTTGGAATGGAATCTGATCCGTAAGTTAGAGTTTCTCGGAAACAAACAACTACATTTGACATGAAGAGGAATGGTATCTGAGTAGTCTAATCTAGCAAACATCTGGCAATTCACGTAGTTTGAAAGTTCAAGGCAACTCGGGTTCAAGCAACTCAAAGTTTTGAAAACCAAGGAAATTCTAATGAGAGTGTCATTCAAACGTCCACATTGGGCTACTTGTTCTTGTTTTCTGTCAAAGATATCTAAAAGTACTAAACAGACCAAATTTTCATTATAATGCCACAAATATCATATCTGTTATATATTTAATGATGCCCTTAACAAGAACGAAGATAAACGTATGCAAAATTGATTGAGGGAGATACTTTTAGAGGTCTAATGGTGCAGTGGTTGTTATATCCAAAAACGGGCTACATGCTCTTAAACGGGTGAATTCCAGATTTCCAAAACCTTCCAAAATTTTTCGATTTCCAAAATTTGTGAAATTTCAAAGCTCAAAGAATCAAAAAATTTCAAAAATCACTAAGAGAGCTAAATAGATGCTTCAATCTATGAATCACTCTATGATTAGAATTCAACATCAGCCATCACATGAATTCACATTTTTGTAAACTAACTAGCTAGTTCCACACCACAGTTCATAATTTCAAATTCATTATTCTGATTATTGTGCTTGCAAAATAGATTTTTCAAAACAAAAGTACACAATCACAATATTAGATGGCGCATTTTTTTCTAATGAGCAGTCATTTGTCTACCATAAAAAACGTTTCCCTGGTGACCGTCAACCCCTCACTATAAAAACCTAGTTATTTATACTATTCATTTCTAGACGCACCGGCTACGACAAGCACATGTTCGCTGCCGTCGACCCGGCCCCATACCAAGATCGCTATTACCAATGCGCGTATGGACAATCGAAAAGCCAGCGAGTGGCAATCCGTCACAAGCTCGACGACAAAGACCAGGACGGCGGTCCGGACACGAAACGTCATTGTGTCGAGGCGCCGAGATTGGGAAATGAGTACAGCGTCATCGTGCCGAACACAAGCGTTTTTGGGAACGGAGCCAATAAAGGATAATTATAGCCTTTTCTAGTCACTGTTCTTTTTTCTGTTTCTCTCCTGTCATCTCTGTCATCTCTGCCATACCCAATCGTAGCAAATCGATTATTTTTCTCCTGTCTAGATTTCCGTAATTCTTAACGTTTTTTTTCGGAATCTTTCTTTCTCTCCAAATTCCATGAATTCCACGAGTGATCTACTTTTTTTCTATTTTTTTTTCTCATACAACCATTATTGAAATATCTGCATTAATGCAGTGTGGAAAAAAAAATTGCCTCTATTTCTCTCCCTCTTCTCCATTCTCCATTTTCCATTTCAATTCAATGTTTGTTGTTGGGACAGGCATGCTGTTCTGTTTCAAAAATTCACAATTGATTTTGATAAAAATGTTCTTCCCCGTCCTTTTTTCAGCGACGTTCTTGCTTAGAAATCGATTCCTTCTTCTCGGGTGCTAGTAAGCAGATTGATTAGAGAAAAAGAAAGTCAAACCTATAATTTACATCAGAAAACGGAGACGGCACAGAGTAACACACACTCACGCAACCTAGCTTCGTGCCTTCTAAGAGACAGAGAATGGGACGCTTTGTGCCTCTTTTTCACCCATTTTTATATATGCACTTAGAGCACATGAAACCCCATGAAACGTCCTCTTCTCTTACTAAAACGGATAACTGACTTCTGGTCCTGGAGGTTTTAAACCTCATTTAGAGTGTGTAATCTAGGCAAGAGAAAAGCTTAATCCTTTTTTTCGTTTTTTTTCAGTGAATTTTTTTCAATAACCTTCCTGAGGATCCCCAAAAAAAACTAATTTAGTGCTAGATTTATAATGAGAATTTCTTCCACTTCTTCCATCTCTATTGCCCTAACCACGACCTCTTGGTGCTCACTAAAAAAAGGAACCCTTCCCTCTCAATTTCCTCATTTCTCATTCAGAACCGCTCCACATCGGCCCGTCCTTCTCTATTCCCAAGCCCTTTACTTCTAAGCCCTCAACTTCTTCAAAAAATGTCGCAAGAGGTAAGAACAAAGATTTTGAAATTAGTTTACATGTTCGGTTTTCAGAACAAGTCAAACAACTTGAAACGAGGCTACCCAGAGGCAAAGGACGGAGGTTTGTTTGCATAGCTTTTCGTGTTTCTTTCTCATGAAGTCATTTTTAGAACAAGAAGACAAGGAGACTCATGAGGTCATCACCGACGTCATCTCGATTCTTCGCAATCAGGAAAACTCTGGGTTTGCAGTTCCACTGCCAGTGGTAAAGGTATTCGGTGTCGAATTGCAGTAAAACTATAAAAAACGCCGCCAACTGTAAAATTTGAGTGGATTTTCATCGGTTTCTAAAATAGGTGTCAAAAAATATGTAACAAACATAAAATTTGTGATTTTATGATAAACGTTTTGTCTGTTGACCACTTTTGGATATCTTCTGTATAAAATAAAAAATGGCTCGAAAGGTGTGATTAGGGAATTTGAAAGGTTTTACAAATTCTTCAATTCCTGAATTTTGTGATTTTGAATTTTGAAAAAAAAATTCACAGATTTGATTCCATTGAACTTTTGAATTTCAGGGATCCGTTCCACCACCAAACACTCCATGTTCCAAGGATTAATACGCTGTCAATCAACTTTTTTGAAGAAGGAAGTGTGATGAATTGTCAAGTGTTTCAATTTTCCCATTTTTCATATTTTTTCCTTGCATTTTTTTCTAATTTTTTTCCTTTTCCCGAAAATTTGAATCAAATTGCTTTTTCTTAATCATCTGATTGGTCCCATTCAAAACAATTTGTCTGTACTTGAGCACACATAAGCTGTAATAAATAATTAATTGAAATAAAAATTCTTACATATTCATTTTTTTTCTAATTTTCCAGTCGAACAATTCCCTCCAAGTCTCATGTGTCTCCTCACCCAGCATCTTTTTGTTTGTTCTCGTTTTCCCTCTCTCGTCGGTTGGTAAATGCAGGAGAAAAGAGTTTTTTCAAGGTTAGTCATGGGCTAGGTGAAACAGTTGAATTACCCTACTCATTTTTCACTCATTTTGTTTCGTTTTGTTTTCCAAAGTCATGGAGCGAAGAAAGAGAAAGTAGGTTATTGTTTTTTTGTGGAGTTTCTTTTTTGAAAATTCAAAATTTTGAAAAAAATGAGGAATGAGGAATAGATGCAAATTTTATTACATCAGTCGTCATGACCCTTGTCTTGTTAGTCAGCGTGGTGTCTCATCAGACTGTGTGTGTGTGTGCGAGGAAGTCCGTTTGGGGGGTCTCATTGGCATTGTGCGCATTGTGCGCAAACGGTCCGGAGGTCAGGCCGAACAATATCGATTTTCTGTTCTCTTGCTCATCACCTAAGTTTTGAAAGTTTCAAAGTGTCCAATCACCAGAATCTAGCATAGAAAAGTTCAAAGAATTTTTTCATCCAAATTTTTTGTCAATCACTCATCGCTCAAACCACTTATCACTAAATTTTCTTCTCACAGGCCAAGTCCGCAAAATGTCGTCAAGTCGAGTGCATGCAAAGAGAGCGTCACACAAAGGTAATTTACCTCGTTTAATGAAAAACGGCAGTCAATAATGACGAAATCTTTCGGTTTTCTGCACCCACCCCGCCAGACCACACCCGTGCACACTCCATAACCCAGCCCCGTCGGATATTTCGAAACATTTTTTTGTGTTCTTTTCAGTAAGACGACCCGAAAACGACAACTGCCTCCGGCGATGCCGGACGGAAATGGGCAAACTTATGTAAGATTTGTTAATGAAACGTTGAATAGTGGGACGATATTTCAAAACAATTTCAGACCTTTGCTCCGCCCAGGAATCGCCACAATTTAGCAAAGCTCAACCTTAGTGAAATACATCCGCCCGTACAAGATTCGTCAAATGACGATAATATGAATAGCTTGTGAGTTTTTTTTTGATGGATGGCGAGAAATTGCAAGGAAATTTTTCAGAGATTATGTTAAACAATACCTCTCAAACACACTGATCATACCTCCAAATGGCGAAGTCCACGAGTTCGAAAGACATCACTTGGAAGAGATGGAACTTTTGGGGAATGGGAGTTTTGGTGTCGTTCGAAAAATGCTTCATATACCGACAGGAGTAGAAATGGCAGTCAAAGTGAGAATTGTAGCAAAAGTGCTGTCAAACATTCTTTTTTTTCAGAAAATAACACTGCTAACCAACGGACCTGACGACGCCTTCAACAAATCTATGCAGAGGTTCAGATTAGAAGTAGAAGCAACGAAAGCAGCCAGTAACTGCGATGAAATTGTTAGATACTATGGAATCACGTTTCATGAGGTATTTTTTTCCCGAAAAAAAAAGAGGATAATGACTAGAATATGCAAGTTTCAGGGAGTTGCATGGATGTGTATGGAGTTGATGGATCTGTCGCTGGACAAGTTGTACATGATTGCTCATGACATACAAAGTGAAGATGTGCCCGAACAGATTCTAGGAGCTGTCGCAGTAGCTGTAGGTTTTTTTTTTGACTTCAGATTGATACTTTCCACAAAGATTTCTGACAATTTTTGTTTTATTTCAGACTATTCGCGCTCTGGACCATCTCAAAACGTCCCATCACATCATTCATCGAGGTAAGCTTCATCTACTCATCTGAAACTATTTTCAAGTTTGATTTTCAGACATCAAACCATCAAACATTCTGTTGAACAGGTCTGGTGGTGTCAAGTTATGCGATTTTGGAATCTGTGGCTATCTACAAAACTCTGTTGCTCAATCGATTGATGTCGGTTGTCGGCCGTATATGGCGGTGAGTGTTACTTGAAATTTTGATCTACGACGTATGGTCTAGCTCTCGAGATTTCGAAATCGTGAGGTGGTGGCGGTGCCAAGGTGAAAGATGCAAACAAATTTAGAATTTCGTAATATCTAGTGAAGGGATATATGTCTCACTTGATGGATGATAGCCAGTCACCACACTACACACAATAAAACATAGTAATTTGCAGCCGGAACGCCTTGCACCCAACGCCGACGGTTATGATATCAAGTCTGAAGTATGGAGTCTAGGTATCACCATGGTTGAAGTGGCGAACGGAAAATATCCCTATGATGGCTTCATGGACGCCCCAATTCTGGACCAAGTTCGAATGGTGGTCTATGGTGATCCACCCATACTCAACCCGGAGCGTGATACATCCATGCAGATGAAAATGTTCATAGCTCAATGGTAAATTTCTATTTTTGCTATATTTTTCAGTTTTCTTCTTTCAGTACAATCAAAGATCGACGCTTACGAGCAAGTTTTGAAGACCTGAAAAGGACTAGCGTGTTCCGTGATTACACTCATAGTATTGAACACAAAGAAATCGTCGGAGATTTTGTCCTCAGAATGTATCAACATCGTCTAAAACTGCCGTTCGCACAATTTTAACTCATATTCACGTTTATCTAATTTTTCTTTTGTTCCGCTTTTCTACAGTACGGTCTTCTTCATATCATTTTTCTTCTCGATTCCTCTTCAGCTCGTGTTGCCTATATCTCTCTTTCTTCTTCTGAACAACTCAAATACAAACTACGTCTCAACCTCATCCATGTAATACATTTCATTTTTTTTCCTCCTAAAATCTGGTTTTCATTTCCAATGTATAAGTGATAACTTTCAAGCATATTCTAGTCACCACCCTACATTCAAATTGTGATTTCCCTACTGCTCACCATCACCTCTTCTAGGCTTTTCTCTCTTTTTTCTTCTCCCTCTCTCTCATTCATTATCAATCTGTACACACATTTTTTTGCTCCACCGTTTGACTCATTTGTTTGTCTTTACAGCCTGTCATCATCAATATATTCTTCGTGTTAGCGATAATGAAATACTTGATGATCCCTAAAAGTTCCTCGTTGTTTTGAAACATTCGATTATTATTGTTATAATAACACCCCAAACCATCACGGGAGGATTGAGAAGGAGGTCAAGATAGTCTCGCGCAAAATAGTTGTAGAATGGAGAAAATGAAATGGAAAGAAGAAAGAGAAAAGAAGCAAAGTTCTCGAATCGTATCCGTGAAACATTCGATTAGGTTAGAATGCGATTTTCGTTTTTCTTATGTCTAGCCAATTGTCTAGTTATTGCTAACGCATCATGTGAGTTTTTATTGTAATCTTTTGTGAAAAGTTCATTATAAAATGAAATGAACGGAACACTCTTTTGCCCGAAATATTTAAATCATCTTGACACGAAAAAGACTGAAGAATGGAAGTTTCTAAAAGCGTATTAATTTAATTAGGGGACCAAATAACAATTGTTAGCTTCTGAATTGATCAACTTTAGTCGAATTTTGAGGGAAAGATTTTTTAAACAAATTAAGTACCCCGCAAAGTTTCCCAACTTTTTTATTGATGAAAAGAAGCTTATTCAGATGTTTAAAAAATACAGAAAGTTTTGTCGCGTGAGTCTGAAAGTCTTCAGGTCTACTGAACAGAAATATAGCTTCGATTTTGCTGTTATTCAGATTTCTTTCAAAAATTTATTATTATAAATGCTATACCGGCTTTTTTCATAACTTCTAGCAACAGCACCGAGTCCAGAGTCGATTTTGAGGTCCATTATCTAAATTCGTGTAAAAGAAAAAATATCAAACATTTGCCAACTGATAAAATATTGGTAATACTACGATAGATAATTTTTGTAAGTTGACAAATTTTTGATATCTTTACCAGGAATCTAGATACTTAAGTTTGAAGTTGACGGGCCTCTATTAGAGGATATACCGCATATCTCATTAGGACGAATCTATACAAAAAAAAGTGACAACTACAAAATTGAGGCTTTAGTTTGCATTTATTCAATAGGTCTGAAAGGTTATAGGCTCCTCTAAAAATTCAGTATATTTCTTTGTCTACTTTCAAAAATAGATGAAATTTCCTGGCTACAATCAACCAATGAATTACGAAGAACCTTTTCAGGGCAATGTTTCAATGTTCATCCCAGTCACGCGGTTTCCAATTCCGACTCTATTGCTGAATTATTTCATGTAACAGCAGGAGAGTGCCTCAACTATTGTATTTCACAAGCCGCACAGAAAGGGGCTAGTTTTTATTTTCATAAAGATTCAATAAAAAATAATTTTAGGACGGATGTGTGTCAGTTGTGTTTCACAGAAAATTCAGCACTTGTCAACTTTATGGTCATGATGGGAGTCATAATGGTAATTATAAGAAATAGAGAACCAATTATTTAAAGTTTTGTTCAGGCGCCGAGGTAGTGTACCTTGAGGACCATGACTTTTATATCCGAAGCAGTTGGGATGGACAGTGTCAGGACAAAATCGCTCCTAGTAGAGGATACAAACAAGACATCCAAAAACTTCAAAGTCCACAATTTGCAACTTTACCACAATCTCCAGCAATCGCAAATCTGCCAAAAGTTAATTTTTTGAAAAACTGAAAATATATATATAAATTTTATTTCAGTTTGAAAACTCTGATTTTCCCAAAGATCCAAATCCTCAATCCATCCGTGAGAATGTGCGCAAAGCTCCGACCCATTTCGAAAACGAAATCCTACAAGAAATTGAAAGACAACAGATGGAAGATGAATTTGAAATGGAATACATGACCACAACGCAAGCACCAAAAAAGAAAACTCACCCTGATATTGTCACGACTTTCCGTAACCCAGCGCACGGCTACAGTAAGTTTCAATTAAAAATGATAAGAAACAAAAAGAGTTGCCTGCTGCTGGAATCGAACCAGCGTCGCCACGGCCACAACGTGGAGTACTAACCACTATACTAAGCAGGCCGAAAGAGAGCGTGCCTCATTGCGTTTATCTACTGGGCACACGAGAGGAGACAGCGAATGTAACATATTGCAGAGTGCCAGAGAGACGAGACGCTGTCCTACTTCTTGGTGTACGGCAGCCGGCTTTCAACGAAAATGTTACCACAAAGATTGAATGGCGTGGATCAGAGCAGTTGCTTGATGTATTGTAGCCAAAATATTGTGAGCTAGAAAATTTCATTCGTTTGAAATGAATATTAATATATTTCAGAATGCCATCGGTCAAAATATTCCATGTTATTCTTTGAATTATGAACCAACTAACGAAATTTGCGAGATGTATGGAAAACAAGAACGTAATGAAAGCGATTCTGCAGTCTTGGCTATTGATGATGAGCACACTTTTGGAGACAAATTCTGTATAAAGAGTATGTGCTGAAATTATTAAAAGCTGCTGAAATCATTGATTTTCAGCGAAAAACCATTGTGATGCTGAAACTTTATATTCGGTTCACTTGTACAAAAAACTCACGAAGAACATTATTGGAAAAGTTCCAGGGCTAGATTCCCAAATTCAATGTTTAAAGGAATGTATTGAGAATCGGGAGTGCAAGGTAGAAAAAGAGTTGAACTTCATTTTCTAACACCGGAAGTACCCGAAGTGTCTGCTCGCTTTTTCTTAGATGTTGGTGGCAAAATATGTCCCGTTTCTGGACTAGCACAAAACGGATAATATAAGGTACTCATAGGCAGGCTGAGCAGAATGGCAAAACTTTTTCTGTTTTTTTCAAAAAAGTGGGTCAAGTCCATTCAAAAAATCATAACTTTGTACAGAAAATGATAAACTAAACTTCATCTTGTAGAACGGGTTTGGGGCTACAAAAAATAAATTATAAATATTGTCTATCTCTGCAATGAAACTTACTAGAATAGAAAATTTGCGAATGGTCTGATTGAGTGAAATCAAAAAACACCGGTTTTTGAAAAAACGTATTCGGGAGACCATGTCTATTCGATTCCTTCCATGTCATAATGCACAACTATCATTCCAAATATTTAGCTCACCTTTCATTTAAGAGAGATTTTTGAAAAAAATACTTTTTTCAGCTTCACTTATGTACCCCTATACATGGTATTTTTCGAACTCATTTTTTCCGGAAACAATAGAAAAGCTCTGAAAATGGAAGTTTGAGTTGGTTCAGTTTCTTTTTGACAGAAAATGATCGAATCGTGATCAAAAAGTCAAAAATGTCGAGAAAAATTTCACATGTTAAAAGTGAGCATGTATAGGGATGAGTGAAGCTGAAAAAAGTATTTTTTTCAAAAATCTCTCTTAAATGAAAGGTGAGCTATATATTTGGAATGATAGTTGTGCATTATGACATGGAAGGAATCGAATAGACATGGTCTCCCAAATACTTTTTTCAAAAAATCGGAATTTTTTTATTTCACTCAATCAGACCATTTGCACATTTTCCATTCTAGTAAGTTTCATTGCAGAGATAGACAGTATGTGTAAATTAGGTTTTTGTAGCCTCAAATCCGTTCTACAAGATGCAGTTTAGTTAATTATTTTTTCTTCGATCTGTACAAAGTTATGATTTTTTGAATGGACTTGACCCACTTTTTCGAAAAAATCAGAAAAAGATTTGCCATTCTGCTCAACCTGCCTATGGGCTCCTTACATTATCCGTTTTGTGCTAGTCTGAGGACGGGACGTTTTTTGCCACCAACATCTAAAAAAAAAAGCGAGCAGACACTTCGGTACTTCCCGTGTAAGAATACTTTTTTCAGGCAGTCACATACAAAAAAGGAATGTGCGTACTTCACTCCATTAGTCCGACAGAAGACGAAACTTTACTCCAAGATGGAAATGGAAAAACCGTGGTGATTGTAAACGGGTGTCACGTGTCAAATCGCGTTGAAACCGAGAACACTAAGAGTGTCGACGGTATAATCAAGCCATTTTCGAAAATTTCAAAAATAAAGATAAATTCAGATAACAAAGAATCCGAATCGGAATGGCAGGAATGGAGTTTATGCCAATATGGCGTGAAGGGACGAAAGATGAGAGTTCGTCAGAGAGAATGCGATGATTGTGAAGAAGATATGCAAGTGGAGGAATGTTAAAATTTGTCTGTCTAAAAATGCCACTATTTTGTACATTTTATGTTTTAATGATAATAAATACTTTAAATTAAATATTATATAATAAAGTTCAAACTATGTTTGCATTTTCTGTCGACTTACAGACAACAAAAGAAACCTCCAAACAAAACTCAAAATCTACAAACAAAAATCCTGAATCTATAACATAATTACAGATTTTTTCCTATTTAAAATTTACCGTTTGAATATTCTAAAATTTTTAATCCGTTATTTTTAACGTTAGTATTTAACATTGAATTATAGTCCGAGCATTACAATCGTAAATCATTCCAAGCACGTTTCACGTCCAATATCAATTTAGCGTTTTCCTTCTCTTTCTTTTCCTGATATGGTCTGGATGCTTTCTTCTTGTTCCCCCGCACACACAGCTTTTGTCTTCACATCCTCACTTCTTTCAATAAATCAGGCACCGCGTCAAATACCCGTTCTCCTCCCGATCTCACCTCTTCCGATTCAATCATTGTTTCATCTTCCGAGAAGCGTTTATTGACCTCAATTGGCTACCTAGCCTGGCTTCTCCCTCCTTTTTTCTCGAGGAATATTCATCGTCGTTAGGCATAAATCAATTATTGTAATGAAGCGTCGAATGTTATTTTTGCTAACACTATTTGCACTTGGGAGTTGTGAAGATTGTGAGTTTTTTTTGTAAATTTCAGATTCTATTCAGTGTTTGGTTTGAAGATCGTGGTTGTTTCAAACGAGTTTCCCGAAGATCCATTGGAAACTATGCTCCGATTGCTGAATATCGAAGAACAGCTCTCACAATGTGCACCCAACACTGTATAATGGCTGCTGGTAATGGAGCCGATGGAGTAAGTCATCTGAAGATGTTTAAAAAGTTTTAATAGATAATTCAGGGTTCCATCTGCAAGGCATTTACTTATGAAGTCGAGAAACAACTCTGCAAACTTTATGATAACGATGGGCATAAGGTAACAGAACAATTAAACTTCTAAAATTCGTATTTGTATCAATTTCAGATTCCAGCAGTGATCCATCCAATCATTGGTATCGACATATTTTATAGAACATCTGATATGGGAGAGTGTGCGGGACCAATGAGTGGTCAGCACATGAACCCCAATTTTGTCAAGCTAAACCACGGAAAGAATGATTTGAAACACAGTTTTGATAAGAACAAGATATCTGATCTTCCAAGCCCAATGTAAGTTTTAATATTCTTCTGATTTGAAATAACTTTCCTTGTAGATCCGACCAATTTATGCAGAAAACAAAAGCGATGGCTGCCCCGATGTAAGTTTCTCAACTTCCGCAGAAGTTCCAAGTCTCTTTACAGTGTCCGAATGGAAAATATGGATGAAGTTCTGAGATCAAAATTGAGAGGAGATGATGCGCTAGTGCCGATGTCACAAAAGGATACGGAAGAAAGGAAGGAGTTTGAACAGACCGGTGTGTTATCATTTTCGATTTCTAAATTGGAAAAGATGAACCCAGTAATGATGTCAGTTCTATTTTTAACTTGGAATTTCCCAAGAACTCTCCCCAACTTCCTTAAATCTACTAACTAACATCTACGTCAAAACACAAGACTCATCCTTTTTTGGTCTACAGACAGCCCATTGAAATGCAAAACATCCAGTGGATATTACGTCGTCGTCGGAAACGAGATTGTTTTGCCGATAAGCGGCGGCGATGTGCGAGTGTATAATGAAGTGGAGCAGGGAGATTGTGCCAAGTATTGCAGTGAGAACAAAGTGAGAACAACATCATTTGTCTTTTTGCCTTCTGCAGCGGCTTGTTTTAGGGTCCCGACGGATCTGCCATCAGTTGCCGCTCGTTGAACTATTTCCCGGTGGAGAAAAAGTGCGAGTTGTATGGAATTCTGGCCGAGCCACATGGCTCTGGAAAATTGCTGGAGAATGAGAAAGTGATTTATGCGGAGAAGTTCTGTTTGCCAGGTTGGTAGAATTTCAGAGCATAGAAAAGTCATATGAAGTTTCGGGTTCATGGAAGAACTCGAGTCTAAGTTTTTAGACATGAAAAATCATAATAACAAAAAGGATGTGTTCTAATAGAAGCCCACCATATTTCGGGCTGAAATATCTTGGTTTCGTTAAAAGATATCGAAAGTTTGTCAACTGATAAAGTGCTGGCAATTTTACGAAAAACGTAAAACCAGTTGACGCATTTTTGATATCTTACGATGCAACCGAGATAATTGTGCTCAAAATGCACGCATAGAGGGTTTTATCAGAGTATTCACAAAAACTTATAAAAGTAGTATACTGTATTAAAGCCCAATGCGACCTATTTTTTCAGAAAATTTTAGCAGGAATCCAGCAAAATTTCGAAAGAAATCGTCAGAGTTTCAAATAACTTTTGTTTTCTTTTTCAGTACATCTAGACCACACGATGCCCCAATGTACAAATTTCCTTGAAAACAGAGCCTCTCCTTCTACTAGACCATGAATAATATAACTATTTGTTTTCCCAGAATCTCCTTTCGACTGCCAAGAAGACGAGATTTTCATTCTCCACGTGCAAAAAACACTCTCGAAGCGTCGACGTGTTGCAACAAAATCTGCAACATCAATTACCGACTGCCTACGCGTTTGCCTTGAGCACGAAGAATGCAGGGTAATAAGACCTTATTGCTCAAACACCCACACATTCTATAATTTCAGAGCTCTGTTTACACGTCGTCTTCAAAGAAATGCGACCTTCATAATGTTGACGTCTCTTCTGGAGACTATGCACGAGATTCTGATCGGGAAACTGTGCTCATTGAGAATGGATGCAGAAGGAAAGGTATGAATCCAAAACGAAGGAACAGCCCGTCGCTTTCGGTAAGACATAGACCAGACCAAAACGGCGGATACACAAATTCATCCATCTCTTCTTTTTTTTTTCAGACAATTCTTGATACTTCCTCGTCTGCCGAGCGGTCGTCATCATCCGCTGGAGGTTGGTCTGGATGCGATTATAAAGTAAACGGAGAAACGGTTCGAGTGAGTTTTTTCAAAGAGCACTTATTGTGAAGAGCACTTCATCCATTGCTAATTCGTTTTTTTATTTTTTTGTTGGCAGGTACGAACCAATGACGACGGCGATATGGAGACCGAAGTTTGCTGATAGAGTTATTGCGTTGCAAATTTAATAATTTTCTCTAATAAATAATAATTTTCTTTCTTCTGGTCAACATGCTACTTTATTCTATTTTGTAGCAGAAAAATTACATTTTTGGTGAAACAGTTGTGTGATGTTTAGTTGTAGAGGGGAAAACAGGGGAAAATAAGAAAGTGCTGTATCCTTAAAACTGATGGTGATGAGATTCGCTAAATTGTTGACAGCCGGATTTTTTTGCTGTCAAAACCGGTAGAAAGGTAGTTCAAACTACAATCGGAAGGAGAAGAAAATTTGAAAAAAGAAGAAAAAGATAGGCACAGCTCATCGGGAAAGAGATTATGAAGATATTTGTACTTGAACAACTGTGTCGCTTCATGGAAGATTGATTGGTGCAAAAGTGTTGATTGGCAAGCGTTCTTGAGCCTTTTCCTGAAAGAAAAGTGTGTATGGGACCCGAAAATATACATAGTTTTTCTATCTATTTCAAAAAGCTAGGGGTTTGGTTGCTCCCCATTTGATCGATGGTGTCGGAAGTGACTTACGAAAAGCTCATCTTTTTTTTGGAGAAAAGTGCGCAATGCATAAAAATACTATTCAAAAGAAAAAGAAGAAAATGTCACTGGCTCTTTTTTTTTGCAGTGAAGTGTTCTGTGCTGTGAATCCTATTGTGAACCCCAAAAAATGCAGGGAGTCACGTTCAAAGAAAACTCAATTTTCTTGCTCCATAGAAATTTCAAAAAAAGAGTTTCAAAAAATTTTCAACAAAGTCAAACCCCGGAAATTGGATTTGTAAGTTACAAATTGTAACAAACTTTTCCCAAAGCCGGAAGAAAACTGACCTTCTTGATGTAGACCATTGAGCGGAAGACGAAGTAGATGACGACACCGAGAATCAGAAGGCACAAGAGTACAGCCAAAGCGAGAAGCTCATTGCGAAGAGCGCTAGCTTCTGGAATATCATCAGGTTGTACGGTAGCATTCAAAGCTTTTTCCAGGGTCTCCATAGTCGTCGTGGCTATGAAACTTTGACGAGTTGTCAGCGGGACCGCATGAGTTGTGGGAATACGAGAGGTAGGAGATGAGAGACCCATCAGACTCTTCTGCGTTATGCGGACCCGGGCCATTGACGTGATTAAAGATGGAAGGGGGTAGGTGAAAGATGAAGGAAAAGAGGACTCTATCTTCTTTTGAGCCAGTTAAAATTGAATGAAGATCATTGAGAGAAGATAATAGAGGGAAAGAGAGACGATTGGTTGTTTTTCGTTTCACCGCCTGTTGGCACGGAAACATATGACGCTAGGATGAGATCTGGCGTGGAAAAAAAGAAGGGCTCACCGTTTGCGTTCTTCACAAAATTGAAGTTCATCATTTCTTCCTGAGCGTCCGGGTGATCAACCATGTCGAAGAGCTGAATTCAAGAGGTTGGGTTTTTGGTGGAGGTTGTGAGATTTCTCATATTTGAAATTTCCTTAGAATCTAACATTACACATTTTTTTTTTGCAAAAGATCGTGAGAAAGGGTATCGATGAGGTATGTGGGTTGCTACTTACTCTAAAATATTCAAACATAGCAGAAATGCACAAATCTGGAGTGATACACCGGATGACAACATTTCTTAGGAATTTTTGGGAATGAAATGAAGAGAGAGTCCTATTATTAATACCGAACAGTTTAGGGGTCGCGGATTGACCGGATAAAATAAAAATCCACCCATGTTTAGCCCTTCACAGCGTCACGAAGTGGATTTTCAGATTGCTCTAACTAACTCACCACGGGTGACTGCATCATCTTGGAATGGATATTTACGTGTAAAGGAAGGGATGAAAAATACTTATAAGTGACCGAAACACGATGTTTACTGCGTCTTCAAAATATGGTGTTGCTCCGAACAAAAAGAAGTTGTTGCCTTGCGCGGGGAGGAGCTGAGCCAAGAGCAGAAGAAGGAGAAAAATATGGAGAAGACGGCAAAAGACTCGATGAGGCGGGACACCGGTGCAGAGCAATTTCAGAGCAATTTCAGAGCAATTTTCATGTGAATTCCAAGAAAGAAATTGATGGAAAGAGACTCGGAAACGAGGAAATCTAATACCGGATTCCAAAACAAAACATCACTTTAATATAAATGTCCTTTGATTTTGGCTTCACTGCCTTATTGAATATTCTTGAAATAGCTCATGGAACTACAAACTGATATTAAAGACTATTATAACCCTTTCCAACATTATATTCATATTTTCATCGAATTCTTCTTTTCCAATGTCACGAAACGCTTGGTGAATGTATTAGTCTCTTTCTGTGCTTACTATAAATAAGTTATAAGTGTATAGCTAGGTCCCCACACATGACCTCATGAAACAAGACCAGGATGAACCTTTGGAAGGTGCACAACTGAGGCAAAAATAGAAAAAAATAGAAGAAAATATTAAACAAAAAAAATGGGAAAGAAACAGTGCAAATAAAAGAGGTGCTGAAACTGTGCCTTCCCCTCGTGAAAAAGGGCTGTAAATTTTTTTTTGGGAATGGTTTTGAATTTTTTTATGAGTGCGTCATATTTTTCATGGGAGGCAAATAGGAAGGGAACAAAGGAAGGAATAGGAATATGGGCGCTAAGATACTTTTTGCCGATGGAATTTGTTGCACGAAAAGATGGGCATTTAGAACGAGCTATTCGCAATTTTGAGAAATGCCAAAAAATCATAGCTTCCAAATTTTCGAATTTCTGATTTTCAGAATACTCCGATTCCATTCCAGAGAATGGTCGGAATTTTCAGAATGCCGAAATACGTTTTGAAAACATCCTGCCCCCAGAAAAAAACTCCCAGCGAACGAATTCAGAACTGGCAGAGAACAAAATTTGAAAATACTGAAAATTCTGAACCAAACTTCAGGTATCAAGTTGTCACGTCCCGCGCCCGCCTTCACTATGAAATTTGTATAATTTTCAGCTATCAAAAATTTGCTACAATATGCCTCTTATTTTACATTTAAAAATTATTGACTTGTCTATGAAAAAATTTCAAAATACGTTTGTAGCTTTGCTTTGATTTTCTCAGATTAGCTAGTTTTTGAAACCGTTGGAGTTCAAAAAAAAACCAAAGTTCTAATGAAAATTAATTTCACAAAATATGAAAACTTTGGAATAATACTTTTCCGACAAAACTTGCTCGACAAGAATCACCACGATTAGTTTGAAACAAGCCACCGGGTACATCTGTTTGAATTACTTCTTTTTTCTTTCTAATGTTTATTTTTCCAAGTTTTTTTTCAAACTAAACTGAAAGTAAGTATTTGCGCAAAGCAGCAGAAACACGTTGAGCGGACAAACAAAAATGTTTCTTTTTGGTGTCAAAAACTTATATGTTGCCAATAAAAATATGTAGATATTCACGAATGACAAGTCTCTTTTTTCTTCTTCTTCTTTTTTTCCAGTGGTTTTCGGACTCTTGTTTCTTGCTCAATTCAATTTTTGCTCATTTTGTTTTCACAGAGAACCTCTACTCGTCTTTCTTTGGAGATTACCCCACCATCTTGTATTCTAACCGTGATATTCGGTTTCAGAGCTCTGAGCTCTGGCGTTCAATTTTGGAAGACCGCTTCCGTTGCGTGAACAAAGACAAAATGCATTTCAAAGAATATTTTAGCAGGCTAGAGGACAAGCAGCGAAACATAAATCATGAATCGAACGAACTTAGAAAAACTTTTTGAAAAACTTCTGAACGACTAAACAGAGCAAACTTGTCGTGAGCTTTTTTGGAAAAAATGTGAAGTCATGTTTTTCTTTCGATTTAAGTTTTCGGATGACCGCTAGGAGAATAAAACAAAAACAGAATACTTGAAACAAAAAAGAAAGAAAAAAATAGATATGCAATCCGAAGAAAGCCGAAAGAGGAATTTGGACATCTAGCTCTTTTTTCTTCTTCTAGGAGGTAATCCTGTTTGCAACGTTTAGCTCATCAACTTTTGATCTTGTCATTCATTAGAGAAGCTCATTTTCAAATTAAAAAAACCAGGCGACTACACGAGTAAAGATTAGTAGAAGAGCAAAAGTGGATTTGAAACTGAAACAAAATAGAAGTGGATGAGATGAACCACCAATGTGACCGGATCACATGTAATTAGATATGCTTGGCGCATGGAATTTAAAATGAAAGATGGTACACGTCTCTTTTTGGTGTTTTACAAGAGTATATAAGGTCTACATGTAGAAGAAATGAGAGCAGATTGAATTTCATTGGCTGAGAGTTATAGATAAAGTTTCAATGGGACGGAAGAAAAAGAAGAAGATGTTTTCTTGCTTGGTGTCTCCTTTTATATGGACGGAGCCAATGGGAAAATAACCACCCAAAAGAAAAAAACACATCATGAAACAAAAAAAATAGAATGAAAGAATGGACAGCAGCTACTCTTATTTCAGACAAAAAAGCAGAAAGACAGAATAAATCGTGTCTCACAAAGAGAAAATGGGAGAAAAATATAGTTGACTCAGCTCAGACATATCCTCTTTTTTAGCCATAAATATTTTCTTCTTAGAATAGTATTCTTTGTGGTTCTTGGTCAGAACGTGTCAAAAACGAGCTATTAGCCTTCTCTCGGACATCCAAAGAAATAATTATGTAGAATGAATGGCTAGAATTTTCAAGAAGATCTGATACTTGATAGCTAACAAACCTATTTGAAAATATGGAACAGAACAAAAACGTTAGAACAGCAGAAAAAATTGTTGAGTAACACAGTGTTTGAACTGCATATTAGCAAAGAATGGTCAGTCGCTGAAAAATGTGGCACCATTTAAAATCAGCTGTTTCATTTCACATTAGGTTGCTAACCACTTGATTATTTCCAGTTCATTTATTTTGATTTTTACGAAACCTGACACTGTTTTGTGTTTGGAAAAAAGGCGATTTTGATTTTTTTCAAAACCGTCCACCAAGCAATGCATACCAAAAAACAATAGAACTAAACGATGTAGTTGCCATTCGAACTAAAATATCTCACATATTGTAAGAGATATCAAAATTTTCTCAATTTATGAAGTTTTGGTTTCAAACATTTGATCAGTTAAAATTTTAATGATATCTCTCAAATAAATTGAAACAATTGATCTCAAAAAGCATTCTGTTAAATTAGTTACGGTGCAAAATACTCAAACAAATATCCACAAAAAAAGGTGTAGACAGCAATTATTTTACACGACAACAAATAATTATCGCTGTCCGAGAAAAAGGAGTTAAGAGTTTATACCATGTTAAATTATTCTCAAAAAAGCAAAACTTGAAACAATTGATCTCAAAAAGCAAGTATCTGGAGGCATTCTGTTAAATTATTAGGTTGGTAAAAAAGTAATTCGCGTTTGTTACTAACTACTTCGAATTACAGCTGGTGTATTAGGTTGGCGGGAAAGTCTTTGTCACTCTGTTTGTTTAATCACTGTTCTCGTATATGGAGGCTGTGTATGATATCGACTCTAGTGAATAACAAGGTGATAAGACCTTCCATATAAACAAGTCCCCATTTCCTTCCCTGCTCCTCATCTGTAATTGAAACGATATGTTTGTTCCCACTGCTATTCACATCAGACATGTTTTGATTTACCTCTTCCTATCTCACACCACGATGAAGGATTCGGAAACTTTCTTGAAGAATGTGTACAACACACATGCCCCTCACTACAATACTATTCGCAATTGGTTCCATCGTTTCGAAAAAGATGACTTCTCGCTCGATGAAAAGAATCGCTCTGGGAGACCCTGTGAGTTGGATTTGGACAAGCTGAAGCACGCATTGCAATCGGATCCATTTCAATCTAGCCGTGAACTAGCTGTCACATTCGGAGTTCACCATAGCACAGTCCTTGAAGGTTTGAAGTCTCTTGGAATGAGAAAACTTTTTGGTCGATTCATACGTCATCACCTGACTCAAGCCAACCTTGACCGCCGAGTCGACGATTCGATTACTCTTCTCACTCTCCACGCGGGCGATCGATGGCTGGACCGGCTAATAACCGGAGATGAGAAGTGGGTCTTCTACGATAATCACCACAGGAAATCCCAGTGGGTTGGAGAAGGAGAGAGCCCACAGGATGTCCCCAAACCCGACCTTCATCCGAAAAAAGTTATGCTCTCTGTGTGGTGGGGAGTGGACGGCCCCATCTACTGGGAACTTCTGCCCGAGGGCAAAACAATAACTGGAGACCTCTACACTACTCAACTACGAAACCTCAAGAAAGCAGTCGACCGTTCGGCCCTGAAAGACAAGAAAGTGTACTATCAACATGATAACGCTCGCCCACATGTTTCGAAACAAGTGAAGCAGGAGCTGATGGGATATGGATGGAATGTTCTCCCTCACCCCCCGTATTTTCCTGATCTTGCTCCTTCCGACTATTGGTTATTTGGCGATATGACACGTGCCTTCGAAGGAAGAAGCTTCAATTCCCGTGGAGGGGTCGAAGCGGCACTCAAACAATACTTTGCCTCACGCCCGGCTGGATTCTACCGCAATGGAATCCATAAATTGAGGGAACGTTGGAGACATGTTGTTGATAATGATGGACAATATAATTAATTATTCGGTTATTTTTTCTTTGAGAAATAAACTATTGAAAAAGTGACAAAGACTTTCCCGCCAACCTAATAGTTCTTCAAGAGAGACATCGAAACTTTGATCATGCGTTGGCAGTAAGCGGCCGAAAATTATGGAGAAAAGCCCTCTGATTGATATCTTGTTTTAGTTTTGTGCGAGGTTAAAAGAAATCAAAACGCGCGCATTACTTTCTTACTAACCTAATAGTTACGGTGCATAATATTCAAACAAATATCCACACAAAAAATATGTAGACAACAATTATTTTACACCATAACAAATAATTATCGCTGTTCAAAAAAAAGAGTTTAAATCATGTTAAATTATTCTCAAAAACGCAATAACTAACAACCGCATCTTCTGAGCATTTTTTGAATATTATTCTACTATTTTCTCTAGTTTACTACGATTTTCACTTTTTTGTTCAAATTTAAGTTATAAAAAAGGAATTTAAATAATGGAAATCATAGGAATTACGAAGAAAAACGGCTGAAAGTAAGGAAATATCAAATTTTTATAGGCTCAAAATATACGGTAGTTTGTTCTTGCGGCTTAAAAAAATCACAAGAAATCCGCTATAAACTTTTTTCTTAGACAATGATAATACTATCGTCAATAATAATCTTTCGAATATTATGGTTTCTCAATTTTTTTATTTCAGTTTTCTTATCTTATACATGATAATATTAGTATATTTTCTCGGAGGTCAGTTTGATTAACTTTTTTCAGTTCTCTAAAACTTTGAGCAATTTTGAAGGAGTTTGTCTAAAAACTCACCCGCATCTCCATCTTGGTAGAAAAATATAATAAGTATGGCAAATGAACACGTTTTTTCTCAGAGAAACCGTTTTATGTATATTTTATGGTTGAGTGAATCCACGAGGTGAACAAATCGATCATAAAACCTTTTTTAGAGAAAGAATAATATGGAGGAAAATTGACATGTAACCTTGAGTACTCACTTCACTTGGAAAGTTTTGAATGTTGTGAAGTAGTTTTAGTTTCCGAAGAAAAACAACTCACGCTGAACTCCATATCGACGAAGTGAGCTGGATCGAAGGCATTCATAAACCGTGTGATGGAAATACCGAAAAAAATTTTTCGAATGGTGTGAAGTGTTTCAATTGTACAGAAAACTTTGTGGATTGTAAAAACCAAATGGGCGGGTGTAAAAATATTGTAGAAATAAACAAATAGAACTAGCAATAATGCATTTGTTGTGAAGTGAGTGAGAGAGAGAGAGAGTGAGACACACCGATTTGTAAATTTGGGTGCGAATACAATAAATGGCGTCGTGCGTGAATATATAGAGACTGAATATATAGCGGTCTGGTTTTTATTATTGTGAGGTGAAAAAACAAGAAGAAGGATATATGAAGACGAAGCCAAAAATCACTTCATCAAAAACTTGTCGTTCTGGTGGCTCATAGGGATTCCAATGAATGGCATTCAATCTGCAAGACAGAAGTGTATATAAACAAAACATCTGTAAAATGTTCGAAACGACAGGGATTATGCAAGCGAACCCTTGCCGAAGTGGCTTATTCGCCAAGTAAATATATCAAAGCAAAATGTGTTTGTCTTTCCATTTGTTGTTCCACCTCGTTTCCTCTTTTCTCCTCCTACTGACCCTCCTGGATTATAATTTCGGTGGCCGACTTGGGCCACTTGTTCTTAACGGAGTAATGCGAAACGGCTCATTAGAGAATTTTCCGGGGCGAGAAGAGACAAGTAAGAAACGAGAAAACGAAACACACATAATACACACAGAAGACAAATTGGCCAGAAAATGAAATGAACGGAGAAGTAGAAGCTGAACGAAGAGGAAGACGTTTTGAAGGGTCTGTTTGTCACCGAACTTTGTGTTTTATGGACACTTTATGCGGAAAAACGAAAAATATGTTGGCAAAATATAATGTTCCAACCGAGAGTAAAGTAACAAAAACTATGTTCACAATATTCGAAAATTCTTAATAATTCACAAGTTGGATGAGAACATTTGGGGTGATGGTGTTCAAGAAATACATTTTGAGCTCTGAGAAACAAGCATTTTCAACAGTCTTGAACGGTTAGAAGTCGGGAAGGTTAGATTTCTTTTAGCGGCAAATAATCAACTTCAATATTCTTAAAAGGTAGTTCAGAATCTTTAACAACTGGAAATTTCCGTTTTAGACTTGCTCGAATCGATCGGAAACCCGGTTTCCATACAATAGAAAACGGAAAAGGAAACATTTTCTTGAATTTTTCCAGATTTTTTCTTCAATTAACTTAGATTTGTGTTCTTTAAGATATTTGAAAAATACTTATACTATTTTCGATGTACTTCAATTTTAGCCTTTTCTGCAATTCAAGCGAAAATCTATCGAAAAAAAACCAGTTTCCCGTTTTTCAGATTTTTTCAAATATTCTCGGGAAATATTTGGTTTGGAAAGTAAAAGAATTAAGGGGTACAAAAGTGTACAAAACTAATTAAAGGCACAAAATTTACAACTCGGGGTTAAAAAATACCCGGAAAAAGTTCGAATTTTGTACCCCCCCCCCCCCCCCCTGAATTGTAGATTTTGTAATCCTTGATTAATTCTTTTATTAATCTGCACCCCCAAATTGTTGAATCCTTCGAATTATGTGCGAAATAATTGAGAAAATTTTCATGATATTCTCAGGTAATATCTTGTTGTTGTAAGCTGAACGATTAACGAAAAAAACTTTTTTTATACGCTAGAATATTTAAATTGAATGAAACACAAAATGGCTCTCATTAAATCGAAAGAAAATCTTGGAATTTCCAAAACTCTCGGAATATATGTTCTTAGAACATGTTTGTTTCTCGTGTCGTGCCATTAAAACATTTACGAAGTTGTTGTTTATTTCTTCAATCAACCAAAACTCAATAAAATGTTATCCGATTAATTATATCATCTTGGGTACAATCTCGAAATTATGAATCATGGAGAGAAAAGCTAAATGAGAGAGAGAGAGAGAGAGAGAGACATACATTTTTAAAGAGCTTATTAAAAAATAATTCCCGCGATTTTACAACTGCACATCGAAGGGAAATTACAGTATACCTATAACAGACAAAGCGAATGAGAGAGGAGAGAGGGGGAAAATGACAGGGAAGATGAATAGTGTAAAACGGTTTCTACACGGAAAATGATTAAGAATTTCATTATTTCCAGTTGGTTTTATTTTATAACTGAAAGATGTTTGATGAATTAAAAACTGAAAATTTTAAAAACGATAATGTGATGAGAGTGGGGGAGGGAGAAAGAAAGGAAGAGAAAAAGAAACGAGACCGTAGTAGACAAAAACGAGGAACAACGCCTAATGATGATTTGTTAATTGCATAATACCGCTCATTCGTCATCTTCCTTCTTCTCTTCTGGGCTTTCGTCGACTTCGGCGGACTGTTTCTGATCCTCAAGAAGAGGAGCGATAGTGGTCAGCTCTTTCTCATCAACCGCCGACGCATTCTCTCTTTCCGCATTTCTGAAACTCAAGAAATAATTATTTAAGAACTTTCAAATCATCACAACCTTTTGTTGTACCAGTAAACGGCTCCTCCAACTCCGGCCGAAAAGCAGAATCCAAGAATGGCAAGTGGGATAAAGTTGAAGCTGCTCTCAGTCTTCTTGAGCTTCTGAAAAAACAATTCGTAACGAAAAGTCAATCTCTGGAGTTTACCTTGCTCTTGACAGCCATTGTGGTAGCTCTGGAAAGCTCGGCTGGTGCTTCAGTGACAGCATGTTTGCTCTCGGAGAAGAAGGCCTCGTCGGCTCCGGCTCCCTCGTCGTCGTCATCCTCGTCCGAGTCTGGTGGTCCTGAGAACAAGGTCTTCTTAGTGCCTCCAACAGATTTCTCCGATGAGGCTTCAGATGAGGATTCGGAAGTGGACTCAGTCTTAGAATCAGATTCAGATGTGGATTTGCTGTCGTCATCTTCATTAGAGTCATCCTCCTCGCTTTTTTCCTTTTTCTTCTTATCCTTCTTGTCATCCTTCTTATCAGTCTTCTTATCAGCCTTCTTTGGCTTTTCGGTAGATTGCTCAGTAGATTCCTCAGAGGTTGGAGTAGATTCAGAAGACTGTGGCTCCTCGCTTGTTTCTGGAGATTCTTCAGTAGATGGTTCTGGGGTGGTCGTAACCTTCTCCTTTTTGTGAGCCTTCTTGGATTCTTTATTTGTGGAGGCTTCGGTAGTGGTAATCTTTGGAGCTTTGGTAGCCTTGACTGGTTTGGAGGTGGTGGCTTCCTCCTCCTCGCTATCCTCAGTGGTCTCTGATGTTTCCGAACTAACAGTGGTAGCCTCATTCGATGCTTCAGTAGACTTCTCCTCCTCAGTGGAAGCCTCGGTAGTCTCCTCCTTTGAAGCTTCAGTGGATTTTGGCTCCTCCTCAGCCGAGACTTCAGTTGATGACGTGGCAGATACATTTCCAGATTCTTCTTCCGTCGTCTTATTCTCTTCAGACGATGGGGTTTCAGTCTCGGCACTCTCGACAGGAGCGGCTGTTGTAGTGGATTTCACAGCCTTTTTGGTGTCAGCCTTCTTTTTATCAGCCTTCTTTGTGGTTTCTGGTTTTTCTGTGGTAGTTGGTGCGGCTTTTGTGGTAGTTTTCTTTTTGTGTGACGATTTCACTGTGGTGGTTTCTTCTGCGGATACGGTTTCTTCAGATGCCGTAGTCTCCTCTGATTCTTCTGGAGCTGGTGTTGTTCTAAAAATAGACTTTTGTTGATGATTATAATGGCGTTAACCAACTTTTTCAAGTGGCGTCTGGCACGTGTCAGCAAACAGTTTTTGTTTTCTAGGCAACAGCATCCTCCCTGAATTAAAAGTTTTCAAATTTTTTAATGTGATCCGACGAACTTACAAGGACCGTATCGGAACATTGTGGCATGCTGGAGCATTCTGACTTTGTCAGACATTTTTCAATCAATCCAATCTGAAAGTTCCCGTTGTTTATCCTCTTCTACAGTATCCCATTCACGTCGTTATACATATAATTTTTGGTTTCATTAACTCTTTTGGCACTCAGTGAACCGAGAAACTGACTGACAAATTGTTTCGAAAGAAACACCGGATAATTACATAGCGCTTCGGTCTCTCTACCCCACTAAACCCATTTGTTGTTCTCAATTATCTTGATTGAGGTCGGAAGTGGTAGGGTGTTTGTGTATAATAGAATAGAAAACGGAAAAGAGCAATTGATGGTTTCCCGCGGGTAAAATTTTCAGATTAAAGGGGCTGCCTGCCCGACTTACCTCCGTAACCCTTCTGAGTCCGCTTTGACAATGGAATTTCTGAAAATAATATTGTTTGGTTGGTTAATTGTTATAGGTTTTGATTGTGCATAACCAGTGTAATGCACCAACTGATAAAGAGTGACGCGGAACGTGCAATTATGTTAAAGTAGGTACTCTGATCGTGCCGGAAACTTTCACTGCAATTACAAAAAAAACTCACGGCAGTCGCGGCGGTCGTCAAGACTACAAGAATAACTAGAAGTCTCATTTCGATCGCTTAATGGGATGGCGTTCGACAGAAAAAGATTTGGAAATGATCTCCAAGTGGAGGCAAGCTGAAATTTTTGAAAAAGTTATTAAAACACACAGAATTTTTTTTCGAAAAGTCGTAAGAAGAGGGTACTGATAAAAAGAAGAAAAGTGAAAAAGTGCTTGTAGTAAGCGAAATTGTTTCAAATGACATGACGCACTTAGGAATTATAGAGCAACTACGTTTGGAGACAGTAAGAACTGTTCCCATTCAACAATTAAAATTATGAGAGGTGGGAGGAGGAGTGAGTGTTGGAATTGTAAAGTGTGGGTCCGATATCCCAATCTCTTTGTGTTTTTTTTTCAATGACGATGAGGTAAGTCGGGGGTGGTGAGATCAAAATGAATTGAACAGAGAGGGTGGCAATAAAAGAGGGTCCATGAACAAAAACAACATGCACCCGTCAAAAATATCAAAGGGACTCATAGATTTCAGGTGGGCGGATTGAGAACAAAGGTTAAATGATTGCCAGGAACAATTGCGAAAAGGAACTTTGTCCCTGTAGATCCACGTTGATGTCTAAAGTTTGTAGTAGATTTTCTTGCATCAGATAGAAAAGTTTCAGATCAACTGGACAAAAATTGACTGGACGAAAAACTTAATTCAATAAAAAAAAACTTCATCAACTGGACACAAAACTTAATTTTGTAATTGATACATTTTTAGTAAAAATTCTCTTAAATGAGACCAACAACTTGTAGAATTCCAAACTGTGACCAAATACTATTTTCAGTTCCAACAGGAATATCCAATTTAGACTAATTTCTTCAAATCTTATCCAAAGAAATCTCTTATAATTTTCGAACATCGAAAGTTGGCTATTTTCAACTAAAGTTGGAAAAAAAAACGGAAAATTGTACCGGTAGTGTACTTTCGCTTGTTTTATTAGATTATTTGTTGAAATAGGCTAGCTACCGTAATCCTCGACCAGCCAAAATCCTTGACCAGCCCGGAATAATGTATCAAAACACCGCGGCTTAAGTTTAAACAAAACGGAACTACCACCAGCACCACATCAAAGTGAGTGGCACAATTTGATGCATTCTGCCACACACCATAAAACTGAACTGACTACCTCCTAGCCGCCACCACCAGGGCAAATGTAGCATCTGCCGGTGAGGATCGGGATATTCTAAACTTCTCCAGCAGTTGGTCCCACAGATACGCATAAACAATGCGACACACCCCTGGGTGGCTCCGGGAAGAAGACAAACTGCCGACACGTTACCAATGATTGACAAGCGGAACCGCTCTTTTGTGTTAAGGTTTCGGATTGGATTGAAATTAGAGAACTGATGGAAAGGTGATGAGAACGGCTATTTGAACAAGATGTTACAACTTTTTCTTTTTGCGTTATTGGCAAAACAAATGAGATCAACACGCCAGAACACGGACCCGTTTAAAACTGAAATATCAGGGATTTAATATGGCTGAAATTCACTGGAACTGTAGAATTGAAACCAGTGATATACCTAACTGTAAGGAAAGATGATCAAATGAAGAGTTTGGTTGAAGTTGACAAACACTACGTTTGGCTCATTGAACCAATGGGAAGCCAAGGAATGGTCGAGAGTGTGCTCGTGAGTAGTAGTGGGTAAAAAAACTAACAGGAAACCGCAAGGAAATTAGGTCGAGTAGTTTTCACGTGTAATGGACCACTCACTAAATGAAAAATCATACTAGAAAATTGCACCTAGAGATCAACATCGACATTGCGAGGGCACTGAGAGGTCAAGAGTCTCAAATATATATGTGGTGGTCTCGAAAAATGTTTTGTTTGGAAGGAAGAGAGCAAAAAAGAGAAAAAATTAGACATTTAAGGAAGGGCGTGTTTTACCTGAATTTTGAATCGAGGGACCAATAAAGGGATCAAGTTACTCTTATACGTAAAAAAAAAAGAAAATAAAGAATGACTTCATGAATATTCAAGGAACAAGTATGGTTAGAATTACCTATTCTTTTCCTATTTTTGCTCTACTCAAAAGGTAGAGGTAGATCAAATGTGAAACGTGAAGATCAAAGGATTCAAAGACAAACTTCCTAATATGACCGAGGGAATTGTCCGAGTAATGTTTGCAGGGAAAGTCCACAAAAGTGCACACATCGGAAGACGTGAACCTTTTCCCGAAAATAGAGGTGGGCGGGGACAGAAATGAATGAAGAAGAGGAAGTGACCCACATTAACCTCCCCATTTTCCCTCACCGTTCCCTTTCTACCGTCATCACGTATTTACTTGCAACACATATTAATACAGTACGCTTGTAAAGAAATTGGCCATTTTAGAAATGCGCGTCGGACGACGACATGAACACAAAATGACAGTTAGGGAACCTAGGCCATTGTATTTGGAGGGAGGACATTAACTTTTCCGCAAATAAGACGACGAGTTGAAACGAAATACTAAAACTAGAGAGTAAATCGAAATCGGTCTCTCTTTCTTTCTCTCCCGATTAAAGGTGTTCGCGAAAATGAGCGAGTTAGTTGAGAGTGAAATCTGGTGGGTACACACAAACCTCTTGGAACTAGATTAACGAGGATTACTCATGGTTTTCAAGTTTTATAAACACTCCTGAAATGGGGTTTGAGGTTTTATTGGGGGGAACGTCTCACCAGAATTTAGTCAGCAAACCCTAAACCATATTACACATTCTGTTCCACGAAAACAAAAGAAAAGAAAAATGAACCGTTATGATTCCCATCCTGAAGTAGAACCAGATGTCTAGAGGATAAGTGGCTGAGTTTGCTAACTATCAATTTGCGGATAGTGCAATACTACCGAACACACATACTCGAGACGAGAAGGAAAATATGGATGAGACAAAAAATCAAGGAGAATATCTAGCATAGCGTCAATTCTTTTAATGCACCAAGCAAACAATGCTCAGAATTCTAAAAGAGGCATTAGAAGGGTTGTTGATCAGAAAATCTAAATGGTCCGGACATGAGGTAGGTGATGCATGCAAGACTAGCAACCTATAATTAATCGTGAGAACTTGCATATTCTAAGGTAGTGGTCCCTTCAAAACATTGAGGTAATGAAGCTAGTTGGACAATTTTCAAAATTTTCTCAAGCTTTTCTCGCCCAGAGCAATCAAACCAAAAAAGTCGTTTTTTGAAATGCACCTATTGTTTACAAAAGACTTAGCGCTTGCAATACTCTGTACAACTGGTCAAAAAGACCCTATACATTGACTACATAAATTTCCTGGGGGTACATGGAAATCAACAAAGTAATTGAATGAATCTGTCTTTGGACATGATTCGGTTCCGGGAGAAGAGATTGAGACGAACAACCACTTGAACAAGGCTCTAAATCTCCTCCTCCCAATAGCCCAGGCGGCTCATTAATAAACTCTCGCACTGGGAGGCCCCTATCGAAACATTACATATTGAAAACAAGGGTTTCCCGGAACGGACCCCAGGCTGCATTAATCCGGTGGTGGCCATGCATATAGAGAGTCTTTGAAAAACCCGAAAACAATTTACATTCTGATACACGAGAGTTCATGAATATCCAAGTTGAAGGGTATAAATTGGATGTATCCGGATGCCTCCGTGCTAGAATAAATTAAAGGAAAACGATAGCTGATTTGAACTTTGGGATGTTGGATACCAGAGTAAGATAGCGGATAAGAAATGGAAAGTAGCGAATTTTTGCGTGGGTCCTCTGTTTGCTCAACCAAGTGCGTCAGATCATCGACAAATTGGATGAAGGAGTAAAAAATAAGAAAAGGGAAATTTAGGGGCACTTTTCACTGCGATCAAGTGTTCTATTATTTTTTATTAATATGAAATGTTGTTTTTTTATTAGAATTTCTCGAATGTTTCGATTAAAAATTAATAATAGAAGTTACGGTAGCAATTTTTCGGTATCCGCTGCAATACACAACTCTAACAGTAAATTATTGTACACTTTCACGCTGACCACAATTATCTCGGTTCATATGTATCGTATTCCCTTTAATAGAAGCACTTTCAAAAAAAAAAAAAGAATCGAGACAATTGCGCTCAAAGTTTACGATTTGGGTATCAGGATGACAAGATATCAAAGTTTTCTATACGATTAGAAACGGTGTGTCATAGTGCCAACGCCTTCAGTTTGCAACATTTTCTAATTGCTAACGCAAATCGAAATAATTGGGCTAAAGATGCAAGTATAGGATTGCTTCAAATACAGTAATCCGAAAAGCAATGAAAACAATTAATGAAAGAATGTGATTTCAATTTGAATTTACGATAAGATGAATGTTGCGACTAGGATTAGCTGGAGATAATTGAAAAACCGTGAAACTTGCAATAAAAGAACTTGTGCAAAATATTACAAAGTTTGTGCAAAATATCACAAATGTGTCAACCAACAAAACAATTTTGATACTATGATAGACATTTTATTAGTTGGCAGCTTTTAGTATTAACCAAAGGAACCGAGAAAAATTGGCTCAAAGTTGAAATTTATCGGCACTTTATTATATGTATTACGGTAGTGACACAAATTGAAATGAAAATATACCGCTATGAAAAAAGGGAAATAGAGAAGATTCCAAATCTACAGTATGCATTTTCCGCATATCATAGAATTCAAAAATAGAAAGGTAAAAATAGAACTAGTCGACCAAGTCACAACCTATATAGTGTCATACTGTTACTTTTCTGAGCACTGACAATGTGCTCTGAGTAGTTAGGGGTGCCATCTCGACCCACTGAGAACACAGCGCAAATTGTACTAAAACACTTGACAGCTTGGAATTGAAACGAGCAAAGGACGGAGCCAATGGGGGAGGGGTATCGTACTGAAGCGAGTAGAAAATACAGCACAGACATCTAAGGGGAATCGTTTTTTCTCTTCTTTTTTTTGTCTCTGGAAAGTTTCAAGTGGTCATCTCTTGAGTAAGTCAAACATAGTTCGTTTCAATGGAAACATCTCAAGATCGCCCTCCATCACTACTAAACTCTTTACTTGTGAACAAGTTGCTTGAACTTATCGTTTTTTTCGGTCTCTCTCTCTTCCACTGCTCCTCAAATGAGAGATATGATGCTCAATGCACTGTGCGTTCATCTCTGCAAAGTCGACGGATCACCGAATGAGTGGTCGGGAAGGCAGATTTGAAGAGTGGTTGGATGGAAAGAAACTCTAGGACAGTAGTACAAAAAACGACAATTTTGTTCGCAATGAGAGTGTGTGTCGTTTCGGAAGGATATTTTGGATAGATTGCAATGGATAGAGCAAAAATCAGAGGACAAAATTTTGAGAACGTACTGTCGATGGAATGGGATGGGATGTTTATGAAAACTGACGTGATAATTTGCCAACCAAATTTTGAGAAAGAACTTCGTGAATTATTCATTTTCTTGTTGGTTGGGTACTGTGTGTTTTTCAAAAAACAAATTGGAAATTAATGTTTTGAACTGAAGATGTGAAATAACGTTAAATTCGTTATCGTTCAAAAAAACCAGGAGTTTGCGAAATGATATTTTTTAGAGTCTGGTAATTTCCGGATAATCTAAATTTTTGTAAACCGGAGTTTTGTAACTATCAGAATTTCAGAATATATTTTTGTCGGATAATTCTAAAAACGATGACTTAATTCAACAAAATCAACAAAGTGAATCGATAATAAACATTCCGTACCAATGTAAATTTGACAGTTATACAAAAAAGTCTCAAAAACCGGAATGTTTTACTATCATAATAATCATATGTAAAAGAAGGGCCCCCACTGTTACATAAAAGTTGAAAGGTCCTCCTACTACAGTTTTTGCAATATCTATTATATAACCTATATTGTATATGTTTGCTTCGTGTTCAATTATCTCATTTCTACAAATCTCATTTTCTACAATTTTTCACTTTTCTATTAAGATTTTGATAACATAACAATTGTTGATATCTTTAGAACAAAGATTTCATCAGATGACAGTATGTTGATAATTCCATAAGGTGCGGAGACAATCAAGCTCACAGTGGAAGTGTATCAGTGATTTTCTATTAAAGCGAATGTGCTACACCAGTTTCAGATTAAGAAAGTGAAAGCTAAAAATAGCCCGAAAACCAAGAAACGATAGGAAAATTAATTACCTTAAAACTTTGTAATAGACGCGTTCTCGTACAGTTTAGTTCTAGAAAACTTTTTTTTTGGCTCCTAGGCAAAACATCAAAAACGTTCCAACTGATAAATAATTCTGATATTCTGGTCAAAAATTATTTGTTGGCACCGTTTTTATATCTTTGAAATGAAACAAGATAAATTTGCTGAATATTGACGTATGAGGTTCTTCTATTACAGGTGCCTCGGCAAACTCAGAATTAAACTTGGAATCATACATTTATCAGTCTTTTCAAAATTGGAAAGGTTTTCCAGTATAATTTTATAATTTTAATTAATTTTAATAAATCAAAAACTGATAAATCAATAGATGTATAAAATAAAATATCAAGACTTTATCATTTTTCAATTCCCGCCCTACTCTTCAGTTACTGGATCACGATCCTTCGTATCAACTTAAATGCAACATATCCAGAATATCAACCGAAGTCACACGCTTTCTGGTTTATCCATACCCGTTTTTGCCATCATCAATGGACAAAATCTCCTTCTTTCATTAATCTGGTCAAAACAAGCATTTATCAGTTTTTTATTATTTCCTTCTTTTTATTCAAGGTCAGCTTGTTTTTTGTCGGTCTCTTTAATAGAAAAGATGTTTCTTGTTTTTTGCAACTTTCTCTATCCTTTTTCTCTCACAACTTTCCATTATCCATCAAATTAATCGGATTCAAAAAAAGGCGTGGCTTTTCACTCCTCAAATATCCTATATCTTCACCCTAGAAACTTTTATTCTGTCGTTAGAAAAAGAGAAAAGACTTCGTATTTTTGGGACAACCCTTCACTCCACGACCCGGATTTGCTTCTTCTTGTCTTGAGAGAGAAAACGGTGACCAAAACCTTCTACAGTCGTTTCTTTTCGGGATCATGTCGTCGCGCACTCTATCAATTGCCGTCATTTTCATCATTGCAGGTCAGTGTGTTTCCCTTTTTTCTTCTTTATCACTTAACAGTTATTGTTATTTTTATTTTTTAGCGCTTCTTGTGTCTGACATCGAAGCACGATTCAAACGCCAGACATACCAGTATGATCCATATCTCATGTCGTTCGCTCATCCACATCCAGGAACTAAAGTGACTCAAGGATATTTAGCTAGATATGCACCACAAGATTGGCCAAAATGGTTTGTGAAAATTTTCTGATTTTCTGATATTCTGTAATATGTTTTCTTGATCTTTGTAGATCAAAAAGAGATATGAAAATTCCTATAAATCGTTTTGCAGGTACTCCCGGAACATGATGAAATGGACTGGACAATCCAGATTTTCGCCATACGACAAAACCGACGCCCGGTATCCAAACTGGCATAATGAGTTTGCCAACAGACGAGTGTAAACGTTTGGAAGTTCGCATTTTAAACAAGTTTCAATTCTACATTTCACCTCTTCTTTGCTGATATCACTAGCTTTCTTCCGGTATCCTGATATGTTTACCTCCTATAAATTGTACAAAATAAATTTAATTTTTTAAACATATACTTACCAAAAAGTATTCATTATAAGCTTGTTGAATTTGATCGAATTTCGAATTTAGAAAAGACAGTTTTTGTGCATATCAAAATCTTCAAAATTTTTCAAGAATAAATATATAATTAAGTTTTCTTTATAGAGAAAAGTATCGTGAAAGTATTTTGTTTTGTTCTAAATGATATCATTTTCAGCATTTCTGTTTGTTGTATGGTCATGTAAGTATCAGTTTCAGGAAGATTCTTACTTCCTGTTTAGGAAATCGAAAGATTTTAAATATCCACCGGTAGATGAAATTTTCAGAAATCCAATTTGTCATTGCAAATTCAATGAAATGTCAAAAAATTAGATATAATTTTAGTCAAAAAAAATGAAAAAATGTTGTCATTTTTGATTACTACTGTAGAATCAAATTAATTTCCCCACCAATCATTTTCTGAGTTTTTTCTTTTATTTTTTTGTGATTGCCTTTTTTTTTCATGAATGAGCAAGCAGGATGGCTTCACACCAAAACAATCTATGCATCATTTTTCAAGGAACATCTGATCTATGGATTTATTTTTTTTATGAACAGGAAAAAAGCTTTGGCCGACATTTTATTGGATCAAGAATCTGTACAATTTGTTGTTTGGAATGAATATTTAATCTCCTGTAATGAAATCAATGAATATAATGAAATAAAGGGAGAGGAAAAAGTTTGAGAAGGAAGAAAACGGGAAATCGGTTTTTGAGTTTGTGGTTGGGTATATTTGAGAGAACAGGAGATCAATCTTCCTGAGTGCAGTTATTTTCCGGCAATTAAACAGATTTCATCGGTGCTTGAAGAGACGTAGAGCATTGCCTTCTCGACGATTCTGATGCTTTCCTGGAACAGAAAAAACAACAAGCGTAATGCTAAAAAATGTGTGAATCTTGCCTGCACAACATCCGGCTCGAAGTGCTCGACCATGTTGTCAGCAAGAACGCGACGGTAGCTACGGAGATCACTGAGAACCGACGCCATCTGATGACGAACTACGTTATCAGTGATGACTTGAGCCGCGGATTCCTTAAAAAGATATGAATACTTGATTGCAATCTGTCTAAAAGTAGCTTACCAAACGGCGTTGATCATCGATGCATCTCACGATGAGTCGAAAGATGTCGGTCTGAAAATGATAAAAGATGAGGTAAAAGGATTATTAGGCATTCATACCTGAGCCGACGGCGATAGAGATGAGCAATCGACCTTGAAAGTGGTGTAACCATTGGTATCCATGTCTTCCAACTGGAAAATCTCAATCCTTGGCTCAAGAAAACGAAAAAGAAGAAAGTGAAGAAGTAAAAAAAACGAGAGGAAAGAGAATTAACCAAACAACTTTTGGTTTGTAAGAAAAGGAGGTATACATGTCCAACAAAGAAAAAAAAGAAAAAGAATACGTTGTATCTCTGTTGGAGCCCTCAACATCAAAAAAGGCCCATCTAGCATTCGTGCAAACGTTCTTTGTGACGAATGATGAGCAGAAGGGAGAAAACCAACTCTCATTTCTTAGTCATTCCACAGAGAGCTAGGGGGAAAAACTTGATTAGAAAAACAGTATAAATGACAAATGGAGAAGATAAATGAAGCTAATGGTTCTGTGAAGTAACAGGAAGATGAGGAAGAGAGGATGAGGAACGAATTCAAGTATAAATGACAAATTTGCATTCTCTTTTTCTTTTTTATGCCTTCTTCAGCTCTTTGCTGTGCTCTTCTTATAAAATGGGCCACCAGGAAGTGAGAAAAATAGAGCTCACACCGCTCGAAAGTTGGGACGAAGAAAAGAAGATGGTGCTCAATAAAGCAAAGTGGGTTTGATTTTTTTCTTAGGACCCGCGCTCAAAGAACAAACTTGCGCTGGGAAAGGAAAGGAAGACTGAATGGATAATTTGTAGAGCGGAGGCACTTTCTGAAATTTTTTTTTCTTCTCAGAGTTCTCACTGTGAGAAAAAAACCTATAATCCCTTGGGATTGAAAGTGGAGAAGAAGGAAAACGAAGGAAGACGAACGAGAAGACCAATAACGAAACGTTCTGAAAAGTTGATGTAACCTGAGAAAGAACTCAGCCTAAAAGTTTGCACACACAGGCACAAACACACGAATGGATTTCAAAAGAAGAGGTGAAATGAAAATGGGTGTGTTTTTTCTCTTCTTTTTAAAGCTAAACCTAACAACCTAGAGCTGAATAGGAGCGAGAGCTAAACACAACATAACACGAATGGAATGCATAATTATCTTGAAGAAAATAATACATCATTTTGTTGATTTGGAATGTCAAGTTTTCTTATAACCTAAAAGTGCATTGGATATGAACGTCAGGAACAATCCGATGCCACTGCTTCACATTTGAATTTTGTTATATTGAATGCCGTGATGATTGGAAACCAGACATTGATATGTTATTATACGTGTACTTCTTAAGATAGTGATGTCCAGGATAGTAGGAATTTGATCGTCGAACAAAGGTGTCTAGAAAGAAGTGGTTCCGCTCCTTTCTTATTTTCACAATATTACCAAGTGATGAAGAGTGCGTACATATAACCAAATATACTGAACCTGATTTTATAAGGACTCACAAAAAACGGAAAACAGATATCGAAAAATGGCTCCAATAGCAATAGTATGTATCAGTTCAAAAGTGTAGGGACATGAAAAATTTAAATAAGTTTACATCGGGAGGTGCTGTACCAGCTGCCCTACGTTGGACAGCGCAATACCAACGGGTTGTGCGAGCACTAAGACTGTAAACTGCCACTCGGTCCTATAAAAAACAAAACAGTTCTGGAAGACGAAGAAAATAGATAAGTGTTTGCTGTATCTCAATTTGCAAATACTGTCAGTAGCTTAGTTCCGAATCAGTATACAAGTCTTGGGAGACATTTTCGACTTGATTTCTTTTTCATCTATTATATAGTACCCGGGATAATAATTGGATTGGCGCGTTCCAGAAAAACTCCCCCGACCGGAAGAAAAAATGGAATGAAATTGTGATGTTTTCTAATCTGAACTTATTGTCTGGAAAAGGGGCGTACACAACCTAACGAGAATTGGGGTTAAGAGCCAGACCAAGTTTTGTTGTCAGAAGTGTACTTGTCTAGTCATGTGGCGTCTTGGTTACTTGGAATCGACGGAATGTGGGCGGGGGCAAATGTTTCTGGAAGTATGAAAGAAAAACGGTTCCGCTCTTCTTGAAAACCAGTTTTCAAGATTTTATCGCATAACAGAAGAGACCAATTTTGTATAGAACCTAAACCTGAAAGAACAATCAGTTAGTCAAACATAAATGTGGGTAACAAACATCCTAAGATCAAAAGCACAGAATACGAGAGACCTTTTCAAAACAAAAATTCTAGAATTATTCATATAACGGATTCTTTTTAAAAAAGTCTGATTTCACCAGCATCTTGGACAGCTGGTAGTCCAGAAAAGTAAAAATTGATTTGTGATGGAAAACGTTTCAAAGAAACAGAATCAAAATATCGAAAACAATAAATTTTATCTACACGTGAAGTAATCTTGAAATTGATCTACAAGCCATACATGCAACGAAGCAGGCCAAACCAAGATTTTTCAAGTATGCTACAAATTGTAGTTTTTAAATCATTCAAAACATCGAACTAGCATAGTTATTGTTTCAGCTTCTTTGATAACTTTAATCGCTTAACTTTAATGTGACTTCTAGTTTCCTTTTTTATCCGAACCTTAAATTTTTTACAAATCGTAAACGACAGACATATTCAGATCGAATCAACAATTTGAGAACGATGTTTAATCTAATAAACGTTGTCTGCCATCCAGATTGCTAATCCACGGATTGCCATCGTTATAGGCGCTTGTTTTAAATTATCAAATGCATCCAATTGATTCGTTTTCCTGTCAAGTGTTTTTTCTTCCCTTCACCAAAAGATATTTTCTCGTTAAATGTAGATTGAATGTGTCTGTCAGGAGAAAAATGTCCTTGATAGTTCAGCATTCCGACCTCCGTGTGTGAGAAGACCACCAGCACGGGAATAAGATACGACGTTCTTCGCATTGTCTCTCGAGAACTACTTAAATCTTTGTGAAATTAGATTACTCTTGGTATTCTTTTTTATTTTAGAATTTTTTTCCATTCAGTTTTTTCGTTTTTTTTCCAGAACTTTCTTATTACTGATCACTTATTATGAGCATCTACGACCGAGTTCCACTTGACATCGCTGCTTTGGTTAGTATAATGTCCAATAATCTCGAAACCGTTAGTTGCAAATTACAGGATAAACTCTTTGATATTCGCGATAAAGCCATCGATGTCAAAAACGCTTTGGTAGCCAAGCCAACAACTATACACTATTCTTTTCTGTATTTTTCAGTTCAGCTATAGTAGCGACGATGCTTCCAAAATGAACACCCGGCAAGAAGGATTGAAAGCCGCGGAGACTGTGATGAAGATGGTCGACTACGTTTACAGCTATCGGCTTTGCTATGTGGGATTTGAGGTGAGCATACAGATTAGTTTTTATTCGGGAAAAATTGTTTTTATTAAGACTGACATTGTCAAGATTCAAGCTTGCTTATCGGATGCCGAGTACTATCTCAGTTTTCTACCGCGGTAAAAACCGATTGTAATAATTTCTACATATATGTCTTTCTTCCTCTGACTTTTTTTATTTTCAATCAATTAATGCGGCGTTTATATATTGATATTCGAGTAATAAGATTTGGAATGAGTTTTGGTGTAGAACTGGGAATGGAATTATATATTTATATCGGAATGTAATTTAAGAATAATAAAATCAATTTTCTTTGCATTTTGATGTTGATCTTCAATTTTCGCGGGCATCTTCGAATTTGTCATGATCATCGTCCCCTTCTTCTGCGTTTTTTAGACTGTCACCCGAAGCAAGTACCCCGCAGGTTTTGAGAAGTTCTTTGTTCGTTTCCCCATCGCCTTTGTGTTCGGCCTCAAGTTGACCGACTATTCTTTCCATGACGTCGAGTTTTTCTGTGATGTCTTTGATCTCGAACTGAAAATCAATATGTTAAAAAACTCGCAGAAACTTGATATTTTACATCGTATTGAGGGCACTGTGCAATGTGATAGATGAGAGATTGGAGCCGGATTTCCAGATAGTTGCAAACCTTCAAGTAATCTCGAAGAGCGACCAAAACTTCTTGACACATGACCAACTTCATCTGAAATGAGAAGAAATCCAATTCAAATACTCCGGATCCTTGAATTTCAATACCAAGCGTTTGATAAGATCGAACGTGCGGTCTCTAGCAGTGTAAATACTGAGAACAGCTCCTCCATCCAATGGAACTCTGTTGAAAACGCTGGTCTACAAGAATTCAGATAACTCTTGCTCAAATTTATTTTGGCTTACCTCCGATACCATTTTAGATTTGTATTCTTTGACCTGCCTTAGATTATCACGGTGTGAACGACGCTGAGCACGGCACATGAACTCTCTGAGGTCATCTTGTAAATCCTCAAAGTTTGTGGAAGTTTTGAAAAAGTGAGAACCGGTTCTTACCGAAACGTGAACAACTGAGGTTTCGCTCTCCATCTTTGAGCAACGTGGCACTGAAAATAAACAAAAAATAATAATTTTGAACGTTCTTAAAGAGCAGATCAAAGAAAAGAGGATGAAATGGAGTTCTTGAAGAAAGCAAGAATCTAAAGTGTGTCCACCTCTTGAAAACAAGCCAAAAACCTACAAGTGAGAGACGGATGTTGGTTTCGGTTTTCCATCTCACGTCAGTCACCACCAAAAAAATTATATAGTTGATGATGGGAGAAAAGAATGGAGGGGAAGACAATTCACAAACAAAGCTTGTTGAATGAATTGAAGAAATGAATCATTCGTGCGAGCAACACGGGGAGCAGCTGAAATACGACTGGTGTTGGATGAAAAAGTATGGGGATATCGCGCCTCTAATCAAGGCGCGAGAAAGGACGAAAAGAAGAGCGGAACTTGAGCAAACAGAAAGACTTTCTGAATATCTATACAGATGCTGTAGAGTTTTGAAAGAGTTAGTTGACTGTTTCCCAAATGGTTGAACGTATATGATTTTTGAATATTATGTCTTCTGAGAAAATTAAACCAAGGTCTTGCACATGTTCAAGTTTGGGGGTCTTACAATCTTATAAAGTGAATGACAGGTTTCTAGATAATGCTATTTTCATTCTTGAAAGAGAATAAAAAATTCATTGGCCATTTGGAATAAAATCACACCATATGCCAAGTTATGCACTATTTACTCACTGTCAGTAAGCTCAATTCCGCTGGAATGTCATATTTGACCGTGGATATGCACTTCAAGGTGTTCAAAATCTGCAATGTGCTTTAGAAAAGTCTCCAACGTTAGTTTTAGACTGCCCACTTAAAGACTGCAAATTTATTTTTGTAAACTGAAAAGAAAACGAGCTATTCAAAAAAAAATGCGCCACCTATTTTGGTTCTTACGCTACTAATATTACCAATGAGCAACAAATAAAGACACACTGGTGCTTCCTGGTTATAAATATATAGAGAGTGTAAGAAATTAATTCAAGAAGCATAATCTAGCTATTTCCCCTTTAACAGAAGAAAATTGAGTGAGGAGACCCATTGAGCTCATGAACCTAAAATAGTCATTCATCCGTCAAATGAAGATGTCAAAATAAATCGGAAGAATGGGAGCATAAATAGTATCGTTTTCGGGTTTGCGAAATACGTTAATACGTTGCATAGGTAGAATTATACAGGTTTTGTAATATGTATGGGAAAAGGCAATAGAACTAATTAGGCTTATCATTTTTATGGTCCTACCATTTTTATGTTCACTGGTTTTCTGGAATTTAAAGTGGCAATTACCAATCTCCACTTTTGGAGAATCATTCACTTCTGAAATGTAAAACTTCCGTTTCTCATTTTTTTTTCATCTGTTTCTTGATTTTCTATATGTGTTCAAACACCGTTTCAATGTGATAAAATTTCATGAGGGGTTAAAAGCGGATGATCAAAAACATTGTTGTTTTCAGAAATATTTTTGAGAAACGGAAAAATGTTGCATTTTATTGATATTGAGCCGAAATCTGAATATAAAAGCAATCTTGTTTTCCAGTGTATACTAAATGAAGTATCTGGTTGATATAATAATGGATTTTTGGTTTTCAGGCATTTGCGACCCAAAATATGCATTTGGAGTAGTGATCTTGATACTTTTTGATTTCATAAATTCTAAAAATAATGAACACGTTTTCACGTAATTTACAGTTTTCGTGATGCAAAACTTTCTTCTTCTGAGTACTTTTAAACCAGGCCCTGGCGTGCCTTCGCAGGACCTGGCATAGTTTCTTTTGGAATTAATAGATTTTTTTGGACCCACTAAATTAGGAGTGATAGAACTCAACGAGCACTACAAAATCATTCTATTCGAACAGACAAAACAGGCAAAAACATGTCCAAAACAAAAAAGCCATTTTATACCTTATAATTATGTCCAAAGATAAGATGAAGTTATCTAAACAATATCATTTTGTAGTATGAATTATATCATATCAAAGTTATTGTCCAAAAACATTGATTACGAGTGAAATTATGGCGGGGTCCTGGGATTGGTTCACAAGTATGTGAACCAATCATGACCAATTTTATTTCATTCTTTTTTAATTTAAATTTTCAAAATCCATTCATGAAATTGTGAACAGGTAAAGATGTAAAGATGTCTTCAGGTTGTTTTCGAGATTAATATTTTAGAAAAGCATTTCTTATTCTTCAATTAATTCTATAAGAGTTTTTGTTATTCAGAATGCGAGGATTCTTGGTCTGGAGCGTTTTCAATAACATTCATTATTGCCTATTACCTGTTTTCATAAATTTTTTGTTTTCAGCTTTGGTCACTACTACAAATGATTATTAACAACTGCTTCGATTACCGTATCCCAGACACAAAACTTTTTTTTTCAAAAATTGACGATCTAATGAAAACGTTCATGATTTTAGTTTTCAAAACTTCCCATCAAGACAATGCGCCCATTTTAGTGTTTCTCACATTCCTTTGTCGCCATCTTTTCCAATTTCTTCCTTCTCTTTCTCCTTCCCCATCAATTGCGCTTAATAGTTTTCAGACCCGTCTTTGTTCTCACACTTTTTTTTTGTCAAATTGATAGATAACACTAAAAAAAACGTTATCGTTGTCGGAATTTCCCATGCCAGGTGTTCTGAATATACCGCAACCGAAAATCGATAGGAAGAAAAAAAACATTCCTCTCTATTTCTCTTCATTCCACACATACACACCACAGATAACTCTTGGGCCCATCCAAAATGTGTGTCTCGTGGCTTGGCCAAAAGGCACATGCCCCTCACTGCTGCTCTTCCTCACTTCAAATTGTTTTTTTTCTTGCTTATCTTCTTTTTCTTCTTCACAGGACACACATTGAGGCGCTCACACAAGACGGACGGCGGCCGCGCTCATTCACACTCACCATCTGTGCGCTCGCTCACACTCATTGGTTTTTTCACACAAAAATAGGAAGGGAGAGGAGGAAACGACCCGCGCATTTTTGTGTTGTAGGAAAATCTCAAGCGTTCAGTTTTTCATTAAACGGAGAACCATTTTCGCTGGTTATCAGTTTCCGTATGCTATACCATTATATCGAACAATTTTCATAGAGGCAATGGTCTACCATCCACCCTATCAGAACTGTTCTTTCTCATCATTCTTATAATAAATGTATGAAGTTGCGTCTCTTTATTTATCGGTCTGTCTAAACATTTCGAAAAGCTGGAAAATTAATTATAATTTGACGTGACTTTCAAAAAAAAAGAGTGAGGAGCGCAGCGACGAAAAAAATAAAAATAGGTAACTCGCGCCGAAAGTGCACCAGCCAGCTGTTTGAAGCGCCTTAGACGCGGCAAACAAGCAGGTATTATCAAATTAGTCCCAAATTGTGTAGAACTTACAATTCCAAAAAAACTTCCTCTATATTTCTTTTAGAGCCAAGTTTTCTTTTGCGCTTTCTTTTGATACAACTACATTATAATCAACCTACAATCCTCATTTCTTATCATACAATTTCAAAGTCCTCTCTTAAGGAATAGAGGTTTTTTTTTCTCCGAGCTCCGCCCACTTTAGAAAAAACGTACTTAGTGCCACCGGCTACCATTTTCTATCTCATTCATTCTTCTCCTTTTACTCCTTTTTCCATTCCTTTTTCCGTAATTTATTCGTAACGACTGGCAGAGTTTGGCAAGAAATTTCGTTCAGTGCCAGGCCTCCGACGCCTTCTGCTCCTTCATTTAATGTCCGTCTTTTTCTCCTCTTCACTTTGAATTCATTTTTCATATTTTTTCAGGAACAGTTCTTTCATTTACAAGGTTAGGCGCGAGCTAGAATTGATGAGCAACGAGTCGACACCGTTCTCAACGGTGGCGGTCGCACAGAAATCTCGGGTGAGTCTTAATATTTATGAGATTTTAAGCTGTGGAGTTCTGGTTAGAAAGCATGTCTCACTGTAAAAATTCATGAATTTTGCTGCTGATACGCTGAATAATTCTAAAGGCTTCTGGTAATTCTACCAGTTCTGGCTTAGAAAAACAAAAAATTCTTATTAAAACATACAGTACCTGTCAATAAGGAATACAAAAACATATTTTCAGTTCGGTCATTTCGATCGTTCTCCGAAGCCTGTAAATCGGGAATCAAGTTTCAGATCACTTTTATAATTTCGAAGGATAAAAACAATCTAGATTGAAAACTTTGCTCTCACAGAATTTTTTAAATTTTTAGTTTTTAAGATGACTGCCTATTTCTGAAAGAAACCTGATTTTTCTCACGTTTTCAGTACAAAAACGAGCCAAAATGGTGTGGTGTCTTTTGGAAATCTGCAGCTAGCTCCAAAATGTGAAAACTTAGAAAAAAATTTGTGAATGCAAAATTTTCAATCTCAAATCTGTTATACACCTTCCAAAAACGGCCAAAATGAGAAAATCAACAGACAAATACGCTGTATGACATCAACCGGTACTGTAGTTGATCTTATGATAAGCTGCATATAATCCGTTTTTGACATTTCTCAAAAGGAGTTTTCTCTCATTAGATTGCGAAATGTTTGATGCTCAAAGTGTTCTCAATTTTTGTATTTCCAGACTTGGACCTCTCCACTCATGGGAGATGCTGCTCGTGCTCGAATCGCCGCTAGAGAAGCTTTGTTGGTAAGCTACCGTATCCAAATTTCCGTCCGTCACACAGCTCCCTCTCATTAAGTCGTCAGTCGTTCAAACTAACGGAATAATTTATGTTCTTTGAAAAAATTTCCATCCGTTTCCTCGTTTCCTATTTGAAAAAAAGCAATAGCTCAATCTTAAATAGCATCTTGGCCCAGCGGTCTCCTCGTCCAGATGGTCGTATAAAAAAGGAGGCAATTGACTTGAAAACGACTTTCTCTCTCTCAATTTGAAATAAGAAGTAGGAAACAGATGTGAAGATTAGGACGAGAGAAAGCGCTTTAAAAAGATGGAGTCGTGTTTGAGGTATAATTGGAACGTCTAGAAAAAACATTTTGTTTCAGGAATCACGTATCGAGAAAAGCAAAACCCAACGATTAACGGCTCGTCGTTTCGACACCAACCGGGGTACTGCTCGTCTTTTTCTTGAAGCAAGGGATGTTGAGAACTCCCAAGGAAAAATGGAAGTGAAGATCACCATCAACATGGTACGGTAATTACTATTGTTCCTCTAAAAATTATCATTTACAGAAACAACTCGAGAAACATCATCGTGAGATTGATTCCTACATCTCATCATTCAATCCACACCCGGAATCGAGATTCCTCCGTATTCCACCAATGCCCATTGACTACGCTCGGGTCGAACTCGTTCGTGATATACTTGACAACCTATGTCGCAATCTTGTAAGTTTGCAGATGGACTACGACCAGAGAAAGTAATCTTATTTTTAGCAACGTATGAGCGTGTCCCAGATCAGTGACGACGATCTTAGGATGTGGTTGGAGAGACTTCGTAAACTTGACGTTCGCCTCACCGCCCTCTATCCAAGAACCCCAGCGCCAGGAGACCCAAACAAAAAGAGCTTCCGTATGTGCCCCTGCTTTGAACCTGAAATGAATGACATTGAGAAGCTGATTTGCGAATACGCCATGGATTCCGGCGCCACGGCATTCTATCTGAAAAGGAACCCTCCCCGATTCCCTGGAACTCCTCCGACCTCCGGGAACCTATACATGAAGTATAGGAATTCACGCTTTCTCCGCAGGCAGCCTCCTTAGCATCTGATGAGTCTGATGAGTCGTATGGCTCTGATGTAGACTCTCTAACCCTCCCTCCCTCCTTATTTTCACAAATAATTATTATCACGTCAAAGATATCGTTTCGGGTTACCACTTTCTTACCGGTTTCTTTTTTTTTGTAAATTTTTAGCGGTCTCATTTCTCTTTCCGAGCAACCATTTAAGCCCAGTTTTGTCTGTCCCAGTTCCAATGTATCACTTCCTATTTTTATGAAACTCAAACTGTCTACGAAAAAGACAAATAATTTACGCAAATGTTCCAAGCTTTATAATTTCTGATTTGGCTAATACTACGTTAAAAACTTTGCAAACCAAAAATACACCCATCAGTACCACCTAAATTTAGACATTTTTCTTTATTTACGCTCTTCTTCAAATTACCTCTATTTTCACTCTCATGCTTTCTAATTTTTTTTAATCTTCCATCTGGTATTTCAAAACATCTATCCTCGAAGTGCACACTTCCAATCACAAAATTCGCCCATCAGTACAACACTTTAATAGACAGCTACCCTAAATTAGTCCTATGAACTCAATTATCTTAATTTCTGAGAAAGATATAAAAAACGTCGGCTATACAAGTGTTGCTGATAACATGGCCAACGTCTTATCAGCTGACGGATTCCAGATATCTTTTATAAAAAAACAAAATAATTGAGTTCAATTCGAAAGTTTTCCCTTTCGACTTTTTGGTTTTGATCTTAATTTTACGAGCCAAACAAACTTCAGACAACTAACAGTACAACTTCTATTCCCCTTTCCGTTCCTAATTTCAAATCCATTTCCAATTGGACTTTCGTACTTTTTTTTGCTCACGTTTTGAATTACACCCACCAGTACAAGTCATAATTAGCCCTTATTTTTGTATCTTCATATTCCTGTTTTTGTCTACAATTCATGCTGTAATTCCTATTTTACGTTCTGTTTCTCATAATCAATATTCGTCCCTCTGAAAAATGATATACAGACCTTTTTGAGAATTACCACTCAGCAATAATTATTAGTTCGAACAATCATCGTTGATTACACCCACTAGTACATCCTCATTTGATTGTTTTCTGTTTGTTCCATTACTCAATGACTTTTTAAAAATCCTAAATTTCGATCCTCACCAAAAAATTGAAACCCTTTCCCAAGATATATACTTTGTCAAAAACTATTTTTTGTCGCCTGCTTTCAGTTTTAGTCTCTAGTTTCTCATATTTTTCTTTTCTACACTATCCTAGTTTTTTCCCAATTTTTTCCTCAAATTCTCCTCACACCTTCACCCATTTTCTATGTTTCCAGTGTTCATGTCAATCCCAGATTTCTCAACCAAACACGGTTATTAATCTTGTCATCGCCACTTTGAAACTCATTCAGAAACAAATTTTGTGATGTGAAACGTTCATTGAAGAGATCCACTCCCTTTTATTTTTCATCTTTCCTGACAATTGAATTTGATCGATCTTAATTTTTGTAAAATTTTCATTTTTATTGGAACAATAATCTTTTTCGAGAATAAAGTCAGCAATGAAATACAATACAGGAATAGGAAATGGGGAACAAAAGTATACCAGTACTTATATTAGTACAAAATAATCTGAAAAAATAGTAAAGGCTATTTCAAATAACATAAACCAACATCCGAAACACATTACACCACTCTCGGGACAACCCAAGTTTAAGGAACTCGTCAAACTGGGAGCCCTCGAACTCCTTTCTCTTTGCCGCTTCAGTAGCCACCATATTCAACATCCGGATGGGCAGAACTCTATTTCAAAAGCGTGCCCACTTCTGACACCTTACTTACTGGTTCTCCAAAAAGAATTTTCTCTCTTTGTGGTGTGGAAGGCTGTCAAAAAGAATATTCATCAGGGTGGAAGAATACGGAAATAACTTCCTTTTTCAATTTTTTTTTGGAATAACTTATACCTTAAGAAAAAGAGTTTTTGTAGAATTTTTCGAACTATATTTTTCGGAAACCAATTCGACTATCTGTCATACATAGCAAAAGAGATCCCACATGCTCAAAACACTTCATCTTGTGCCACTGCCAAGAGCCAATTTGGGGCAGCGATTACCTCCGTATTAAGCATTTATGTTGCCATTTCCCTTTCCTTCCTCTTATAATATCGTTTACCTCTATTTTTCTTTTTGTTCAAAAAATACTATTCATTTTTCAACAGAATGCCTTCTATTTTGCGATTCAACCAGTTCTACTTAACAAAAATCAATGAAGAGAATGGTAAGCTCAATCAGTGTAATCATAGTTTTTCACATGCTTTCATGAAAATTGAAATTCAAAAAAATCCAAAAGATGTCCTAACAAAAGATACAGATTTTTTATTCAGGATGCAAAAACAAAGGTGCATTTGAGTAATTGCGTAGATTCGCTCAAGACGTCATTCGATGTATAAGATCTTAGGGACAGATAGGAAGAGAAAAAGAGCCAACTTTTTGAAGCACGCCTTTTTTGAGACCCGTTCAAACTAGAAAAAAATAGAAAAAAGTAATCTTTCAGTATTTTCTGTTCACAACCCACGCAACAAATACCTCCCACACAAAAATAGGTAGCAGAATGAGTGTAATCCGATCGGAAATGCGTTGTTCACTTTCAAAAGTGCTGGTTTTGAAAAAAGTGCAAAAGTGCTGATTTTTATTTTTTTTTTCCTTCATCCACTTACAGTTCCTTTTTCTTTTCCGTAAGAGAAATCCTTCTGTTCTTCTTTTCCCTTTTTTCTAACGACACCCGTTCATCCATAAAGACGTAATCTTTCATTTTCCTTTCCCCGTTCGACACCATCCTACTACTACCTCCACCACCACCATTCGAAAAACCCATTTTCTCTTTTCTCTCATCACGCATTCCAAATCGCACACCTTATACATAATAGTAAACCACCACCGCCACCATCCGTATGAAGGGGGTACAGTTGACCTGTCAGATCGATATCCCTTTTCCAAGGCCGTTTCGTCAATTCGCCATTTTCTTGTCTACTTTCCGTTTTCGCCTCCCTGGGTGTTTTGTCATGTCCTCATTTTGTTGCTTTGCTGAAGACGACGGCTTCGTATTCAAATTTTTCCCGCGATTTTAATCAATTCGCAGTTGATCCCGTTCTCAGCAGTTTTTTGCTTTTTTATTCCGATTGAGAATTTTTTTGGTTTCTCTTTTCTTTTTCGCTTGTTTGATTCCCATACTGACTTGTTTTAATGCAGGTCATTATTTTGTTAAGGTCTCTTGATCAGATAGGAAGTAATGAAATATTTTCAAAAATATTAGCCTAACGTGATTTCCGGAACCAAATATTCCTCGGTTTTTCTTTATATATTTAGACGAAATATTAGAGATTATGAAAATCATCGAATTTCCTGATTAATAACATCTGTTTGTACTTTTTCTTATTAGAATTGTGTAGTTTTTCTGAGAAAAACGCTACTTATACTTTTATTTCATTTGCTACATTCTCCGAATCCTTCAAAACAGAGAATACGGCAACACAGCCATTAAGTCTCGCCCTTCTCTCTTGGCTCGAAAACAATTAGGCGAGGTGAGCTCTCCCTAAAGCTTTCCGTGTCCTAATCCGGCTCTCACTGAGAACCTGACGAGGTTATGTTTGTTTCCATCGCACCTGCCAGTTTTGTTAAGTCTTTCCTGGGTTTGGGGCTGACCTTACGTATCTCCTCTCATATTTTTAATATATTTTTGATTATAATAATTTTCTTTTCTTATCCTCCGCTGCACATCCTTCAGCTAAAGAGACAAGATGGAAATTAATTGTCATTTCGTTTATGAATTATGAATAGAAACGGAGGGGGAACAGGCAACAATGGTCCACGGTGGCGGAGGCAGTAATAATTCGAGTGTTATTGCGATTCCAAAACAGACTGAATGAACATGCTGCATTTGTTCACTACCTCTCTGCGTCTCCAGCCAATCGCCATTTTCGCTTTCTTCTCCTTATTGTCCAGGAGACCTGTACTTCTGCTAGAGAAGTGTTCATCTTTTGTGACTAATCGACCTAGTTACCTCCGTTTTGAACGGCCTTTCTTGGCATCATCTTGTCCTCGTTAAAAACATTTTTCCATTCAGCTTTTCTTCATTTTAATTTGAGCTACCATCCGAAAAAACAATTTTATTTAAGGGTCCCCCGCCATCTAGTTCTTTTGTTTTGAAGGCCTTCCCTCTCATCATTGCTTCTTATTCATTTTCACACGGATATAAAACAACACAGAACAAAAGCCTTATTGGGGTTTTTCCGTTTATTTTATTTTATTTTTCCTGACACGTTAGGTATTTATAACTATCATCAGTTGAAATGGATTGGCATGTTATTGAAATTATTGAAGGTATATAAAAACGTGAGGATGCATTCGTCAAAGTTGAATAAATACTAATTTCTCGTGTTTTAAATGGCAATTTAAGAATCAATAGTTTAGTTCAGATGATCTCTTTGAGTTCATATACATTACCGGACAGAAAAAACTAATTTATTATGATTTTCGAGTGGAAAAACGTCAACTTTGAAAATGTTCTTAATATTTTTTCCTTGCTTTCAATAATTCAGGTTTTACTAAATACAACATATTAATAAAAAAATAGCTTTGAAACGATTTAACACGCTTTATTGAATTCGTACAGAAAAGCTTTGATTTTGGTCTATTTTTTTTAAATATCTGAAACGTTTTTGAAAACATCAAAAGTTGCTATTATTAGGTTGGAAGGAAAGTAACTGTCCATTTTTGATTCGTGAATAACAAAAAAGCAAAAATTATCCAAAATTGACAGTATGCACCGTCGCGGTCCATGACATGTTGACAACATTCAGGCAACTTGTGGATACCATACCTTCATCAGCCAGCTGGCTGCGACTCAAAGTATTTTTTGAGTCCAGATTTTATCTCAACTTCAGTGTTAAACTATTTCCATCCAGATGACGTTGCATATCTCCTAATAATCAATAATGAAAGAGCCAAATCAGGAGTTAGAAGTGCGTAAAGGAGGAACGTCCAGCTAAAGCGACCCAGGACTTGACTTACCGTGGAACATAAGTTCTCGAGTTATTTAATGAAACTTTTTTATTTAATGAAGTTATTTAATGAAGCTTTTGATGGACGGCTCTTCACTTTCCTTAAACTCCAGACTTGACCGTTTTATTATTGGCTATTCGGAGATATTCAATGTCATCTGGAGGGAAAATAATTTTACACTGTCGCTAAGAAAAAAAAAACGTCCGGGAAGGTATACTTTGATTCACGGCCAGCTGGCTTTTGGAGGTACAGTATCCACAAGTTGTTTGAATGTTGTCAACATATTGTGGACCACGACCGTGCATACTGTCAATCTTGGATAATTTTTGCTTTTGTGTTATTCACGAATCAAAAAATGGACAGTTACTTTCCTTCCAACCTTATATCTACTGAAAAACCTAAAAATGTTTTTGTCCGATACTGTATCTACATACGTTTCACTGAAAAATTGAAAAAAATTACTGTTTTCCAGACGCCACCACAATGTCGGAGCGGAAAACCACAAGTGCTCAAACCATCGTTATCATATCTTCCCTGATATTGCTCATCGTCGCATTGGGTCTTCAAGCCGGTGGTGTCATGTCACCAAGTTGGCAAGTTGTGGATATCAGAGAATTTAGAGCCACCCATCATGTGAGTTTTATGTTTTGTTAGTGACTGAAACTTCACCTGCGCAAAGCCCTTTCTGTTGAAATGGCAGAATATGATTCCCAAAATCAGAAATCGTGTTAAAAACATCTTGAAGATTATAAAAACAGTGTATAATTTTCAGCACGGCCTATGGTTAGATTGTACACGACCACAGCTTCATTTGGTGAAAACACAGAACAAGGACGACCTTCCATTGCACTGTACATATAAATTTGACATATCCGCCACCCAGATTATTGACGAAAACATCGAGGACATTGATCAAAACAGCGCTGCCGGTGAAAGCGAGCATCATCAGTTCTTTGGTATGACCTTATTATTAGATGTGATCTAACTTTTTCTTATCAAAAACAAAAATAAGAATATCTAAATAATCAACAGGATTCTCATCATTTTGAACTAATGTTTTTTTCAGGATGGCACAAATTCACATTGGGATTCATGCTCTGCGCCATCATTCTTGCAGCGCTATCCCTACTCTGTGGAATTTGTGCCCCATGCAGCTCTGGATTCGCGGTTTTGTACGCTATTTTGGTGGCGTTCACAGGTATTTGAAAATTGTAAGAAATTTCGAAAATAATTAACTTCAGCTTTCACTTCTACGTGTGGAGATGCCATTTTCTTTTTTGCTGCTCATCGTGTCGACAGCAGATTTGTGCAAGGACTGGTTGGAACATATGAGGTAAGGGAAAAGTGTGTATCAAACCTGGAAAACTACAATGACCGTAAACACCCTTATACAACGACGCGCTAAAATTGCACTTTGAAATCAATTAACTCATGTTCTGTAATAGTTATGAAGAAAATGTTAACATGTTTGTCAAAACATGACAAACATTTTGATAGCTGACATGCTTTTGATATCTTTCATGAAAATCGAGATGTGGAAGCTCAAATACAGAGTTGCAAAACACGAATTTAGGAATACATTAATGAAACGCTCCTTACACTTTCACTTTGAGCTCAAATATCACAAATTCTGTAAGAGATATGAAAAATCTGTCAACCGCTAAAATGTTAATGAAAATATGACAAAAGTTTTATTATTGATATCTTTCACAGGAATCGAAAGGTAGCAGCTCAACATGTAAGTATAGAGACGCTCTATTAGAGGATTCACAGCATTAGTAATGTAAAACTTTTTCGTTATGTTTTCAAAAATTGGGCAGAACATTTTGACCATGTTCCAGAGTTCATATTTTTGAGCTTGATGTTTCACGGTGGATTGTTTGAATGATCGTTTACGTCAAAAATATTATAGCTTTAAGATTAAGAAATAGATAATGTGAATACTATTAAAAAGTTGACTTATTGAAACAAGTATGCCCTGAATGTTTTAATAGGTTTCCTAAATAATACGAAAAAGTTCTCAAAAAGTTTACAGGAAGTTATGTATTCAAAACACTTTTTTTGTTTCTGGGATATTTGATCTCTTGGTCCTAAGAATGTTTTGATCGTCCATTCTTTTTTGGGCCTTTCATGTTATCAACTAAATTTCAGCAAGTGATCGGCATGGCTTTCTACCTTCACGTCGCTGGTACTGTCATCTCTTGCTTGGCTCTCATCATGGCAGCAATCTCCGCCTATTCCCTTCTCCAAAACAACGAATCAGAACGACATCTTCCAATGCGAGAAATGGCTCCACTCCATGAGCCACGATTTGCCAGAGTCTAAATCCAAGACATCTCCGTTGCCATTTTTATGATCTCCGTTGTTCTGTTAGGTGGCACACTGTTTCTAAATATATAAACTTTTTTGTTGTTCTATATTGTCTCATCTCCGTTTTCTGTCATATATTGTTTACAGCAGTGAACTGAATTTTATTCTACAGCGAGAATATTTCATTGTGACACGGAAACATTCAAAATAATGGTTCAAGAAGAGTAGGACGTATGGGGAAATTTTAGAAGTTCGTTACATTTTAGAAAAAGGCACAAATAGTATCGTTGGTTGTTTTATTTTGACAAGAAAGAAAGGGATCAGTGGGAAATGAATAGCTGGTTGACAAGAACAGAAACAAGGAAAACGCATGCTCAAAGTGAGCCCAAATGACTATGTCTTATTCAGCAGGAATGGTTAGAAAAGAGATAGAGATAATTTTGATTTTTATCAGAAGTTTGGTATATGTCGAGTTTTTTGGGATAGGTTTTTTTGGAATTTAGAAATGTGTAACACCGGGTGGATGTTGTAGGTATTCATCGTGTTCTTTGGACTGTGGTATTGGTAGGCAAAAGCCACTTCACTTTCTGCGGGTCATCATCTCGCAGAATTCTGTAATAATGATCGAAAAACTTGTATTCATGGGAAAAATTATTAACCTGAGAAATTGATTTTTCCGTCGTTGTTCTGGTCGACGTGTCTGTAGATTGCCTTGATATCCTGATCCGATAGAGAGTGACCCATTCTTTGGAAAGCAGTTCGAAGTTCAGATCTGGAAGATGTTCATCAATCTTCAATTTTTTTGTGTACGCCTCATTTAAGTTTCCCTGACAATGTCATTCAAATCGTCTTTCAAAATCCCCATTTAGTGAGACTAACTACTAAACAATTTTGCGATGGCAAAACTAGTAGTCACACATCATCAAGTGTTGTAACTTCTCCTCTTCAATACCGACCTAGTGATGTAGCCATCTCCATCGACGTCCAACTCCTCGAACACTGCCTTCAGTGAAAGTGACAATGGATTCGCTTTGGCAATCACAAGGAACTCTAGAAAACGATATGAAGTATTTACGGTTAAGAATTGGCAAGTCCCACCTTGGAAGTCAATATTTCCATCATGGTCCTTGTCGGCGGCTTCGAACATGGCGTCAAGCTCGTCTTCAGTTGGAGACTGACCCATTTTTTGCATCACCGCACGGAGTTCTTCCTGGAATAAAAGTTCTTATAATCTTCTGCAAATTTTCGGGAATGCGTTGAGGAATATTTATGAGTGATGAGAAACGTTTTTAGAAATTATCGTAGAAAAAAAAGTTCAACGTTCCAGGTATTATTTTTTTCAAAGAATTGACGTATGAATAACTTTCCAGTATCTGTTGGTTAATGTTTATTTTTCAAATTAGCCATCATAGCTACTTTCAATAACCGTATCAGAAGCCTACCTTATCTGCGCAATTTGAGTTCAATTATTTCCTATGGAAGATATCAAAAATATGTCAACTGTTAAAACATTGGAGATATTATGGTATTTACTTTTTCAGCTTTTTAATATATTTTTCACAGGCATCAAGATAATTATTCTTAAAGTTGAAGTATTGGAAGAGCTTCTTTTAGAGCAAATACTGTACTTTGTAAGGGTCTGATCAGTTAAAAAAGACTGGGATTGTCTGATTTGTATAGAGCTCTAAGACTCTGGGCTCTTTTGAGCAAAATGTCTTGTTCATTTTTATAAAAATTATTTCTTGAAATTTTAGCCACTTTCATAAGCTTTTAAATAATTTTATTGGTGTCATCAATTATTTAAAATTATAGCCACAACCGGCTAAGCTACGCAGTTCCAGCTATCTTTGTTGGAGTGAATTCAAGAGTGAAAGCAATTTTCAACTGTATTTTCAATTCTATTTATCAACCTGCTTAATTTGAACCGTTCCAAGGCATCTAACTCCAAACCTACCCTCTGAATGAATCCATCGCCATTGAGATCGAACTCTCTGAAGATTCCCTTCAAGTCGTCCTCTCGGATTTCTCCAACTTCTCCCTGCAAAAAGAAGTAGACGTTGTATGATGAAGAAAACTAGCCGTACATGTCATTTTTGCTTTAGTATTCATATTCTTATGTTTGTTTGCATAGCGAACTGCCAAACAGAAAAAAAAGAGCCAAGGTGTGTTTCTCAACTTCTTTTTAGTTCTTTCTCACACGTTTCCAAAAAAAAAAATAGTAAGAGAGAATGGGAATGGAATGGAATATAATTTTAATTATGCAAAATGGGTTAGTTATATTAAATTCAAACTATTGGTGACACTGAAAACACTAAAGGTCAACCGTGAATACAATGATAAGAAGGCCGTCAAGTTTGTTGATTATTTTTTCTATCTTCGCACGAAAATAACCGGATTTCGTATTTGTTTTGCAAAGTGATCTCTATATTGCTGTCAATTTCTCCTTGAAAATGTTTCTTAGTGTCTGTATCGTCGGCCATGAAGAATTAGCTCCTATTGTTTGAGACGTGAGTAGTCAACAAGAAGAGAAAATATATTTTCAAAAACCGAGTTATATCTTTTTTCTCTATCTGCATTCTTCCCCTAATTTCGATCTCAGCCAAGTTCCGTTTTTGGTGATGATGGTTTTCAAACTTATTATCTCGTCAAAATGTGAAATGGCAGAATCATAATTTTCCCCCGCTTTCACCAGATCCGTTTCTTTTTCCCGGATGCGTTGTTCCCCAACTATTCTATGATTTCATGCAGCACAATAAAATTCGATGAATCATCTTGAAATGGTGTGCTTTCTTGAAAATATAAGGAATATCAGGGAAAAAACTGTGACGACGTTTTATACCGTTTCATAAATGTTTTGGAATTTTTATGCTCGAAAAGAAACCTTGTGAGTCAAAAAATGGCCAGATATGTTTGCGTTGCGATTATTTTCTCTTGCTCGTTTTTGAAAAAAAAAGTTTTCGAAACGAGGGCTCTGTTAACATGGCATGCACATAAGAAGACAGAGATTTTTGGTGAAAAATGGGATCCAAAAAGTTTTCTCCATTTTTCTTGACATCCGCAAGAGTTCTTCTTCTATTCAAAGTGTTCGAAAAAAGAAGACAGGGTGACGTATCAGATAGTTTTGTCAAACAGAAAATACAACAAGTATGATAAGAGGCTTATCACTGTAGATGGCCAAGAATGGCAACGAGCGGCAAAGAGATGTATATGAAGACACACAAGAAGAGGTGTCAGAACTATTACAGCGTGTACATACCTGATTCTTCTTCTTTGAAGAGCAGCAAGCGCCCATGTTTGTCTTGGCACAGAATACAGGCAGAGAAAGAGTCAGTCAAGGCAATCGGTTGTCTCGGGGACTGTTGTGTGGGAGGAAGGAGTTGATGGCTGGTCGCACCGTGTGTGTATGTTGTATGAAAGTACGCGTGTTTGATTCGACGACGAGAATGCGGGCGGCGCGAAGAGAAGCGAGAAACAAACGACGACACTACCAGCAGGACCCCCTTGTTAGTCACAAAAAAAGGAGGAGGAGACGCACCGGGCAACCTTCGTTGTTGTCCCTTCAGACACCGAGACCGAAATTGAGACACGCCCCCATTCTAGGGCCCTTACCGTTGATTTTTTTCTCTTGGCAAAAATACAGTTCCTCTTGTCTGATGAGAACTTCTTTTTTTTCAGTACACAAATGTTCAATCTGAGTTTTTACTAATTACAAGAAACGATAGTGATGTGAGATCAAGGATTGAAATTGAAAAATGGATAGTGGATAACAAGAAACACGAGAAGATAAGAAAACGAGAGAAAGGAAATCACTCTATAATTGCATGGCAACCATTACCTGTAATTAGAAGTTTGGAAGAAAACAAAGTTAGCATACATGTTGCCAAACAGAAAAAAAAACATTGTGAAATTCAATGAATCAGTTCACATCACCGATAATTGACTCAAAACGATTTGGAATTATTCGAGATATGATAAGAAAAGTTTCTGGAATTTCGATAATGTGATGAACGTGCGAAATGGAGTTCTGAATTAAAGACTTTCGGGATTTTTCAACGAATTGTTCCAGAAGAAAAACCATACAAAGAATCATTCCTACATTAAGCAAATAAAAAAACTGTGTTCATCGAAGGATTAATTGATGTTCATATCTGAGCAAAAATTTCTGCGTTCAAAAATATTAGTTTTGAGTATTAAAATTCGAATGGAAAATCACAGAATTGAAAACGTTTTGAGGATTTTCTTTCAGTTTTCCAAGAAGGTCAACTTCAAATTTGAAAAACTTACCGTACCCCTACTTACACTTCGAGCTAATACATCTCTATTTCCGCAAAAGTTATCAAAACTTTGTCAACTGATAAAATGCTCATCATACGTACACCAATATTTTAGCGCTGGACAAATTTTGTATATCTCTCACAGAACTCGAGATATTTTAGCTTGACGTGCCAGCGTTCTATTGTATGGTAATTTTAACAAGTCTGTAAAATATATAAAAATTCGGCCAACCGAATTATTATAATAAAAACAACTTTTTGTCAGCTAACCACGCTCAATTCAAACAGGAACCAGGATAAAGTGGCTCAAAATTAAAAGTTAGTGGTCATTTTATTAGAGCGTTTACGGAATTCCTCGACTTTACGTAGTTACAGTAATCCTGACATCCATTTCATTTTGAATATTTCACAATTCGATTTCCCAACACATCACTTTTTTGTTATTATGTGTTTCAACTCATTTCAAAACAAATATCGTCATCTTCTGACCAAACCGAACACGCGAGATGAAATTCGAGACTTTTCAACTCTGTCTGCCGTTAACTCTTCTGTCCCACCGCCATCGGTCACACTGAATTCCTGATGAAGAAAAAAAAATACTAACCCTAATACAATGATTGTTTCTCATCTCGAAAAACTAATTAGTTTGATAATTCGTGTTTTACGTGCGCAGTCGTTTCTCCCTTCGATTGGCTATCAATACGATCGGTCTTTATTCTTCCGACAAACTGTACCAATTCTTTATCACGTATATACGAGAATGAACTACCCAATCTAACTGTCGAAACCAATTAAAGGTTGTGTGTAGATATTTTCTATCTATTTCCCGGGGCCAACCGGTTTTCATTCTACAATGTTCGAAACATTGAAAAATAGTTCTTTTCTTTTTTTTCTTTTTTCTCAATCACAGTCAACTGTTTTGTTTTGCGAAGAGAAAAATAGATTGAGAAAGAGAAAGAGAAAAAAGACACAATTATTATTTTTCATTCGTTCACAAAATTATTCAAAGATATATACGGAGGATCAGTAGAACACAAAATGGAAAAAATTGGAAATTTTCGAGTTGTGGAAAGATTGTTGAACCCTGTTCAGTACGATGATGGCATTCCAGCATAGGATAGAGATGCTTGTGGAGTAGACCAGTACGTTGGAGCAGCAGTCTGAAATTGCGTTCAAAGTTTCTTCAACTATCAAAGACTCTTCTTACAGATGGCGGTATTTGATTAGATAAGGAAGACGATGATGAAGCCAACACCGAGTTATATGATCCCAAAGACGCCGAAAGGCGATTGCTGACTTGGATCGGGAGAATATCTGAAACTGAAAACAGATTTGGTTTGAAGTATGTGAAAAATTTTGTTAGACATGGTTAGAAAATTTAGAATTAGAAAAACCAACGCGTACGATTCGTGTATGGTGACAGCGATTGAACAGCCGATTGGATGTCACCGGTGGCACTTCCACCGTTCGTCAGTATCGCGTTCTGGCAAGCTTGGGCGAGTCCTTGGAAATCGAATTTGTATGCATATCGTTTGCCTTGAACCTATTCAAAAATGATTTTAGAAAGAATCATTGATGTGAGGAAATTGATTTGAAAAAAAAACCAAATCAGGAATGAACGGATATATCAAAAACGAAGCAGAAATCTTCTAACCTTAGTCATGATGTTCTTGTCATAATAATAACGGAGTGCTCTGCTCAATTTGTCGTAGTTCATATTTGGCTTACTGCAAAATACATTATTACATTATGAACATCAAAGGCTTTTCCCGCCGCCACTTTCTCACCTTTTCCGTTCACCCCATTTCCGGGCCACCTCGTCTGGATCGATCAATTTGAACTCTCCATTACTTCCCTCCCAAGTAATGCAAGTGGAATTAACGGCATCTGCAAGAAGTTCCAACAGAAACTGCCAAAGCTGAATTTGACCAGTTCCAGAGGCGCTCAACGCAATCGCCATTGGCCCTTTGGATTGGTTGACAGCGGCTGCTGGGATCCGCGAGAAAGCGCTGGCATACTGCATGCATCCTGGAAATGTTGATTTCATGAAAGACATTTTGTTTAGATTTGAAGAGAGCAGTCTATACATATATTGTGAAAAAGGGAGAACAGAGCTGGTGAGGATAATAATTATAATCGGAAACGAATATCAATTAGTATAGAGGAGTTATAATTTTCGAAAGTTGTAGCTACCGTTTCTAATAGTCCAGACTCCTTCTAACATATAACTCATTGGAATCTCAAAACGTTTTTTAAAAACGCTGAGTTTATTTTAAAATTTCGATTCAACTCGTGTGCACTTTCACGTTTTCATGTAGAAAAGCGTGAGCTCGGTAATAAAACATCACCATATCTTCCCCCTTTCCGGGTGAAGTATAGAATCCAAGAGCTGATACTTTTTCGAGGTAAAATTACAATTTAAAAAATATTAGATTTTTCAAAAAATTTCAAAACATTAAATTTGCTGGTTTGATCTAGGCCTTCAAATTTGGACATATGAAAATCCTTGAGACGGGCCGGCAAAGTTTTTTCCAGAAAAAGGGCCGGGCCGAGCTCTCGTTTTGCAAGTATAATATAAAAGTTGTTTTGACTTTTTTCAGAACAAGTTCCTTCTTGAATATTCTTGAAATTTCAAAAAACATTACCAAATTTGGCAAAGGCTGAGAAGTCATATAATTGGGTTCTGATCGTGAATAAAAGTCATTTGGAAAGAAAAAACTCCGGCGATCGAAATGAATACCCTCCGGTTATTGACGTGGTTCATTGGCCAAAATTAAAGTCCATTGAAAAAATTTGAAAGGCTTATGAGCTACATAAAAGCATACTTGTAACGGGCCGGGCCGGGTTTTTTTCCGAAATTCGAAGGCCCGGCCCGGACCGGC